ACCGGCTCTCATTTATGATAAATTTGTTTTTGTTCGTATTCTTAAGCAATATTTTAAGTATTTTTTTTTTGGCTATTTGCCAAAACATCTTCTATTTTTTTGACCGCAGCTGTATGTATATATGAATGTGTGTGTGTGTTTGTCTATATCCTCCATACGTGACTTGCGATAAAGCAACTCAAAATTTTCGCTGCAACGAAATTTGCGCTAAGGATGTTCAAGTCCAGTATATGTGTAAGTGTGTGTGTGTGTGTGTGTGCTGACGATGGATGAAGCGAACCCACCTCCACCTCCAACTCTAACTCCACCTCCACCACACTCAATCTTCAGCCCACATGCAAGCTAGCAAGCAAGCAGTCGGCTGGCTTTTTAGCAACAGGGTTGTATGCTGCTGCTTCTTCTTCTTCTTCTACTACTTCTGCTTCTTCTTGCTGATGATGCTCTGCTTTAGGTAAAGCCTTATGTGATTATTGTTTCTGCTGTATACTGTGTGTGTGTGTGTGCGCGCGTGTATGTGTGTGTGTGTAGAGATACTCATGCATATTTGTCAGATGCAAAAGCTATTCTTAGCGATTTCTCAAAATGCATCTCACAACTCTCGGCCAAAACACTGTTGTTGTCCTTTTTGGTTTTGTTATTACGCTCAACCGGCAATTGTCTTAGTCACTGCCGCTTCTTTCGGTCTTATCAAATTGCATTTGAATATGCTGCCCAGCATAGGGAGACATGTATATATAAATATATATATATAAAATATATATACACATATAACTAGCATACAAGTACATTGTCTTTGCTTACCTAAACTTGCACCCGAATCATATTTATATGCACCTCATGCACAGCAGCAGCAACATCGCCCAACAAATAGACTATCAGAGTTTTGGACTCTAAAATTGGAATGTACATATATCTCGCATATCTACTTGAAGAAACAGGTATATAGATATATATATATATTAATATAAGAAAGATTCATGAAGACCCGTAAAGAACAACAGACGATTCTGAGGTTTTCATTCTGTCTTTCATAGATATGAACTTACTTAAAGTTCCAGTTATAATTGATAAAAAAAAAATTTGTTTTGCAATTTTGTCAAATGCCATTTTTAAATATTAAATAATTTTAATTAATTTTAATAATTATACAAATAATTAATACCACTTACGCATTCTTTATAGAAATCGTCTTTATTTATGCAGATTTGCTTTTATCAAATATTAATATTCAACTGACAATTATCTGTAAGTTGTGATATTTTATTTTATTTCTAATTTTCATAATTAAATCAAATTTTGGACCAATTAAATATTCCCAACAATTTTATATATATATCTTAAATTTCAACATTGAATTATATTTTTATTTTAATTACGTTTATTTTTTACTTCATGTATTTTTTGAGTTGAAGGATATCAGTTGACATTAAGTAAATAAATAAGTACACATTCGAAAAGATTTCCATTCATTCAAATTTTATATTTGTTATAAAGTTGAGTAAGTTGAAAGCGGTAAAACAAATTATGTTTTCTTTTATTTCTTACTTCCAATTTTAAAAAAGTTGTCATACGTTTCTCAACATTTATTATTTATTATACACTGCTGACCTGGGATTCACATTCCAATAATTATTATTTTTAAGATTTTTACATTAAAATTAATTCAAATTATTAAAAAAAAATCAGTAGAACGATATATAAGTGTACTAATAATTATTGGTATGTGTGTACTTTAATGTTTTCGTCCCTGTGGGATTAATTTTTTTATAAACAGAACAAAAGCTGTAATCACACGTAAATTGTATATTCACCATTGCAACCTCGTTACCAATTTTCCAATTAAATGTTAGCAGTTTGTAATAAATTTTTATATAGACCCATAAAGAATTACGGGAATACCCTGATACCCTGATACCAACACTTCTATATATATATCTAATCTGTAGGAAAGATCTTAGATATCCAAAGCATCACAAAAATGAGCGGATACACATCGTATTCAATTACTTAAAAATAAAACAGGTTTATTTAAAAAGTAAAAACTAATCTATAAATTGAAAAAAATTGATCTGATCTTAAAGAAATATCTTTGTAATCGACAAGGTGTTAAATGATTCCTCAATCGATAGTTTTGATTTGGCTGTGGCTTATCGATTCTCGATTTTATCGATTTCGTAACCTTCAGCACTAAGCAGACAACACTTGACATGGCATAAAACCAATATGCTCTTATATCTTCAATATCGTCTTAAACGTTTTTAATTTTATTTTCTTCTGCCGTCACCTTTAGAATATCAATATGCTTTCACAAATATCAATTCATAACCACTTTTTTGAGTGTATCTTATAGGTTTGTTCTGGCAATTTCCAACTATTTACCAAATAAATACAGTGTATCGAAGGGCATCTCAAATTTTAGAAAAAATATATAAGAAAATATCTTGATTTTTGTTAAAGTCAGTGCATAAAATCCACAGAGTAAAAATATTTGACTTTTTCAACCCACCCTATTTTTCGCAATGTATTTTTTTTTATGTGATAGATACGATTACATACATACTTGTATGCATTGGGGTTAGCGTATCTCCTAGTCAGACACCTTAGACTGGAGCACTTTTAATCATATTGTTAACACTCAGGAAAAAAAAAATAGCACTGAAATTTAGAAAATCGACATAGTGTATGTCAACTCATAGTTCAAAAAGTATTTTTCTAAAACTACAGATGTCTTTTAAAAAAAAAAATTGTTTTCCTCTTCATAATTATTAGTCGAGTTTTCTAAAATTGTGTTGAATGTCCAAACCCGAAATGCTTGCAAAAATGTTATTCCCGAAACAAGAATTTTAAAATAGAGTTGCCATCAGAAATAGATGGCTCTGAACGGATGCCGAGCATTGTTAACTTGAGGGCAAACCGAGCGAGAAGCTCGTGCCAAAACTAAGGACAGTTGTTCGGCTCGCTGAAAACAAACACAAGTAAAAAAGGAGACAAGTCGTCGATTAACTGTAAGTCCCGGCGCAAGCAAAGATCACAAAACGATAAAAACTTGAGACTTGAACTAAGACCAATGACAATGATGGGCAGGCAACAAGCGATAAACACAAGCAGTAAATAAATTAAATTAAATAATAAAAAAATAATAATAAAAACAACTTAGACTTATTAATTGAAGTGCTCATATTGTGCATATGCTTTATTAACACCTGTTTCCCTTTTGTTTGTCAACTAAAAATTCGCATTTATTTTTTCGCTGTGAACTTCTACTTCATCCCCCCACCCCACGTACGTGTGATTCTCGCGGCGTTAATAAATGGCTTCATTCCCTGTCTCTGTTTCTTTCCCTGTCCCTCCTGTGTGTGGTGGTTTCTTCTGATATTTCTACATGACTTGTAACGCCTATATACATATACATACAAGCATGCACACACATATATGTGCACACATACATGCATACATATTTATGCAGGCTAAAAAAGGGCCAAGACATTGTCCGGCAACAACAAGCCTGCACCCCGCCAACAACTTTAAACACAAGCAAACACACACACACACACACACACACACACCAATGCAGCATTTGATTTCGCCCGTTTCATTTTCGCTTTACTCTCGAGCAACGGGCCCATCCATCCATCTATCCATCCGTCCAACACAAGCGACCGAAACAAAAAACTACAAATACATATGTACTTCTTCTGCTTCTTCTACTTCTTCACACACACATGTACACGTACATGGGCTAAAGACTTTTCGACACGTATATAAATATGTGCATGCGTGTGTGTGTGTGTGCAAGATTTGAATATATGAGCAGAAGAAAGTAGGCCTGCTGCTGCTGCGGCTGTAGCTGCCGCCAAAAAGGATGTACTCCTCCCCGCTCCCCGCTCCACAACACCCCCCGCTAAGCGGACCATCCGATCGGCCAACCGCACGAACATTGCGTCGTCGTCGTCGTCGTCGCTGCCTATGTGTCTGAAAATTGCGTGCAAATGTCTGTGTATGTGTATGTGTGTGTGCGTGTGCGTGTATAACGTTATTGTCCAGCCTGATGTCCCTGAGAGTAAGCAGCGACGGCAGCGACGGCAGCGAGAGCAAGCTGCGTCTTCGTTGCCGTCTTCGCCGTTATTAATCATTGTACATTTGGCTGTCAACGAAAACGGCCGCGAATACACTAACACAGCGACAAAAACACACGGACAGAGAGCAAGAAGAGTGCGCAAGAGACAAACACAAACACACACACACAGACGCACAGGCGTAAAGAAACGGAATAAACGACAACAAAACTGACCATACGAGTGTAAACAAACTCATACACGTGTACGGCTCTCGCTCATTCGCTCGCTCGCACTCACACACACACATACACATGCACACAGAGGCAGAGACAGACACACGCACACATAAGGAGAAAATATAGTCGTGATGCGGAAATTCGCCGCGATGAAATAAAAATTCGCTCACGATATTTGTGCGCTCCGCTCGCACGCTCGCTCGCTCGCTCGCTGGCTGGCTGGCTGGAGTCGCGGTAGTTTGTCGCCGGGCGCTCGCTGTTTCGGTTCGCAGGACACTGTTGGACGGCATAGCGGTCATATCCTTTCCGATAGCCGGTCGCCTCAAACACGCTGCTCTCTGTGTCGCTGTCGCTGTCGCTAACGCTGTCTCGGTCGCCTTCGCTGTCGCGGCTAATTTCGCAATTTCCTTGGCGCATTCGCAGCTAATTGAGACAACTTTGAATTCCATTCTAATTCCAAATGTGTGTGTGAAACAATTGAGAATTGCACATATAAACAAAAGAGTTGTGCTTCCTTTACTTATTTAGAAATAAATAATTATAATATTACATATACGCAAATAAAAACAACAACAAAAAGGATTTCAAGTGATTTACAACAATTTCAATATTTGTGATCTTCACGAAAAGTGTTCAACAAACAAAACAAAACAATACAAAAAACGTAACTTTTAAGAATCGAAAAACATTTCTTTGCTCACGTGCCACAAAAAGGTTTGTATTAAAAATAAATATTTTCTTAAAAAAAAAATAAAAAAAACAGTGTTGCATAGTTTGCGCAATTCATGAGAAATTTCCTTACTTTGCGTGTGTAAAAAATAAATATATATCTTAAAATATTCAACTTTTTTTTGACTCACTAAATTGTTTGGATTATTTACCTAATCGGGATTTGAAACAGAAATTTGAAAAGCAGATATTTTCGTTAAAGTTTAATTTATAGCTTGAATATTTTTGCAAATTCGAGTAGCAAATGGTGGGGGGGAATCGTGAAAAACTGTTTTAAGAAACTGAGTTAGTTTTCAATCTGTCATGCTCATTTAAGTGGACCTGTATAGATTAGATGTGTTTAACTTTATTAAATAAAAATTTGCTTAAGTGCTTTTGACTCGTTTCTTACAGCTCTATATAAAGCAAACAAGGGAGTTCGACTAGGAGATACCCTTTACCAAACTCTATCTAATATTTAGTAACTGATCTTTATCTAATTTAGGCAATTGCCCAATTTAATGGAAAGCATTTCCAGTGATTTTATGGAAACGTGGAAGGTTATTGATAAAAAAAGGTTTAAGAGCTTTGTCGACAAGAAATAATTTACTTTAAATTTGATATTTTATGCTTTTGTTGACTTTCAGTTCGAGAAGGTTTTAGAAGCTGATCCAGAATATATATTTACTTCTAATCGGAGTTGTCTTTCCTTCTTTATTTATTTAAGCACAATAACCTAATTAACTATTAGGAATTATTTTGGTTTCTGATCTGTGAAAAGCCACTTTTGTAGAAGACTCAAAACTCTTTTATATATTAGCTGGTAGATAAAATTATAATTACATTATCTTTATATATTAGAAGATATATATGGAAAGTATTAACTAAAATGTATGTCGTGTACCTCTTTCCACAAAAACCCATTACACTATTTATAGAGTATTATTATCGTCACAAGTGTTATGTATAAACCAAAATAACCCTTTTGCTACGAAAATTATTTTTTTTAAGATAGACATTTCCCTCAAGGACGTAATTTTCTTGATTTTGAACGCTTTTATGCAATCTAGTTTATTTATTATTAATATATTTATTAATTATTTATGTGAACTAAAAAAGTTCACATCAAAATGTGTTTAAAGAAAAATTCAATTCAATTTTAATTCAATTTTAATATTAAAGTAGCAAATTTAATGTTATAAAATTAAAAGTGATAAGCCAAATTACAGTTTTAAAAGTATATAAAATAAATAATAAATAAAATTAAAATGTAAAATTATCCCACATTTATTGCAAGGAAAAACAAAAAAAATCTTGATAAAACTTTTACTATATTAATCATATACGATCTAAAAATGCACCATATCATAGATAAAAATTAATCAACGATAATTTCTGGCTTATAAATTGCCATCAAAATTCACTAGATATGCGTGAAAGGATAAACTCCTGAAAAGGATAAACTTTTGACTACTATATCAAATAGCTCTATCTCAAATTGAAGCAAACCTTTGGTTTTGGGAATTCATTAATTAATTATTATTAAATGATTAAGTTTTAGATGTGATTCAATTTTGGAAAACCTACAAACTTGCATGTAATTTTGGAAAACTCAGAAAAAAAATAATCCTTGAGGTGGAATTTATAAATTTTATAAATGTTTAAAAATAATCTTGTAAAAGATAAATTGTAATTTTTTTAAATAAGTTGTGTGCCTCATACGAAATCATATATAATATAACTATATTGTTGATAGAGAATATTTCTACAGATTTACACGAGATTTATTTATTGTTTATCTGTAAGAACAAGAGGTGTTGCTCTCTGTAGAAGGAATGTGAGAACTATACTATGATATGTGATGAAATGTTGTTAATTTTGTTGCAAAAATTAGCAGCTGATTTAAAAAAAAAAATAAAAAAATTGGTTCAATTAAGAAGAACAAAATTACCTGCCGTTAATTCTGATTTAGAATATATCACAAGGTATATAAATTATTTTTAAAAAAATAAACATATATTCTTAATCAGAAGGCAACTACAAATTGGAGACTTCTATTTTTATTCATTACATATTTAACGACTTTATTTTAACAACCCTTGCAAAGGAACTACAAAATATTCCACACTTAATGGCATTTTTAAAACATCCAAATTATCTCACAATATTTAGTAAATGGCAAAAATTTGGAAACTCAAAAGTAAACTTGATCTGCGGATTAAGCCTAAAAACATGCTTCACATTGACAAGGTTTTAGCCTGAACAGACTGAAAGACTAAAACTAAAGACTAATGAGAGACTAGATCGATGCCACTTTTCACAATGATTATTATTTTGATTTATTTCATGTCCACTAATATTAGTCGACACAGAAAAATGCAAAAAGAGCAAAGAAAATGCAATTAAATGAAAAATATAATGTAGTACTTAAATTTTAATTAAGAAAGTAAATAATATTTACACATAATATAGTAATATTAATTTAAAAAAAAAAATACTAAACTAACAATGATAATCGTAAAAATATTAATATTCATTTTATACTCAAGACAAATAATTCCCGTATGGAACTCAACTAATCTTGTCCATAAAAATGAAATAGTTTGCAAAGAAGACAAAAACTAAAATCGACTAAAATAGTAAAACTTTTTGGTGAGTTGCAACAGGTGCTTTGCTGCAACACACATTAATCGGTGGCAGACAAAAACAAACTTTTTATATCCATTTTGGTGTGACTCCTCTTTAAGCCATTTTATACACTTTTGTATTAGTTCAAATAGACATAAGGGAAAAAATGCACTGCCTTAGATACATATGTATGTATGTATGTATGTGTGTGTGTATGTTTGTGTGTATGTATTGGTAATACACTCCGAATAGTTTCTGTCGTTGACCTGCATTTGGCAGACTGTGTGCTCTGTCCAGTCATGTCCAGTTCTGTCCCATCCTGTCCAGTCCAGTCCTGTCTGCTTCCTCCAAGTCTGTGTCTGAATGAGTTCGATACGAGGCCAAAGCGACGATAAAAATAGTAGTAAATACAATAAAATTATAATTGTATATAGGAAAAATCGCAACACTCACACACACACACATACACATACACACACAGAGACGTGTATATAAATAATGGACGGCCGGCCGGCCCGTCATTACATGTGTGTGTGTGTGTGTGTGTTGTAGTTCGTCTGTAAATGTGTCTGCTGCACACACACACACACACTATAGATTCTTACATACTCCACATACACACACACACACATATGAACAAACTTGGCTGTAATTCTTTTATACATATATATATTTCTTTCATCTTTTTCTGTTGTTACCAGATTTTTTTCTCATTTTTTTCTTTTATTTTTTTTTCATACTCTGTCCCAGTTCGGTTGGTGAAAAGTTTAATGGCTCGCTGGGATTGGACTCGATGCGAAAGAGAAAGTAAAATTTCTTCTTTCTGCTCGAGCTTTTTGCTTTGGCCGTGTTGAATAGCAAAAAAAAAAGACCTTGCAATTTTTATACAGTTGTAAAAGTTGTATTCAATATATGTGTGTAAGCTTTGGTGGCAAGTGGCATGTGGCAAGTCGACACAGTTATTTGCCACTCCATTGGTTATGAGCGTCTATGCGTGTGTGTGTGCGTATGTGTGTGTGAGTTGAAATGAAGGTTAAGGGCATAAGCATGTATACACCTGCACACACACACACATATGTATATACATGTTTGCATCTATGTATTTGTGACCACAATCCGCTAATGTGACTAAGCCAATTAAATAATAATTAGATTCAACGCATGTCATTCACTTATGCATATTACTTACTTATATGTATATATTTTTTCACATATTTATACATAATATATTTTATTTAATGCTCACTAAAATTTATAAAAATTATAAGATAAAAATAATTAATAACACAATTAAGATAAATTAGCAATTATTAAATTCACCTCACTTCAACTATTACACATACACACACGCACACACATACGCACAATTATAATATAAATAATTTATTTAACTCTCACTCAACTCAATTAAAACATGGCGAAAAATAACCAATAAAAAATGATGCCCAATTAGCAGTTGTTAACCTTAACTAGCCAGCAGCGAATTAGTGAATGACAACCCATTACCAAATTAATTCTGTATGCACACAATGTAATTAATTAATTACCTAGTAATGCACTTGCATGCAGAGTTGTATGCTGCAGCATCCACGTCAAGCACAAACTTGTCTGCAAGATTTCTTAAAATTCTTTAAACCTGTTATATATCCTAGACTAAGTATTCATATTGTATATATAGTAAGCTTTATAAATATATCCGTATTTGGGGGTGTAGTGCAACTGCATTACAATAAACCCTCTTTGTACATAGAGTCGTATCCTATTCACCTCAATTATTTACACCCACACACACACACACATTCACCCACACAACTTCATCAAAATATTTGCCTATCAATATTTAAGTAAACACCTTGCACACATGCACACATACATTTGCATTTTTTTTTTGTATATGATTAACTAACAACGTTTTTGTGAACACTAATTGTTACTCTTCGTCCGAAGGCTCCTTTTGTTCAACGCTCTTAAGGAACAGTTCTTTCTCTTAGCTTTCGTTGCACTCTTCCCACACACACACACGCAAATCATGTGTCGTCTTCTTACTTGCGAAACATTTATTTTACATATACAAACTACGAGGAGATGTTGTGTATGTGTGTGTGTGTGTGTGTGCTCGCAAAGAAAGAAAGAAAGAAATCATGTGTCAGTCATGCGCAAAACGTGTTTTTCATTTTAAAATCGCGTGTCCCGCTCCTTCTTGAAACGGCTGCCGGCCAGAGTCTCCTTTGCATGCCTCGCACTTGATAAACGAGACGGCGACGGAGGCGGAGCAAATTGTCATTCGCTCTGCTCTGCTCCCAAGATACAAACCAAGCCAAGCCAGGCCAGGCCAGGCCAGCCATCATCTCAAGTCTAAGGCCTGCTTTCAGCTGTTCCAGGCTTGGCTTGGCCAAGCTGTTCCCATTCCCATTCGCATTCTTCCCATTTCTGCATTGCATTGCTGTTGTTGTTGTTGTTATTTAGCTGCAACTGCTGATTCTTGGGGGTGGGGACAGCAACAGGCTGTAGGCGATTGAGCATGGTTGGGGTCAGTGCTACTGGGAACTGCAGTGCTGTGGGGTTGTTTTTTTTTCTTATTTCGCTTTGCGAGCAGACGAGTAGTGGAGAGCTGCCCACGACAAAGTCGACTGGTGTCGTTGTCGCTCTCCCCATATATATGTATATATATATATATATATATATATATATATGCACACGAAGGCAGGTAAACAACAAGCCATAAATCGTTTCGTGTCTCGTGCGCATCGCTTCGGGTCCCACTCGTGTCGCAGCCGATGTGACGACGGTGACGTTGGCGAATGGCTTGTTCTTGTTGCTTATTCGTAGATACTCGCGCGACTGCAATTTGGAGCAGGCGCGAACTCAACGCACCAATTAGCATATTCCATTGTCTCTATGTGTGCGTGTGCTTGTGTGTGTGTGTGCGTCTCTCTGTGTGTATGTGTGTGTGTAGATGTGTCCCAGCCCTTTTGATTTTTGGCATTCCAGCGACCTCGTCGACGTCGTCACCATCGTGCCACCGAGTATTTAGTGGCATGGGGCGTGACACAGCTCATTTCGCCGTGCGAGAATTTTTGATGCCAGTGCGTGTGTTTGTGTGAGTGTGTGCGCTCAACTTTGTATATTATATATTTTGAGTGTGTGTGTGCGGTTTATTTACATCTACCTCGCGACCTGTCCGTAAAACTTTAAAGCGCGACGCGATTTTATTGGAGCTTCGTGCGAACTGCCTCCATCTCTGCTGCTGCTGCCTCTGCTCCCACTGCTGTCAGTGCTGCTTGCTACTGTTTGCTGCTGTCGCTGCCTCTGCCTCAGTCACAACAACCCCAAGTAAAAAGTATATGGCGCGCGCATTGAGCATTTGGCTCTACATATGTATTTGGCATGTAGTCGCCGCTGACGAATGGAAACGCATTATTTTCGGCTATGTGCTGCACTCAAATATATATACACACACAGATACGCATACATATGCATATGCACATGTATTGCGTGATGCGTGTGCATCTTAAGTGTGTCACCAACCACAGTAATTAATTTCAACTCTTTCTTCTTTACTTGCTCTGCCTCAAGTAAGCCTTGTTCATCTTCTTCTTCCTTATGTCTTGCATCAGCTTGAAGAAGTTGGAGTCGACTCCGAATCATGGCTAGATCGTTTCGGAGTCGACTCTGGATCTCAGAGACTATAAGAGCGAGAGCGAGAGAGAGAGAGAGAGAGAGAGGGATTTATAATTGGGAATATCCTTTTCGGTGATTGTTTGTTTAGGTTAGGTTCAATTATCTCGGTTGTCAGCGAGGGTGGAGAACCCCTCCGCCCCCATCCTGTGGATTGTAGGAATATGGCTAGTGTCCTTGTTCCGATATATCTGTTAAGAAAGGTGTGAAAGGCCCAGGATCTGAAGTCTTCTAACGTCGTGTGCAATGACAGAAAATGAGATGAATCGATTCCTCTTCTTCTTCATCAAGGCGTCAGTAATAATTAGGTGTTAAAAAAGTTGGAATTATTGCGATCCTGAATTTGAATACGCTAAAATGCGATTTCTAATTTTGATCATATTACCATTATTTTTACCACCGAGTACAAAATAAGACATTCCAAATTCGTTTCGAAAATACAGCTGTTATAATTCTGATTAATAATACATTCTACTCTCTTCACAAAAAAAAAACTTTATAGTTTACTTGTTGAAACTGTTCATATTAGATCTACTAGCATAAATATAATTTGCTGCAATAAAATAAATAAAATAATAAAATAAATATTAAACTTTTAATTTTGTAGTTATATTTTAAACAGCCACAACCATTTTTTTTAATCAAAACTTACGTTTCCTTAACATTTCAAAAATAATGCTTGCGATATGCACATAAATACGAACTAATGATGTAAGGCATACTTTTTATATATATAAACAGTAGTGAAAAAATAATAGCACCACTCCCATAAGAAATAATTTCAAAAGAGTCGTTCTTAAAATTGTAAGTTTTAGGAACTTAGATTACTCTTAAAACTAAGTAAGAAAGCAAAATATCATCATTTTATTCCCCGTTTTCAATTTATTTAAGTTAAAATTAAATTAAAAAAAAAAAATTGATTGCCATAAACAAAAAAAAATATATATAAATATATATATTGAATAGAATTCCAGGAGCAGTATTAACTTTAAATTAGATGAGGATTATTGAACAATATATTAAAAAACCAAATTTGAAAAAATTGTTACATAAAATAAGAGTTATGCAACTAAATACTAATCGTGGAATAATACGTTCACACACCATATCTAGTTTTTATATATACGAGTATTTTATAGCCCCAGAAAAAGCTACAAAAAAAGGCTTCTCTGATTATTTTGACAGTCTCATTTGTGATCAATTTAAATACTTTAATATTATTTGTTATTATTTTTAAAGCTGTCATATATTATAATGTGTACTAATCTGCAATATTGATTGCTTATGGTCAAATATAATTAGAATAATTTTTTAACTATATTTTAAGTATATATTTCTTCAACACTACTCTCAAAATAGGCAGCTTAACTGATTATGTAAGGCTTCCTTTTTTACACATAAATATATATAAATTATATCAGTTCTTCTCTTTCTTGTCTCTTGCAGCAGCCAAACTGTTTGATAACGGCTTAAAGTTGGATATTTCCAGCTATTCGCATATGAACATCCGCATGGGGACGAAGGGCAAGCGACCTTTGCGTAGCTTGACCCCTCGCGACAAAATCCATGCGATCCAGCGCATTCACGATGGCGAATCGAAGGCATCTGTGGCCCGGGATATTGGTGTGCCGGAGTCGACACTGCGTGGCTGGTGCAAGAACGAGGACAAGTTGCGCTTCATGTCACGCCAATCGGCCGCGGACAAAATGTGCGCCGATGCCCTCGTCGACAAGCTGGAGGGAGGAGGCGGTGGCGGCGTTGGCGGCGGGGGTTCGGCGGGTCTGCTGGGTCCGCCTGAGAAGCGGCCACGGCTGGAGCACAACAGCAGCAGCGGCCTGCCACTGAATTTCTCGAATAAGTTGAACTTCGATGAGCTGGCCTTCAAGCGATCGCCGCTGAACGGGCTCGACTATAGTACAAATAAGGGTCTGTCGGACATCGGCTACAATGGACTGCCCGTCGACTATGTGGGATTCAAGAGCAAGGTGTTCGGTGCGGATATATCGAGATCGGGACCAGCGGATCCCTCACTGAATGCGATAAGTCCGCTGTCGAGTCTCACCCATCTGTCCGGTCTTGGCGGCATCTCTCAGTCCCCGCTTGCGATCAGTTTCAATGAGCTGACTTCGAACCTAAATCTGCTGGCTCAGCTTAATCCCGGCTTGGCGGCCATGTCCGGCTTGAACAGCTTTGCGGCCACAGCCAACACTCTGCGCAATCCACAGAAACCAACTGGTCCAAATGGTCAGCAGCAGGAGCAGAGTCCGCGCAGCGAAAGCGGTGATCGGGAACGGGAACGAGATCGGGATCGAGAACGGACTCCGGCTCTGAGCGTGAAGAACTGGGCCAAACAGAAGCCAGCCGGCAGCAACTCAACAACAGCTGGGGATTGTGAGACGAATCTGGGCAGCATGAAGAGTCCGAGTCCATCGCTAGCACCTCTCCTCGTCGGCTGTGTGGCGCCACTGTCCGGCCTGCCCGACGATCCCCTGCTCTACTGGCTCAAATCCCAGCAGGCAATGCTCGGCTTAAACAGTCTATATCCACCACCACAGTCTGCAGCAGCTGCTGCTGCTGGAATGGGTGTGACAAGTCCACCCATCCGCTCCTCGACTCCCCAACAAATGAATCCATATCCCCATACGCCACCCATGCCCTCGGCAACGTCCCCAGCACCGGCACCAGCTGCGCCTGGCACGCTCGATGAGAAGCACTCGGCGTGGTACAATTGGTGCAAGGCATTTGGCGCCAGTCTCCACTCGACACTCAATCCGAATGCTGCCACATTGGCGGCACTGCAACAACATCAGGCGGCAGCAGCTGCAACAACAACCACTGCCCCAGAGTCGACGCACATCGAGGACAACATCGCCAAGCAGCCTTATGACAACATACTCTATTCCCAGCTCACCAAGGAGGCCGAGTCGCCCTCAGTACGCAGTGTGTCCTCCTCGAACGAGGCTCAGCCCACTGAGCTGGAGGCGGAGCCCGAGACGGATGCGGAAGTGCATGGCAAACCGGAGGACCTATCAGCGAAATCCGTGAAATCAGCCAGCTCCAGCCCGAGTCCGATTCTGGCCGAGTCCGTAACGCCAAATCCCGTGACGAACAGCCGTGAGCCGAGTCCTGAGCTGAACAGCGGCGCTGATGAACCATGCAAAAATGTGCTCAGTAATATTATATATAAAATCGGTGGAGCCGAATTGGATCATGACTCGGAGGCGAGCTTCAACAGTGAGACGCAACAGCATCAGCATCACAACAACAATGACGTCAGTGCCAGCAACAACAACAACAACAACTCGAATAAGACGGATGAGGAGGAGCGGGCCAAATACGCGGATATCGAGGAATTGGCAGCCATACGGCATGGTGAGAAATTCCTGCAGTGGCTGGAGAACTGCAGCAATCCCCGGGTGACAGCCGTGCAGCTGATGCAACTGAGATTCCTCATCGCGGCTATCAAGTCGGGCAGCGATGCGCAAACGGATTGCGTCGATGAGCTGGAGGATGCCGTGCCGGAGGCGGATGCAACGAGAAACAAGACGCGTCGCCGCAAATAGGATAAACCGAAGTTGGCGCCACTGGAGCCAGCCACGGATATAGACACAATGACAATGGCGCAACGTTGGCTGCCACCACCTACCAGCGTGATGGTGGTGGATGGGGCAACCAGTTGCCAGACGTATGCACCGGCCGTTTATCAATCGTCGGCAACTCTGCTCAGCTCACTCATCTTTCCCCCCTACGAATTTGTGCACTGTGACCTCGACGATGATCCGGATGACTGCCAGATCACCGGCGAATATCAGCAGTCCGATGAACTCAGTTCGAGCACGGACGATGAAAGTGTACAGCAAACTGACTTAGAATAACTAATTTCTTCCAACAAAACGAACAAAACCCCTAAATAATATATATATATATATATATATATATATATATATATATATATATATTTATATATATATCAATCTGTATGTGAAATGTATGTTTAAATTGATAGTCGTAAGCCGATCTCTGATCTCTCTGATTCACATTTAATTCGGTTTTATATTCGACAGTCAAATATCCATGATAAGCTTAACATTTGTAAATAACGCAAAGGATAATTCATTCATTTGTTCATTGTCAGCTAAAATAATATTTATATATTTAATGTGTTTTTTATACATATACATATACTAGAAAAATGTTGATTTGCTTTTAAGTTAATCACTTAGATTTAATGCGAGCTGCGGAGAGAGTCAGTTATACTCATGTGTATGGATTTGCTATTATATTCTTTTTATTACTATTATTATTATTATTATTATTATTAACTAAACTACCCATGCAAATACTAAGTAATAAAATTTGCTCATAAGAATTTTACCAATTTAATATATCAGTAAAATATTGAAAATACAAAATATATTTATAATTGTAGACGTATTAATTTTGAAATCTTGTTTAATAAAACATTCGAATTAGAAAATTTTTATGAAATAAATCGACTATATTTTATCGTTTGTTTTTGTGGATCATAAGAAAAGTAAGCTTTATCAATTCGAATTTATGTACATATCGCAAATTCTACTAAAGAAAGGCAAAATTTTAACATTTTCAGGATATAACATTTTTAATTAATAAAACGTGAAATAATAATAATAAATTTTAGCTGTGGCTATTTAAAATATAACTTCACAAATAATAGTTTAATATTTCTTCATTTATTGCAGCAAAGTTAGGATATAAACTATAGTTGCTAGTAGAGCTATGATTGACAATCTCAATATGTAAACTATGAAATAATTTATTTTGGCAAGCGAATAGAATGTATAATTAATCAGAATGAGAATAGCTGTGTGCTCGAAACGTTATTGGAATGGCTTACTTTGTATTCGAACTAGGAAGAATCCATTTGGAATCGAGATACACAGGCGCTCAAAATAACATTAAAATAATTAGAATAAGCTTAAGTCAGGATCTCATCGGATCGGAAAAGACAGCATCGGAATCAAAAAATGATAGTGAAGCAACAAATGGCCAAACTTGATAGTTAGGTGTCTGTACAGAAGAGAACTTATATTCTCAATTTTACCTTTTATTATCTTTGAGACTGTCAGACAGATTGACGTGGCTAGATAATGTTATGCTGATCACAAATATATCTTCACATCCTACGGTTGAAGATGATTCCCTCAATCTTTTACATATTTTTGCACAACTTTATTATATATTTTTTCCAATTTTTAATAGGTTCAGTGTTATTCAAAGATAACAGACCCTTGCAGAACTCAGTATACCAGCTGATACCCCTGAATCAAATTAATCCACTTAAATCTATTTTCTATCGTCCACTGCACCCAAACCAAGTATGCCAGAGACTTCATTTTTTCTAATTATAATAAATTTACATAATTATAACACATAACAGAAAAAACATTCTTGATAACTCTGACTCTTTTCAACACGAAAATAACATAATTAAAATCTAATTGGTGTATTTTGTATCTGAAAAACTATCCACCCTCAAGCTCTAAAATTTTAATCGAATACAGTAAAAAAGCTTGGAAAAATAATAAAACCTTAAGTGGAATTTAATACTTTACGTAAAAGAATCGGAATCGGAAACCAAGCTTTGTTTTGAGTAATCTAATAAAATCCTCTCATGTCATAAATAACAAAATTTTACAGGATGGAACATGTCCTTCAACACTAGGATGTCTTTCGATATGTCGCTAAAAAATAAGTATTGATAACCTACTTTAATATTCACCAAGCCCAGAAGATCTTGAAAAATAAGCTGTTAAATGATCCACAGAGATTAAAAGTGGGGAAATGTGGAATCTTGGGTAAACTGTCCTAGGTTTATGAAAACTATGGAAAGTCTAAATAATTATAGTAATGTTATTGAAGGAGCTGCAAAACACCTGTAAAAACGAAGTGGTCGGATTTAAATTACTTTTTAGCATAGTATTGTCTTGAAAATATATAATTAAATTAGCTTTCAAGAATAAATAAACTAGTCAGTGGAGTCATTCCCCATCCATACATAAAAAAATTAAAATGACAACGAAAGAACTAACACCAACAAAATGGTTAATATACGAATGGGGTATAAATGTAAATTTTACACATATTCAATATTATTTCAGTGTATACACATTCCAGATTATAATGATATATGCCTAGGGTTGTGACTTATTGATATACGTAATCGATTTTTATCGATAGAGAAAAACTGAAAAAAATTAATAAAATCGATAATCGATACACAAAATATTTTATTCCAAAGGTGTCCATAGTTATAGTTTTAATGTATTATACTATATATGTATTATACTCAGTTTAGTAATTGATTGCAACATCCACATGAAAAATAGCCATTCCACAAATGTTGCGTATAAAGAAAGTCCACCAAATTTTGGCATATTAATAGAGAAATCGATGTCAAAGATCTCGTCGTGGTATCACAAAGTTCGAAACTATAGGTTAGATTTATTTTAACATATCTTCAGAAATTTTCTATAGAGCATAGCCTGTTGAAAGGTTATTAGCTACATATGTGTATAAAATTAGAAATTGGAGAAGAAAATCATTTATGAAATTCAAAAACAAGCTATTTTCAAATGACATTATATGATTATATAAACTATCTAAAATGTATATGTGAGATCTTAAAATACTAACAAAGAAATTAATGTAAGTATTATGATTACACATTTAAAACACACCTTGGAAATTAGAGTAACGAATCCTTGTGTATTCAAATGGGGAAATCTCCTTCTTCAAGGGCATTGGAAAGTTACGATAAGATAGAAGGTCAAAACTGATATACGACATAATTACATATATATCAGATATCAGAGCATAAAACCTCAACACAAAATAACAATCCAAAAATGAAAGAATATTCAAACCCCAACATTTAACTTATCAAATATTGTGCTTAAGCATACTTTATTTAATAAACTAACAGTGAGAAATTATAGCTCCAGCCTGTTAAATTAATTCAATAAGAAAAATTATATATACATATACATATATGTATATAGTTTCCACATATATTTGTAACGAGTAGATACAGTGGGATTACAGTGCTGTTTGGTGGCCATATGCCTGCATTGACTCGGCTGTTGATCCTGATGAAGAATATATATACTTAAAGGGTGGGATGTACTTTCTTCTACCTGTTACATACTTTGACTAAAAACCATAATAACTTTTTGTATCCGCTTTTAACGAGTACAGGTTATATACAACAAATTCAGTGATGCGAAAATTTTCAAACGAATAAACAAGAAATAACTTGCATGAAATTTGCAAAAATAAAATTCCTATTAGGATTAATTATAAATTTTAGTGAATTTCGATTAAGACTATTAAAAAGACTAAAAAGTTCAAATTTGAGAGCGCCATAATCATAAAACCTTTGAAACTTCTTTATGTATGAACATTTCTGTATCAGATATATTTATTCAATTTACAAAACATTTCCAGTAAAATGATTGATTTTAAAGACAACCAACAAATCTGATTTATATGTAATGATATGTATATTAAATATAAATTCATATAAAAAACACAATATTCAATCAAAAGAGTTTTGCTTTACGTTTCCAATTTTTGGATAGAATCAATACAATACCATGAATATGCTGTAGTTTTATTAACTTGTTAGAGTGAACCATTTTATAAACAATTTCAAAAGCTAAAAACTATAACGATTTCAAACATAAGAAAGAAATTGTCTTAAAATCAGAAAGGATATTCTCTATACTAAACTAATGTTTATTGATGATATAAGCAAAAGAAACCCTATTATTAAAATTCCGAGTGCATCTATAAGAAAAGCAACCTGTAGATGCGTTTTTTTTTTTTTAATTTAGGAAAGTTGACCCTCTTATTAGGAAAGAAAAACTTTAACTAAAGAAAGACACAACTTTCCGTTTTAGAAATATACTTTTTGAATACGCTGAGTGAAATCGGACGGACAGACTATATCGCTATATCGACTGGACTGCGGTGTGTTCGTCAGATTGGTTTAAATTTGTAAAATTTCACTCAGGGCGATTTTTTTCTCAAAGTATTACATGTTATACTGATTAAAAAAATATTTATACCATGTCCGTCTGACAGTCTGTTCGAAGCAATGCACCAGTGCCAATCGATTCTTTATTAAACCTTCGAAGTATTTTTGGACAAGTTTAAAATTTAACCTTGTTTTCGATTCCGATTCAGACCCCGAACCCAAATTATGTTACTCTCAGAAAAAAATCGAGATGAAATATAGAAATCCATCCTGAAAACTTCTTCTTTTTGTTAGAACTAATTTCTAAACATATGAAAAAATAATTCTTAAAATTAGACTTTTTTTTAATATTTTTCAGAAATATATTTTCTTATTAAGAAATATATTTCTAACAAGGAAAGAAGTGCAAAACACTAATTTAAAAAATAATTCTTTAAACAAGTAATGAAAAAAGTTTTTATTTATTTTAAATTTTTCCACATAAAATTATATGACTTTATAAATAATCTAAAATATTTGTTTGTTTGTATGCTTAATAAAAATTTAAGTAACAACAAAAGTAATGCGAGAATTCTGTGTTTACACATATAAAATCATCATCATGTACATTAAAATAAAGAAAATAATGACCCTTGTTCTTAGAAATATAATTTCTTAAAAATAAGATGAGCTGCACTTGACGCCAATGAGGATTTTTCAAATCTCAGTTCGATTTGCCCATTAAATAAAGAACAGATGATGGACTGCTCGATAGAAGTTTGCTCAATCCCATTTATATTCAAAGTCATCTTACATGTTTCTAAAATAAGAACTAATTTTCACTTTATTGCAGTGAATATTAAATTCACAAGAGAAGTGCAATAAAAAGCGAGACTCCAAAGGAACAACTAAACTTATTTTTGACTCAGGACTGCATTATTAAATAATTTAAAGAATGTTTGGCGCGGAAATTTTAATGACTATTAACTGTTGAAATATTTATTAATATTAATATTTATTAATAAACAAATTACTTAACCAATTGCAATCTAACACAAAAGGAAGAAATTATCTCTACCCAGAGTACTCACATTTCAGTTACATTATTAATATGACAAATCGACAGATTAGTTGTCAGAGAATATTATTCTGTTTTTATTTGTCTCCAGTAAATTTGGAAGCCTTCTTTCATGTCATATTTATAAGCTTAATTCCCGTAAACTCAGTCTGCCAGTGCTCATAACTCGAAAGCAGAATGAAAAAAAAAAATGGAAATTTTTCACATTATCCTTGTGCACTTATTCCTTTTAGTTTTTTAGTTGCTCGTTATATTTTTTATCTAATCATTTTGGAGCTAGTGACTTTTCTCGAAAAATGTTCTCTTGCCTAAACGCATCTGTCGAACAGATAAGTTTAATGTATCTTAGGCGAGAAAATTCAAGACTTTTTAACCAAATCTTAAGAAATTTGGCCATTATATAATGTAAAGATAATAAAGATTATAATAAGGAAAGGAAACTTTATAATGAGAAAAGATCGCAAACAGCACCACACCTCAATTTTTACCATACTATCCGATCCATATAATGAGTTTTGTTGCGGAGGACATAGAAATAGTAAAAATATTTATTGGGGTCATCTAAATAATATTTTTATTGGCAAAAATTTATTTATTTATTATTATTTCCATTTTTAAGTGCTCGTTTAAGCTTTTCCTTGACCCACTTTAAGTTTTTATATCATATAATCGAAATTAGCAGGAAAGCTCGATAAACAAATAAGTGCCAAAGATTAAAGCATATTCAATTCAATTAGTGCCAAATTTTGGTCATAATTTCATCGAACTCGAACAAAAAATGAAAAGAAAAATCCTATAACGATTTCAGAACTATCAATTTTCCACAGAGAAAAGGAATTGTTTCACAGAGATAATGTAAAAATTCCGTTATTTTATCATTCTTATAATGAGCAATTTGAAGGAAGAATTTGCACAGGGTGTCCTATTTAAGTGTCGAGGATTGTACATGCAACAGTGTTAATCGCATCAAAAGAAATTCAATAAATTGTGGGCTGCTTGAACTGAGAGAATAAGATCAGGAACAGTCGCTCGCTGACAAGAGCTCGCTGCAATACATAAACTCAGCGTAAGCAAGGGTGTGCGCCTTAGCTAAATTGCCAATTAAGGTTCCTCTAAACTCGTAGATTCAAAAATGTTTTTGTGTTAAAAAAAAAAAAAGAAAACGACTCCTTGAAAACCTTAACATTTTTTGCTGTAAGACTTCTGTTGCTTTCGTGGTGCAAGAGGTATTGAACATTGATTGATGCCGATAGATTGATGCTGATCAAGAAAATATATGTACATATTCCTTATGAGGTCAGAGATAATTTCTTTTGCACTTTACATAAAGGAGTAAAGCTTCATGATGTTAAATTTATATTTATGAACTTTGAAATTTGCATTTTCAGCTCAAATCGAAACATTTATTTCGATATTGCTCTTTCGAAACAATTTAGTGTAAATAACAGAAATAACAATTAACAGTTTTCGCAGCAGCGAAAATCTAGTGTGACCAGTTATTATGCAATGCTTGGTTTTTCACCCTTTCCCGGAAGTGGCCACATTTTCTCAGTTATTTATAAGAGCCTTGTCATTTGCGATAGTACAAAATATTTCCGTTTCCATTTTCAAAACGGACTTTGAAGTGTTCCAATTCGCAAAAGCGAAGTTAGTTTCGTTTGTTAAAAATAGTCGATATTTGATGCTAGCGCTTTCAAGCGTAAATTGCAATTTTCATTTAAAATAAGAGCAGAAATGCATTTGCATTTAGATTTAATCTTTCCAGTATTATATTTTTAGATTTTTGGCGAACACATTAATGCAAATTAACTTATAAAGATGTTTTAAATAAATATTTTGACCTAATATTGCATTAATAAGTACGGAAAAATAATTATAAATCCATACAGAACAGGTTGAAATTAATTGCAGATCAATTCAGTTCGAAATCAAGGTTGGCTTGGTATGCAATACTTATGCATGCGGAAACAATTACAAGACAAGTAGAAGTTATTTACATTAATGACAATTTATAAATAATTAAATATAAGCATTAAGCAAAACACAGGCGTCAATCCGACTAAATGCTGACTGCATACAAATCTGTGAGCCTGTGTCCTATGCTCTCATTGCCGGGCTTCGCATCCTGAAAGCGGAGACGCGAACCACCAAGCACTAAGCATTTTTTGTTCGAAAAGCCTTCTGCGCACTGTGGTATTTATGAGCTGAAGCCCGTCTTTGTATGTATGCATGTGTGAGTCTGCGCCCTTTTTAAATTTGCTAAAAATATTGATAATCGACGGGCACCAAAGTCTACAATTTTTCCTTTAATTTTCGCACACAAAACGCAGTTGAGAATGTCCCCAATCGATCAAAACAGGCAGCTCTTAGTCGATTTGACGCCTCCATGACTTGAGTGCTTAGTGGTTCGGGTCTCCGCTGTCAACATTTCAAATTTGGTATGCAGTCAGCTTTTAGTCGATCTGACGCCTCTGTGTTTTGTATGCTTAGTGGTTCAAATCTCCGCTTAAAAGGTTTGATCCTTTTTTACCATGAAGGACAAAAAATATTAGATGTAATTTGTCTTTAAAAATGTAAAACAGCTCTAGCAAAGATTCCACCAAAAAATGTTGAATTGAAACGCTAAAAAAAATGTTGCATAGTTTGCAGCAGCTCAAAATGAAAACCGAAGAATATTGCGGAAATTGGACAACACCGCGTTCAGCGTACAAAATGTAACAAATGAAAATAAACAGGCTTACAAATTATTTCTTGTAGTCTACTTCTAATTTGACTTACGAAGTGGAAAATCTGCTATAAAAAATACTTAAAACTCACTGGTTTTACCTGAAGGGGCAACTCGCTCTTCAAATAAATACCGATTTTAACTCATTTATGTTTGGAAAAGGTTATAAAATGGTATTTCTTATTTCGGAGACTTACCAAATTTATTGGATCATCAAGCGGTTCATAGCGAACAAAATCTGCCACAAACTTAGCAATTTCCTCAACGCTTGAAATGAGTTCTGGATAAGCAAAGGCAGTCGGTCTTATCGTAGTACAAACGAATTTCTGCAATCGAACAAATAATAATAAATAGTAAATACATAATATATATATGTATATACAGCTGCGAAAAGAAATAACACCATAAGAAATGTTTTCAAAGGTGTCCTTTTAAATATGCAAGTTTAAGGAACTTATCACTTCGTTTTTAGATGTGGAAGAAGATTACAAAATTCGGTAAAGAAAAAAAAATGTATTTTATGCACCACTTTCAAGTTATTTAAATTTTCTTAAAATTCAAATTCAAATATAAATTTTATGAAAACAGAAATCGAATGAAAAAATGTGCAATTATAATCAAGAAAATTAGAAATATATAAACGATTTTTATAAGTGCAAATTTATTCGATATTCTTAGCACTTTTCGCTTCAAATGAAAGAAATCGAAATAATAAAAATACATATTGAAAATAATTAAATACATATCTTTATCGTATGTATATGTGGTCATACTAAGCAATGAAAAAAAACATTATTTGAAAAAATTTCAGACTTGGTTTTTTTATCAGCCACAACATATGTCATAATGGTGCTATTTTTTAATAATGCATAATAAATAATTAATAGTAAATATAAAATAAATAAAATTATTAAAAATATAATAAGTAATAGATAGATAAATAATAATTAATAGATAGTAAATTTGATGCAAATGTGACTCAAATGTTTGCAATGTAACAATCTGGCAACCCTCATTTAGCTTATCCTAAGTTTTGAATTGTCCGTGTACTCAAATATTGATCTCACAATAGTTCTGTACCCACTGCGTTTTTGACTGCCGAATGCGTCGCGTTATTAGACTAATGAAAGTGTGATTCCTGCATATCGTTATCTTGTTTGTATACGCTGTAAAACTGTGCGCTTGGATCTAACAAATCCAACAAAATTATATTATATATATATTTACCTGCACTTTACACTCGTTGGGCAAGGCCAAAACCAAAGCACGACGCCTGGGATGATTTAACACAAACTGTTTGCGAAAGTTCTCCGCGTAGAGGAGCAGAAGGCGCTCCTTGGGCGACAGCTTGTAGTAGGAGGGGGGGAAGCATTGCGGGCTGTCCTCGAACTCATCGGTTGTCTCGGGAAAGGAGAGATCAATTTTGCCAATGTGCAGAGCCGGTTCTCCCTCGGATAAACTCAATTCGCTTTCGACATGCTCGAATTCGGACTCTTCTTCGGCCTCTTCCATCTCCTCTTCGAACCCAAGCGCTTCAAGTTGTTCTTCCGCTCGACGTTCCTCGATTTCCTTCAGTTTTGCGGCATGTTTGTTCGGGTCTATGGTGCCTGAAAACTTTTTGTATTTCTGAAATAGTATCTTCGGCATATTTAGGCTGTTTTCCCTTTTTTTCTTTGTGTTTTGTGTTCGCAACAAAATTGGATCTGTTGCTATAACAACATTTAAATTTGAACAATAAGGCAAGGAACGTAAGTATTTTTATGTGTATGTATGTAAATACATAACATAGCAATCAGCCTTTAAGTGTCAGTGTAAATTCATAACGCAGCTACCAGCTTTTATATGTCATCGTTCGCAAAACTATTATACGAGTATGCAAGCATGTGTAAAACAAAGTAGTACAAATACCAAATATGTGGGCTGAGTGGATTTGGGCTATTACAGTTTGAAGAAACTGTGAAGTACATCTGTTACAAATATAACAGTTATAATCTGTGCTAAGGATCGCATGCGTTTTCTCTGTTATACTCAACGAAAGTTGAAGCCAAAACCGTTCGTGAATTCTCATTATATTTTAAGATTTTCGTTCGTTAAACGAAAGACGAAAAATTTATTTAAGCGATGCACTTTCCTTATATTTGCCGCATGAAAAGTTTATACAATGCTATTTATCGTATTTGTCAAATTTCTTATGCATACATGTATTTATTTTGTATATATTAAAAATTATCAGACAAACAATATTTTTAAAACTCAGCTTTATAGCAGTCAGTTATTCACACATTGCAAAAGAATCTCGTGGAATAGAATCTTAAAAAGAAATATTTAATATGCTTAGCTTATAAATACAGAGATGGCACCACCTTAGCTAATCTTTGTTAACAGGTTCAGCATCTAATAGGTGGCGCCACACTTTTTTGTACATTTTGAGTCATTAATTTTTGTGCATTATACAACTGTCATATTAGACTGTATTCTGCATTTTAATATAGTTACTTGAGTTTCAGAACACTTAGCTACTTAGTAATGCAATATTATCGTTTCTAATTGGTTACTATTCTCCGGGATTTGATGATGCTACACATTTAAATCTGAAGGTGGCGCTATATGCTTAATTTTTCTGTATTCGAATTTTTATCTTTGTTATACACTCTGAATTTTTGGGAATTATACAACTCGATAATTGAGTTTTATAGAAGTCAGCTACTTATTATAGTTTCTAATTGGATAGATATACTCTCCTATTATGCATTTAAATCTGAAGATGGCGCTTATTGACAATTTATCAGTGCTCTAATTTTGTTTCAAACGAATCTCTAAGAAGTCGAAAATGCCTTTTTGTGTGTTGAAATTAAACTATTTATTCAACAGCCTATGGCTAATATTTTTTTCATAAATTCACATCCACCTTGCAATAAAAATAGATAATAATACTAAGTTATCTAATTGAATGTAAAGCAGTAGACCAATTTTTCTAAGAAATTTTAATAAACTTAAACAAAGCATGAAGTGGATTTCCAAACCTTATTATTATTGTTATTATATTTTATTTATTATTTATTATTTATGTACATATTACTGTAGCAATAACACATAGATGGCGCCATCTCATACATTTTCTGTGTTTGGTCGTGGCATGACATGAAGTGTATGTCATGCAACTCTGATACAGTCTATGTAATATGTAAAAGACTAAATGCTATAGCACTCAGCAATTACTAAAAGTAATAGTATTGAGGCGTTTCGGAAAATAAATCTGCTATAGAGGGCGCTTTTTTGAATTCATGCGAATATATCCAAAGATGGCGCTTTATTAATTACTTGCACATTTTCTCAATTGTGTGAAAATCATTAAATATATAATATTCGTGGTTCTATTCGATGAGTGTCTGAACAACAACTCATTCCATCTAAACTTTCTCAAAAAAAAAATATGCCATCAGCAGCATAAGCTTAAACTTAATGCCGATATTCGTGCCTTTATCATAACATTAATAATTCTTCGTTCTAATTTTAAGAAAAATTAAATCGATTTTTATTTTCATTTTCTTTTTCGCAAGCAATGTTTCCAATGCTAAAACAGAAGGGATCGACAAGAAAATTGGGACAACAAAAAATTACGGTTTTCATTTGATTTTTCAAATTAACACATTTAAATAAAGTTGTTGAAAAAGTAATAGTTTTTCCAGCTAACTCAAATTAAATAAGGTTACAGAAAATTTTTTTTTTTTTTTGTAGCAATTTATTTAAACATTAATCAACCTATTGAAAGGATATAACACATTGATTTGCAAAGGTATAAATGAAAAATAGCAGTGAATTAAAATCTATAACATAAACATACAACTGGGCTTAGCAGATAATAAATAACATTAAATATTACATTTGTAGCACATTAATTTAGGAGGCGGGTGGAGGCGCTTCAACCTCCTGCACGTTGTATTTGACCCAAGTGTGCAAGCCAAAGGGTTGACGTGGTTATGCATCCGGTCATTATACCGACTCGTATGTCGGTTAATTTGTTGTGCGACTGTCGGTAGAGCGAAGAGCTGTGCCCCAAAGTGGAATCCCATATGACCATTTGGGCACGATGATGCTCCTGTACACCAGCAGCTTGTTGCTCATGCTGAGTTTGAGGGATAGCTTCTGCAACCAGTTGAGTTTCGCCCTTTTGGATCTACACGATGCCGCCGTGATCTGGATCTGTTTGCGCCAGGAAAGTTTCCTGTCCAGATACATACACAGGTTGCGAATGTGGTTCTCCTGAGGTATGACCATGCTGTTGAGTCGAACAGTTGGACAGTTACCATTCCTGAGCGCAAACGTGCAGTGCTGAGACTTGCTCCCGTTGACGCAGATGTTCCACCGGTTGGCCCAAGTACTAAAGCCATCCAAGAACCTCTGCGTAACCGCAGCTGCTCTCCAAGCAGTGGTGGAGTTAGCAAGGAACACAGTGTCATTCGCGTATGTGGCAAGCAGCGTGTTGTTCGCGTAATTTTTAATGTTTTTTTTTTTATGAATCTAGAGAAGAACAATGTTACAAATTCTGAGCTGTTCGACTTATTATATAGAGTATTTATATATATTTTATATTGTAGAGTATCTACTAGTCGAGCTCTTTCGACTAGATCTCTCTTCTTAGTTTTAATTAATAATTTAATAATATTCCAGTTGAACGACAGTCTGCAAGTCGGCATATCGAAAATAGATTTTTTTTCTTTCTTGTTACCTTGAACCCATTAAAAATTGTGAATAAATGGAATGATTTTGTGCAAATGCATCTAATATCTCAGACCTCATAAGGTGTATATATTCTCGAATAGAACCAAAAGTCCAATCAATGATAAATGATAATGATAAACCCTTGGCGCCATAAGTGTAGCGATCTTAACCAATTCAGGTCTATTTTTCTGAGTGTAGGCTCTATGTTTACATATGTTAATTAATAAAGTTGATTGTTCATTATTATTATTTATTTATTTTTTATGTGTTGCAGGCTAACCGCAAAATAAATTATAATACATATGCAACTTAAAATGATGTTGAAACTTAAACAAATTTTAGAGAATTGAGTTGGTTTTCAAAAAAAATTAAATTCTTATCGCTTATAAGTATTGAGTTGGGTGGAGTTAAATGCCAGCATTTGAACACCTATTGCACAGTCCTCAGACCACTACTATTATATAATTACTATTTAATTGTAATTAAAATATTTAAATTATTTAAATGAAATGGTCGTTGAGTGGACTATGCAACTTGGTTTCCTCACTTTCCCGTTCCCATTGCTTTCGGTTCGCCTGCAGAATGAGATCCTGGAAGGAGCCATATTCGGAGTTTTGACGGGATTTGGCAGTGAGGCTGACATCGCCTTCGTCATCATAAAGATTATCGTATGCATAGTCAGAGTCCGCATCCGACTCCATCGATGAGTGTGGCGTCAAATCCGAATCCGAGTCCGAATCGGAGTTATTGTAATCCCCATCCGCATCTCCATCTCCATTGAGTTGCTCAGCTCGGTCGTTGTTGTAATGCGATTGATCAATATTATGTTTTTGGTAGAACATTTGCAATAAATGCTCGATCCGCTCAGAGGACATGTCGGATACCATGTTTAAGGATATCTTGCGACGAACTCGCTTCAGCGGTTTCAGTGCATTATTTCTCAGTTCAAAATTGAAGGTGGTTTTCAGCGTCCTTTTCGAACTTTTCAAGTTAAAGCCAACCAAAGCACGCAAAAGTCGCTTAAGCTGATTACCAAAACGTTTACTCTTTTTAGTATTGGTAGGCAATGAGTACTTTGGGTTTTCCAGGATGAATCGATTCAGCAGCTCCTTTGTGCCCTGTTGATCCTTTTGAGATTTGAGCAGTTCAACTAAAAATTAGGACAAAATGTTTAATAATTTGTAAAAATTCGAAAAATAAACAATTGAGAACGTGTCTATCAAAATACTCTGATACCAATAAGTAAATTCATCTGATAACAGGTGCCACAGAAAAGGGTGGGTCTAGCCAAGAAATAGCGATCCTTAAAAGAGGTAATCTAAGTAAAGTTTTCTATCCTCTAAGTGTGGTTGTCAAATTGCGGTAGATATAGCCTTTTGTGAGTTTTGGGGGTGGAAGAAAAGTATTAGAGGGGGTTACTAGTAATCTACCTTCCAGTTTGGTAATTACAGCTCTTAAATTATGAGAGATATAAGCTTTTACCGTTAATGGGGGATAGAGTGGGCGTTGCCTAAAAGTTAGTTTCAGCTTGTTGGAGGACGTTAACTAGCAATATATCTTTCAAATTTGGTGACTCTCGGTTTAAGATTGTGGGAGGCATGCGATGTTATCAATTTGCGATTGTCGATTTTATCGATTAGCTATCACCGTAGAGAATAAAAAATTAAAATTGCTTACCTTTTTCATTGGATAATCCAAGCGTATTTTGAAAGACTCCCCATTCATCGTTGTGACTGTTGAGTTCCTTTGCAGGGGAATTAACGGTATTCCTCCTAATGTAAAATCCCAAACAGTTGTGCTGCGTGGCAAAAAACGCCAGTAGCAATACACGTAAATTCAGATACATATTGGGTTAAGCTCTTGCTGCTTGCACAGATCAATTGCAAATGACGCATTCGTCGCTGTGCTCTTAGTTTAAATAGCAAAAACAGCACTTGGCGTTAACTGTAAACACAACGGTAGTTGAGACAAAGTCAAAGATTCACACGCAGTGTGCGAGCGAGATGGACAATTGATCGAGCATTGCTCGCTTTGTTTTTCTTAGTAACACTTAGCGCAAAAGTAGCGGTAATTAAAAGGCAACCAGTGCAGCTAAATTATCGCTGATCCCACTCGACTCGACTCAGACAGGTAGCAGTCGCCTGGCGGCTGCGACGGTGACCGCAACTGCAACTGAGGCTGTGGCTGCGTCGGCGACTGCGACTGCGACGGCAACTGCGGCTGCAGCTGAGTTATTTGCTATACAGGCGAGAATCAAAACGCAATTGTGTCGGCTGATGATGAGCAGCGCTGCCGATGCGACATCGGTGCGCCGAGTCGTTGAATGAACGTAATAAGTAGGTCGCACAGCTAAGGTAGGTAGGTAGTCCACCGTTAGTTTGCCTCGTTCGATCGTTCGCTCGTTCGTTTGTTGGTTCGTGCGTCGCTTTAAATGTGAAAGGAAGTGAATATAAATCCTAGCGCCAGCCATAAAGGGATCAACTGCCTTGGCCGATCTGCTGGCTGTCTCTGATCTCTCTGTCGACAAATGTGTCGCTAATAATGGAATGTGCGTGTTTTTATTGATGCTATATAAATAATGTAAATGCAATTTTCAGTGCATGGCGACACACACAAAAGCCAATATGTAATTATCCGGCGCCCATTCGTATTTTTATCCACACACCTAATGGACATCCAGATGTCGCAACAAGTTAGTCGAGAGGACCCGACTGAGAGATACAACAGAGAGATACACTGTACGCAAATCCATTACAATTTTATATCTATAACTCTTATATTAGATTCATAAATCATCGCTTGAAACTTAAACTTCAGTTTTAAAATAAAAAAATAAAATATTAATAATTAAAGCCAGAATTTCTAATTATATATAATAATTTCAAATTTAAATATTCAATTAAAAAGGCAACACAAATTTGAATTTTAATAACTCGTTTAGTCTCTGAGATCAGCTTTCATAAATTGTAATTTATAAGTAATTGGCAATATCGACTGGACTGTCGAAGCTGATCAGTAATGTGTATGTGTAACCTCATCCTTATCGCCTTTTTAACCCATTGTTTATGGATACAAAATAAAGTGGACAAGACGCTAATGAATATAATGACAACACATGCAATTTAATCGTTTTGTTTCAATTTTTTGATATCTTGAATAGAAAGTTAACATAAAATTTAATTTAACTTTACTACCTTATTACCAATAAAATATAAGAAAGTGCTGGAAGCAATGTTACACAAGGCACTATAGGAAAGGGATCGATTATTTGGATAAAACTTGATATGTATTTGTGTTATGCTAATTTTTGAAAGTCTTGATTCCAAAGTTAAAATTCAAAAAAATGTATGTATTTTTTTTAAAAAATAGCTGGAAATTTGTATATTTTAAGTGTTATTTTCATTTGAACCGGCAAAGTTAAACAGGTATTTTAAATAAATTGTTAATACACATTATTCAATAGTGTTATTTTTTTTAATGCTGTTCAATTTGAATTTCTGAGAGTATTTTTAGGTGGAAACTAAGAAAAGTTTATGTGACTCATTCAAGAATGTTAAAACAAATATCTCTTTTAAATTTCTTGACTCAATCTCTCTTTAAATTGGAGTGTACTTAAGGTATATAAAAATAGGTACTCATGTAGATTTTGGCTTGTACCCAATAATTTCAAGTTAATGCGTACAAAATAAACCAATTAAACAATTAATATTAATGGTCTATCTTAATCATAATAGCTTCGGAGATTGTTTAAGATCATTCAACCCCTTTTATGTACTCTGCTTCGATTTAGGGAATTTTAACATTCCGATTTTAATTATTTATTAAAATAAGTTAGTAAGAAGCCAGCAAAGAAGGAAATATGGGTTTTATACTGCACTTCGCTATAAAATAAAGAGTAATAAGGGACATCTGTTTAGAAAATCGATTTAATAAGTTGTATTTAAAACCAGAAAGTTACTAAAGATTCCACAAATTATTTCGACATTTTGCAATAAACTTCGTAAAATTAGCATCGCTTGAGCCTAATCAACAATCCTACAAATATTTTTATTTATACTTTCATAAATAATTTCGACTTTTAAGAAATATATGCTTAGTATTTTCAGTCATTTAGAAAAAAATCATTCTCAAATAGAAATACTCTCTCGGTTAATATTCTATAAAATAACTTATTCCTCTAAAAATAACTAATTCTAATTGATTTTAGGTAAATCTATATTCGAATTCAAAAATGAAAACATGAGTTTTAGAAAGACAAAAGTATGGCGATTGGCAAAATTTGAAGGCAATTTTGATCTGAGTGGAGAATTCGAATTTATCTATGTATCTACTCAAAAACACTTGAACCTGTTGTTAGACTTGTGATTGGTACGTAAAAATGTGACCATATCAACTTACAGATCTTATGAAATTTCAGAAGTGTTACTTAATTAATGTTAATTTTAATTACAGCCAAAAACGTTGCAATTAGAAATCGATTTTAAAAAATATATAAATTCAGTTTGAAATTTCAATGTCTTAAATGTAGTCTATGGGATGTGTCACTTGATTCCGATCAATAATATATGGGGTCTGAAATTCTTTCCTTATGTCAATTTTCACAACTTCGTTATATCATTTTTTACTAGCTCGAGCAAAGGCTCCATTTTTGTGACATTTTTCGGTCCATCAGTCTTAATAGAAAATCAAAAGAATAGAGAATATATATATAAATAAATATATTATTATGTTATGTATTTTTGAAAACTTTAACAATTTCATTGAATATGGTAGTAAATACTATTTGCTCTCTTAAATTTATTTGTAATAAAGCTCTTTGTGGCAGTGCACAGATCCTCCGTGGATTGAAAATATCCAATTGGGTCCTATAATTTTTCTCCGCTGAGATTCACAATATTATAATAGTTGTGGTCGGGGAAACGCTCCAATTCGATATAGTCCATCTCAGTATGAAGTAATTTATCCAACATCTTTATAATCTCTGCGAATGTTGGTCGCTCATTGACATCCTGCGACCAGCAGTAGTACATAATGTTGTACAGCTCTCTTCGACAATGTTCGGGTTTCTCCAGACGGTAGCCGTCCCTCACCTATAAACGAGAGCAAAAATTAATTAATTAAAAGTTAAATGTATTAAATGAATTTATAAATTGGGTCACTGATTGAAATTGGATTCTAACCTTGCGCATAACATCAGCGGCCGATATGCCCGGGTACGGCGTGGAGCCAAGTGTCACAATTTCCCACATCAGTATGCCAAAACTCCAGATATCTGACTTGACCGAGAATATGTTGTCGTAAAGTGATTCTGTAGCCATCCATCTAAATAGACACGAAATATAAACATGTATTATATTAGTATTAACATATACTATAAGGTGTTGGAAAAGTTAGTAAATAACAACTAAAGCAAATATTACCTACCCTTGCAGATGGAAGAGTATCTGTTTACATATACATTTAATTATTACATCATATTAAGACTTTATTTAAGATGGCCCCAAATTGCACATTAGGAGGGGAATAAAATAGCCTGATGAGGTATCATTTGTGGTTTTGTGCCTAAACATTTTTTTGTATAACTATTTATTTTTGGCTGAAACTAACAAGGTACTGCAGCCTGGGCATAACATTTATAAGCATTCTAGTCAAATGCATTCTGATTATATTTGATACTGTTTGAATTACATTACCTTATTGGCAGTTTTCCCTCGCTCTTGCGCTCGTAGATCTTGGATGTAATGATATCTCTCGCGAAACCGAAGTCAGCCACTTTGCATGTGTGATCCTCGGTTATTAGAATATTACGGGCAGCAAGGTCACGGTGAATTATCTGAAATGGAAAATGCGTTTCGCAATATTTACAAAGTTCTAAAAATCTATATGTATATCAAAATTGACGCTAGTAAGAACTAAGATTGGATCAGTTGATTTATATTAAATTTACATTGTTCATTCGCTCGCCTTAAAACATATTTATTGTTCATTGTTCCCTTATGCTTTCCTTATTTTTTTTTCAGAAATAGCTTTTTTTTTCAATATTCTGAATCTGTTATTTTTTACATCAAGTTTTTAGAGGTGAACTTGCGGCAGTCGTCATAAATTGAGTAAAAGACCACTGAATGAGTATTGTCTTAAGCGACAGGCCATTAATTAAAAGAATCATAATATTTCGTTCCTAGTTTAAAACTGTGTATGAAAAACGCGTACAAAATAAGGGTTTTAGTTTGACGTTAATTTTGTTTAATAAATACGACTTTTGTAAATTCCGGTATTAAACAAAAATTGAATAAAATTCGAAATATTTTGCTTATATATTTAAACAAACTCGTAGATATCAGAGTCTACAAATCTAGAGGCTCCTAAATAAAAATAAAAATCAAATATCTTGAACCTATAATAATTATAAAGTAATTATCCAGTGTTACTCACCCCGCGAGAGGTTAGATAATCCATTCCCTTGGCAACTTGATACATAAATGATGTTAAGTCTCCTGAAGTCAGTAAATTTGATTTTCCGTGTGTGTTTCCATAATGCCTGCAATATTGAAGGTAAGAAAATGTCATTAATCAAATACATTGCCGAATTAAGGAGTACAATAATAAAAAGAGCACAAATGAAATACACGGATTAAAGATTAAATTGTTTTATTTGGGGTATAAATAAGAAACTTAATTTTTGCGACATTTCCTAGCCTGTTTATTTTACTCTACAGGTTCAAAGACCTTCCTATATTCTTTTCCTTACTCTCTATCTTTTTATCTGCCTTATAATCCATTTACTTTCCTTATTAATAAGCTACTAACACCCATAAGTTGTAGGCCTGATTTATTTTTTTCTGGATTTCCTCAATCTATGCCATGCATTTTGGACGATTTTACGTATTGATGACCATCGATTTCACTTTACGATTTTAATTCATTAAGGAGCCCTTGCTTTAAATTTAATTTAACTTTAATTAAAAATTTAATTTAATTTAAAACCTTTTTCAAAAAATGTGGAGTGTTTTTAATCTACAAAAATAAATAAAAATAAAAAATTGAACTTTTTTTTTAGTTTTAGTTTTAGAAAAATTAGAACAAAATATATATTTATATTTAATACATATATCTGTATATATATAGATATGAGGAAAAGGCCGACAGAACCGTCAATCAGTCAACGGCTTTTCGCTTTCGTATTATCTTTATATGGTCTGTTAAAACATAAAACCATTTTAAAACTTAATAAGCAAATTTTGTTGAGATATTTATAAAAAGAAATAATTCTAAACACTGACATAATATGAACACCAAACTTAACCAAAATATGATAACTTATTTTGTAGAAAAAAAACCAAGGACAACGATGTAGATTATATTTATGAATATTGAAATCTGAAAATCTAAGGAATTTATAGAATTATCTATTTAGCGATTAGTGAACATGAATAGATCAACGACTGTTTACCTTTCTGCTCGAGAGTTTCTTAAATAAGTTTGCAGCTTTCCACGAGTCACGTATTCGAGTATAACGAAAGTTGGATCCTTATCTGTGCAGCACCCCAACAAGCGTACAACATTTACATGGGGCTCCAGCGTCTTCATCACCTGAAACAGCAAATATGTCAGAATATGAATCGCCAACTTGTTTTTATTTATTTATATTAAGGAGAATAAAAAGTGCTTTATTTATTGAAACGGTTTTAAAACAATAAAATTAAAAGTGAATAATTAAATTAAAAATTAATATATAAAAAAAAATAACAAATAAAATCAAATGGTTCAGCATTCATTGCAAGGAATTAGGGAAAACTAGAACACATCCAATCAGACCTAAAATCTAAAAACGCTTTTAACTTAATAGTAAAAAACGTTGTGAATGAAACAGAAAGAAAAGAGTGAGGGAGATAATAAAAAAGAGAGCCTGTGGAGTAGGATAAGTTTACTAAAGTTATCGCATTGTAATATTTACAAATGACACACACTGGCTTCTGCACAGCGTAATCAAGATAAAGTTGCTAGTATGTCTAATAGGAATAAATACATAAGTTAAGTTCAGCTAAGTTGAGCTAAATATAATTTGTAGCCAATAAGAATATAAACATAGAAGCTTCGAATTGGCAAAAAGGTATCTGCAAGACATCTGAAACAGCAACAGCGTGGACAATTTAGACTTATTCATGTCAGTTCGCGACCTTTTCTAATTGTCATCAACTGGAGGCGTTAAAATATTGCAGGTGTCTGTTAATGTGTCTATCTGACACAAAGTATTGATTTAATTTTGCAAATTATGATTTTATTAATTGCTCCCCCGAGACTTTTTGCTGAATATTATTTTAAGCTATGTATTGCATTGCAATTGCTCTCCGTCCGTATGAATAAAGTTTGGGTATTTCCTTCTGCTACTCAAGAAGTTCAGATAGTATCTAGTGCCGCTAATACAGCCTTAAAATGTAAATATATTCGATACCCATCGAACCTATCGATAGCATACCCAGGATCCTATCGACAATATACCCTGTCACCCGACGAGAATTCTCGTATGGCATTCCCATTTCTAGGCAATCTAAAACAGCTCCTCGAAATATATTTTAATTTTTTTTACAGATAACAAAACACATTAAAGGCATTGGTATCAGTGCATTTATTACATATTGTTTATATGCGTTCAATCTTATTGCATTATTAAAAAATAATATATAGCCTTAAATTCTTTGCCAAATGTAATTATAAGAGCTTTACAAAATCTGATGGACTACTTGAAACCCATCCGAAATATTACGAAAAAACCATTTATTTTGTAGTTTTGCTATTTCAAAATTATCTGCACATTTATTGAAAATATCGCGGTTCAATAAGTTTTTCAGCGGAATACCAAGGTTTGATTCAGAAATACAATCTTTCCAGTTAAAACAACTATTTTCGAACTATTTTTCGATTTCTGTGAAAATAACTACTTTTATATAAGATTTTTGTAAGATATCACAAAATATATAAAACATATTTTGCATAGTTACACTTGTATCCAACAACCTTGTACTTTATTTTTTTCATCTGTCTTTATCTGGTTGTACTCTGATGTCAGAGTATTAGGCAGTCGGTAACCTACTAACTTATTTCATTTGGATTTAGTAACCGATTTTACATGTGATTTGACTGTCGTATTTTCGGCATAAATTTGTGTATCGCAGCATGTAATTTTCTATTGTGAAATAAAAAGAATAGGGTATTTTACCATTGATGAAAAATAAGACTTTCAAATAAAGCACGCACATTTTAGTCTCTTAACAAAGACTACTTAAGATTGGTACCATTCACCAGGCAGCCTTTTGAGCTATCCGGGTCATTACCAGGTCTAATCAATGAGTCCTGCGAACAGCTGAGTAGGACTCCAAAGTGTTGCAGTGCGCAAGTCTGTTGTCAGAAAACAGAGAGTCACAATTACAATTGAGAACATATTGTGGGGGACTCATGATTGTACGCAGCAACAGGAATCAGTTTGTGCCGAGGCGTCAGAGGGCGAGGACTCGTTTTTATTATAAAAAAAAGGCAACTGTGTTGTGTCGTTTTCGCTGATTCATACATTCGAGTAATTATGCGATAACTTGAGTCAAAATCATAATGTCTGCGACAGACAACGGTCTCCGATTATATCGTTCCTAATTCCGGTCTAAATTGCATTTCTTTAAATGCTGGTGCGTTCATATAATCTACGATTAAATAATGTATTACTTGATAGGATGCGTTCCACTTTTATTGACAATTCGAGAGTACAGCGACTTCCTGGCAGGCCGGAATCCAGCCGTAGATTTTCAAATTGAATAAATAACACATAAGCTGAGAGACTTGTTTGCATAGAAACAGAAAACAGTCAGACGGAAATGTCGAACCAATATTATTGATGCTAATCATAGACGTAATGGGGTCGATTATGTCTCTTTCGAAACGTGACACATGTCATGTCACTAGTATGTTCTCTGTTTATGTTTATGTATTTTGCATATTCTCGTGCAAATAAGTTTTCATTTTGTATGTATGTATATTAGGGCGGAGAAAAACTGGCAACTGCAGTTTTCTTTTCTTTCTTTTTTTTCACCGCTTGTCTTGATTATCGATGACCGTCTAGAGGATAATCATTATTTTTGCTGATTGCTGTCTTCATTTAATTAAAATCTTTACTAATCCATCGATATAATAAATTAGTAATAACCTACACTGATAATTTAAATTACAGATTAATTTTAGCTGATTTTTTTGTAGGAGAAATGACTCTTATGTCTACATTAAGTTGTCAAAGTAATTAAACAAACATATATCTTACCTCCAGTTCGGAAAGCAGGTCCTTCTTTTCAACTTCTCCAGCGCTCTCCTTTAGTGTTTTTACAGCAACAGTTGTAACCGCTCCAGAATCTGCAAGTTCAAAAATAAAAGTAAATAAATCAGCTGTTCGTGAAATATATTAAAAACAAATAAATAGTTTGATTATAATTATATTTAATTAGATTTTGGTTGTTATATTGGAGCTGTGAGCAGTTTAAGTCAAAATTTAATCCAGCTTGTTTGAAGTATTATTATGCAAAATATATATTTTTTTAAATAATTTTTCGATTGTTTATATCAAGGCTAACTGGCCGCTTCCGACATGTTATGTAAATGAGACTTCTCTATTAACATAGCAAGTCATCTTGAATGAAAAATATAGTTCATGTATTATATATATATCCAGTAACTTTTAATTGATTTTACTTCTCTAATAGTAAGTTATTCGGTTTATTAATTATAAAACGCATAATTAACTTAAAAGTGACAAATATTCAATAGCTTACCATCCATGTCGGAGGCTTCGCAACGCCAAACTTGTCCAAAGGCCCCTTCTCCCAGTATGTTAAAGAACTTTAATCGATGTCTGGGAAATTCCCATTGATCTTCCTTGGGATCGGTGCCAAGGCCACCTTCTGCCAAAGCGGCACGACCTGTGGATAACCCAGCACTCGGGCTACTTTGACCGACATCGGAGGGAGACATAGAAGCATCAACGCTATTTGCGGGATTTGTTGATAGCTGGCTTGACTGCGATGTAGGAATTGTTCAGTTCATTTCCCATTGTAGTTAGAGGAGAAGGGTTGATTTCCATATTGTCAGTATAGAGGAGCGGTATCAAAAATATCGGCGACGTTGTCAGTATTCAAATATATTATTGTCATCCATTGTTCGGAAAATAAAAATGCAAATTGTTTTAATATATTGCGACTTAGCTCCCAACAATTCTGCGATTTGATTATTATATGAACAGCTGTGAACTTGGAATTAATATTGGATTCAATATTCCTATATTCTGTAAGCAAACATGCAAACAGACGGAGGTAGCTAGATTGGAAGGGGTTTTTGATGCTGATCATGAATATGCATTTTTTACATATATATTTATAAAAGTCCTGTTGCAACCCTGATTGAATTATGTTAGACTGTCGACTACCTGATAGCGCTGATTGGCAATTTTAACCACAAAAAAGTCCTATAATTTTTAAAGTTTGACTAGAGCATTCTTACCATTATATTTATATTTTTATTTTATGTGTTTCGCCTTTTGTAAGAGGTTGGTTGATATGTAGATATGCAGCTAAAGCGACATATTCCTACGACCTGTTATGAAAATATATTCGAATGCGGTATTTAAAAATTCGGATCTCGTTTCAATATCTATGGGAAATTTATTGATATGATTTGCGAAAACGTAAAATTGTTTCTAAGCCATTTTCAAAACGGATGTTCAATTTGCGAAAGCACAAACTTTTCCAATTTTTTCATTTTATATGTATTGAATAACATATTTTAAAATGGAATTTTTGCGTAAATTGCAGCACACCTAAATATCTTAAACTTTATAAGACCTAATAAAATGCTCTAATGATGATTTACCATTTTGTTTAAAGGTATGCAGAAGTGAGATTATTATTATGATTATGATAAATTTTAAATTTCCGTTCGTTACCGTTATGGCGAGCTGTTGCTCACGCTCCCAGGGCACGTATCGGTTGGCGAAGGCGACCGGTCCTTGCCACTGTTGCAGGACCATCGAGTTGCGACTGTCATCAGTGAGTGTGTTGCTTGCATTCGATTTTTTGGCCAGCTCTTCCTTCTCGGTGGCCTTTTTCAGCGTTTTGCTGATGGCGCATAGGCGACGGCGACAAAGATAGCCAAAAATGGCGGCAACAAATGCGGATATGCCACAAATTATAATAATAAATGGAATCGAGGTAGACTTGATGGTGAATAGCGTTATGGTGTTCACGTTGCCGCCCTTTTCATCCTTGGATTCTGTGTCGGTCTCTGTTGGTTTCTCTGACTGAGACACTCCCTGTCCCTGTCCCTGTCCGCTTGATCCATGACTACCAACGGGGGTCAGTTTGGTTAGAGTGGTACTCCTCGTGGTCTGAGGCTGTTTAGGCGTTTGAGTCGGCTTAACATCTATTGTATTGTCTTCTTCTGCCTGCTTCACAGGCGGTGTCGATATGGGTGGATAGAAATTATTATATGCGGGTAATACGTTTGCCGGGAAACCTGGTGGCAAATTGATGCTCGGCCTTCGATTTGGCAGGCCATTTCTTATGGACTGCACTCCGGGCAGCTGATCAAATGAGGGTAAATACTGTGAAATATTCTGCACCACATTCGATATTGAGGGCGGTGAACGGGATCCAAAACCATGGAATCCATTGCTTTCGCGCTCTCCAAGTATGTTAATAAAGACTTCGTTTTTTGCAATGTAGCGTCCATCCGTGACGGTTATGTAAATTAGAAAATTTTCACCAGCCTGCAAGAGAAAAAGTGAATATATATAAATTTACTAATTAAGATACGCATGTGATAAAGTTTGCTGCAGATAGTTGCTTGAAATATTTGTTAGCAGTACAATTTCTGATTTTAAACTTTGTGATCGCAAACATTCTGTTTAATTTATGAATTTTTATAAATTACAAAAATTTGTTCGGCATTTAACTATTACCACTAAGCAGACAATACGAGAAGGAAAGAATAGAGGGTTGCTGCTACTTTGGCACACATTCATAACCCTTCAGGACCTACTAGAAAGAGTCCGTAGCTACTTGCACCCATGCACCCATGCACGCAAACCCAAGGGGACTAGATCTCTATTATAACAGAGAAGTTATCGCAGCGAAGGCAAGTGTAATAATGACCTTCGATCGCTGCTCGACACACGAGGTCAAACATTTTTCGACGCGCTGTCTTCGGGTCGCTGCTTTCCCGACCCGAAGCGGAATAGGACCCACGATCACAAAAAAATCATGCAGCAGGTTATTAGTCGATTTGAAGCCTCTATGTATTATCTACTTCGTGTCATTACTTATAAGCCCGACAGTTATAAAAATATCTTTCCAATGATATGCGGAGCACGACGGAGAACACACCCACAACATCCTGGAGTTTCAGAATACCATTAAAACATTATTTGAGAGACTTTTGAATTAGCTCTCAGATTTTAATGATCAAGATTCTATTCGTATGTTAAATTATTCTCTAGATATTTTTTTTTTCAAAAAGTCCCAACGTCTATAACTATTTCAATATTTCTAATTTTGCCATACCCATTCGATTTTGAATTCTTGTATGTCTTCGTAATACTGTGTGTGCTATATTGTGTCATGGCGATTTTCTAGAGTGCATGATGCTTTTTTTCTGTGTGTACTTTCAAGTTTTGGCATAGGAACCAGAGTTATCAGTGCAAGCAATAATAAACCATTAACTGAGCTGATTGCATACATGTAGAAAAGCTTAAGCTGATGCATTTTATGAATTCAATGGGTTCTACTTACGCGGCCCGCTAAACTTTCGTTGAGGTAGACAACACCCGTATCGGCATCGATGCGAAAGGGTATTTTGTTCGGTGTGTTTGCCTGCTGTTGACTTGAGCCGGGAGCGAGGAATCGTGGTTCAATGCCGAATACCAGACTATCGCCGTCGGCGTCTTCGGCATGCACTCGGTCAATGATTTGGCCAACAACTTCGGCTTCCGAAATTCGCCAATTTCGCTCTCGAACATATAAAATTGGCGGCGCATTCTGCTCCTGTGCAATAGCTGTAAATAATTGGAAATAAATTATAAATAAATAATAATGAGAAAATCGATTTTCAAAACATCTGCGAAAAATTATTTATTAATTTTCTTTTATAATTTATAAAAAAAAATACTCTTTTCAGAACAAGTTTTGTCACCACTCAAAAGCTTTATTGTGGTACCTAACCAAAGAGCGAAAGGGATAGTATGACAATTGAATAGAGAATTAGAGAACTAAATTTCGCTCATGAAATTGCCATATATTTAGCTCGTGGAACCTAGGAACAAAAAAGTTTGCTGATATTCAAAGAATTACCTAAAAAGTTACCAAAAGGTCACAGTTCGTGTTAAATTAAGAAAACACTCTCACTTTCGGCAGTGATTTGTTTACAAAATATTTCGAAATCATAAAATTGGCTGGATTACATTTGCGTACAAAACAATATAATATAAAAATGATTTTGTATATTAATATTTATAGTTATTTATATATATTAATATTACATAAGCAAATTAAAATGTGAAAAATATAAGAGAACTGCAATAAGGGTTGCAATGGTTTTGTAAACTGGCTTTTGGTTTGTAAACTGGCCTTTGTTGTGGGCATGAAAGCAATCAAAAGTAAAACGCGATTCACTTGATCGTCGACAAATAATTACTTAGAGAAGCAGATGCGAATAAAATTTTGGTCCTCTGAAATTGACATAGTGGAAAACTATACCTAGAACAAAGAATTAATTTGAAAAATTGCATTTTGATTTGCGTTGCACATTCCACTGTGCGCACTTTGAGTTTTTCGAATATATATTCTTATCAAGATCAGATTTCGTAATCATGACTCAACTATAATACCCTTTACAAGGCTAAAAATGTGTATGTGAATAAAGTACATTTTATACTTATAATATCATTTCGACTTTCTTAAAAACAATAAACACTAATTCCCGATTGTTATGAAAGTTGAATTTTAATTGAATTTGAATTTTGGAAAATATTGATGTAGAGAAAGTCGTTAGTTCGTTGTAAGTCAGCAAGAAGCTCAGTTCTTAAAATATATGTACACATGCAAATATTTACATTAATCTGCAATAATATCAATTTCTACGATATGCTAAAATAAAGCTAGCCCTGGTACGGATTTGATTTGCGTGCGTATCAATTATAAATAATAATTTTATATAATTGTTTCCCAATTTTGGAATTTTATGTTTGCATAACTACGGCACACATATAAGTCGAGTGGATCTAGACATCTCATTTGTAAATATTGTTAAGACCAGAACGTACATTTGCATACAAATGAATATTGCTTATGATATTTTTAACGCCGACGACATTTTTTCGTTAAGTTGGCTTGTGCCAATCACTTGCCAGACAATCGAACTGTAGCTCATAAATCATTAATGTTCCTTTTTCACAAAAGGACTGCTGAAATTTAATTTAATTTATTTTTTGTTTGATTAAATCCGCAAGCACAGTGATTTAAAATTTTTAATATATCAATAACTTCTCCCGATTGCCATTTATCGATCAAAATCGATACAGCATTAGAATGTAGTATAAATATATCTTGCCAATATATTTCTTAAGATGGGATAAGAAACACAAAAGTTTTTATGGAAACGTAGTTTCATACTGAGCAAAACCCATAGCAGAGCGAGCGAATATTTTCAGTAATTTGTATAAAACAATATAAAAGTGAAATCTATCAATACAAAAATCACTGATTCTGTAATTGACAGGGCTTACTCAAATCCGAATGATTATTCGCTGCGCTTCGATGGAAATGATCGAAAAAATGGAACGATTAAAAGCATCATAGCAGAAATTTTCATATTTAAATAATATGATCTGATTGTTATGGAAGGAAATCAAGTCGTCGAGCCTAAAAAATTGTTTTTAATGCGTAGATATAATATGTATGTGCCAGTCTGCTCTATGTTAATTAACCAAGCACGTGAACACACGCATGCACATACATAAACACATACATACATACATATCTAATCTCATTCATCGATCGCTTTAAGCCTCTGGACAAATGATCCTCCCTGTTGCTGCAAAAAACTATTGCGTCACAAATAATCACGAGTACTTGTTCGGGCGTGATCGAACATCGGGTGTTTGAGTGGGAGGAAAATGTTGTTATTGGCGATCATTTCTCGAATGCCGGAGATTTTAAATGAATCGTGAATAAATTTATGCGCTGCTTTTCTGAGAGAGCGTTAAGTAGCTTTCATTAATAACAAATAATAGCAGCGGCAGTTACACAAATGTAAATTTTAAATTAAAATTAAATAGTAAGGTTTGAAGATTTGCGAATCAAATTATAAGCTGTTTTAATTAATTTAATATACTTAACAGCTGTATATAGACTATCTCCTAGTTGGTCATTCCCCAATAGACGAATATTGTTCGGATTTTATTGCTTTCGCCATGCTCTCATATTCAATAAATTCGGCTACTTTGTTATTGTTTTCGTACAATTTCGCAGTAAGCGATTTCGATTATACTACTCGTTGTATATATTCCAAGTGTTAAGTCGCCAGCTTCAAGGGCATAGAATAAAGTTGGACATCAAGCTTGGCGGAAATTGCATAAATCTAATTGAAATTATTCCGGCTTCGGTATCAAAGTATACAAAATTCCATTTTGATTACATTTTCTCATATCAGCATTAGAATTAATTCATTTACTTTTTTAATATCGACTAATATAAGTTGACATAGAAATAATGTAGAAATAATATGCAGAAAAATTGAATATTTTTAAGATCTCTGGTGGTCTTGTGAAACATTTACTGCATAGATTAGGGAAAACCAAGAAATAACTCAATCAGATCAAAAAAGTTATTATGAATTAATAAAGATGACCCAGAAATAACTCAATCAGACCAAAACAAAGGTATTATGAATTAATAAAGATAAATGCATTCCGTATTTTTGTAAATATATGTTTATCGTGGTGAATACTTGATGTGCATGCTTCTTTTGTTTTTATAATTTATTCTCATATCTTAATTATTCTAAGCTTTAAAAAATGTGGGTCATTTGGTGGCAGCGAGGTGAATGTTTTAAAGATGATTCAATAAATTCGCATACCTGAATACATTTCATGATATGATTCAATTTTCTTTTTTGGAAAAAACCGTTTATTTTAAATATATTTTTTTATCATAGTGAATACTTGTTGAGCATACTTGTTCTGTTATTTTTAATTTATATTCATACTCTTAATTAATTTAAGCTGTAAAAATTGTTTTGGGTCATGTGTGATACAGACGTTTTAAAGATGATTCAATAAAATGGGATACCTGAAAACCACATTATCTGCATATATGGCAAAAATCCGTGTCAACGATTTACTTTAGCAAGTTTATTGGCAACGAAAATATTACGAGTAATATTCAATACTCAAATGACAAATGCGCAACTGGTGCGTCCAACAATAGATTGTAATCTTGAAAGCCCACACCAAGTGCCAAATGCCAAATGCCAGTGGGTGAAACCATAGTGAATATTTATTACCTTGACCGTGACTACTTGTCAGTTCAATTCGGAGACGACTGTGGCCACAACTTGAACTTTCTGCAGAAGTACGAGTGAGGCAGGTGTAAGTTCAGTGGCATTCCACAACTATGTCGCTTCTATCAGGGTCGGTGATTGACAGAAGCCAAAGTAGAACTATTAACATAACGCCAAGGCCGTTATTTTCTAACTATCCTTTGGGGTTGTGTGCAATCAGGAAATCAAATTGGAAGCGGAAACGTTAACCGTTAACCGAAATTAAACGACTGAAATTCAGAAGTGAAATCGAAATTCGTTTAAGTTTAGTTCCATTTTTTCAGATCATTTGGATAATTAACTAATTTAACACAAAACAAACAGTAAGAATGGACTAGTTGAGAGTGCTTGGCTAAACTTAAATAACCATACCTATTAGAGGCAGTAATCAATAATAAAACTTACCTTCATGTGTGAAGAGCAAATTAATGGTCACGATAACCACCAAAATGGCAATGTGAATGCTGAACCGCTTCGAAGTTCCGGACATGTTGTGCTTGCAAATGAAATGCCGCTCAAAGGGATACTTCATTGTGTAATATCAACCGCCAGAGCGGCAAACCTATAACACAAAGGACACAAAGCGTTGTTCAAAATGTAACACACACTTTTGAAGCACAATTCCTGCTCAATCCAAGAGCGATTTGTTTGCTTAAAAAAAATGATACACTCAGAAAAAACTCGCCCAGAATTATAGAAAATCGACTTGAAAACTATAAAGTTTCTAGAAATAATTTCTAACAGAAAAAAAAATCTCATTTAACAGGTGTTTGTCCTAAATCGAGTATCCCAAAAATATGGTAGAAATTTTTTTATTATTAAGAATTTCATTTATAAAAAGTAGAAATGCAAAAAACAAAAATTCTGTAAATTCAAGTAATTAATTATTTGATTTAGAGTCAGAGTTTTTTTTCCAAATTAAATTATATGAATTTAAAAGCTATCAAAAATGTTTGGGATATCTTAAAATACTAACGTTTATTAATATAAGCAACAAGAATCATTTAAAGTTAATTATTCTACACATATTAAAAAAAAAACAGACTGAAAACTACACATATATTTTAAAATTAAAAAAAAAAAAATGCAATTAAAAAAAGAAAAACCATGGTGTTTTGAATAATTAGATGAGTTATCCTTGGCGCAAAAAAATATTTGGCGAATTTCTCAAATTTAGGGCGTTTTTTTTTAGTGTACTGATAAGAAGATATTGACTTTTGGCAGATTCTTTTAAACATAAGAAAAGCCTTCCAACACAAGCGTGCACGCAATTTATTAAATTGATCATGTCTGATGTGAGAGACCTAGACCAGTTTATCAGCTTACAACCAGATCCTGTTGGCCTTTATATATATATATATATATATTTATATATATATATGTTGATATGTGCTAGTCATGTTGCGAGTACGCACGTAAAACAGGTTATAAGAAAACAAAGCTTGCGATGGTATGTGGCGAGCACGAAGAGGGTAAGCGATTTCTCTTCTTCTCATATACGGGTGCATGGCGCAATCGCTGGACATACCCAATGAGTTAACCAAAATAACAACCAAAATGTGGTTGGTAGTAGTGGTGGTGGTAGTCCAAGGGAATGGAAATAACGCGTATTTCCCAAAAGGGAGCCACATGCAAAGTGCCAAACAGTTATTCTTTTGTATGGACAGCAAATACTTTTACATTCATTATATTCATTTTAGCTGTAGCATTAGCTCTTTAAGATGACGTCACAAACACACACACACACTTGCATATATACAATTTTCAGATCCGTATAAATTTAATACGAGATTTCCGAGTTTAGCTCTTCGCTTCGATATTTTCTTTCACAAATATTTCGCAAGTTGAAATAAGGTTCACACTTTAAACTATTAATCAATATTTGCTGTACTTTTCTGTACAATTGGATATATATACATATATATTTTTTTGCTGTGCACGCTTGTACCTTTGTACTTATTACTTTTCGCATCTGTATGTTTTAAACACAAATATATAATTCGCTGATACCTATAAAAACTTTCACAATTTGCGTTTCGATCAGAATACAAAATACGCGCGATGTGATACGATCCGTATTCCAGCACGGTGTACAGACTACTGATTCATGATCGGTCTCTCAAGCTGTGCACTAATCCCAAGAGCGGAAAAAAAATCGAAAAACTTGTTTAAATGCCACAGACAACAAACTTTAAATGCTTCTCTTTTCCTCCTTCTCTCTCTCTCTCTCACCGAGTCTTGCTCTTTAATTAACTCTTTGTGGAACGCAAGACAAACTTTGGTTTCTGAAACTCCACTGAAATTTCTTAATTCATTTGCTTACATAATTTTTCACACATTTTATTTCAACGTTTTACCACATCCCAGAAACTTATTGACAAAAAATCGTTGTATAAATGGCCTCAATGAAATAATAAATAAACTGCTTTAACTTTTGAGATTTTAAACAGCACAATAAGCGACAGAATTTTTCTTATTGCAGGAGGATAAAACCGACCGGAACAGACTACTATATTATATAGCTCACATAGAAACAATTATACAAGAATTTAGTTCTTCCGCGAAAAAAGAAACTTCTCATATTTTGCTAAAATATTATTAACTTTCATATTTGATATGATGAAACTGGCATACCAAGCTGTTTTGATAACTTAATAATTCAGTTTAATGAAAAAGATGTGGATCGTAAAAGCAAAACCGAGGGCCCTTACTTGCTTCAATAACAATATCGATAGTGGTCACACTGTTTGTTTGTATCGCAAAGCCGGTTTATTTGAATATGATTTTGAAATTGACCAAAGCCCATCAGTTCCTATGCATTATATTATGTGCCACCCACTTACTCCTTTATAGCTCATGAACCCTCTACATTACCGAATTTATATTAAGTGTAATATGTTCCAAAATGCTATAATGAGTTAATAGATTTCATTTAGCACGCTTTGTCATATTTTAAACGTTTAGATTTAATTATATAAAATAATTAAATTCTTATCAATCGATTTGTAATCTTTTGTTTATATTTAAAACGAAAAAACTTGAATCTTTTATTTAGTAATATTTTACTTATCATATATATACACTACAAAAATTTTAATTAAAGTTCAGATTATATAAATGTATGTATAAAATCTCACAAATCTTATTGATAAAATTGGTAGATATAATAAAACTGCATAAAATACCTTGCATGCTTCTAATAAAAACACAATTCGAAATTTGTAAATAATGTAATAAATACTTTCAAATTATTTGTAAATTCAAACTTGTTCCACACATAGCTATCGTTCATCGGTGTGTCCACTCAGCCCTGGTTTTTTGTTACTAATCGATATTTTAGCAAATATATATATCGCTTGCACGATCAAAATCCGAAAGGGTTGTTGCACTGAAAAGCTTTCCATAATTATTTGTTTTGATTTCAGGTGAGTTCCAAAATTACATATTTAAAAAATACTCAAATCTAGCCTACTTCAACGTGTTGGGAAAAATAGTAATATAAGACTATAAAACAGCTTAAAACTAATTTCAAAAATGTGATGTGCTTCTTATTTATCTCTTAATTTATGTTCGCCGCTAAATCCGATCAAGTTTGAAATCGACGAAGCTTTTGGCTTTTTATGCACTATTTATACATTTTGCTTCTACCCTCAGACCTAAGATAAACATATATGGCTTATATATAGTGCCTGATCCAAAATATATCGACAATATAATGAAAAACAAGTGTGACCGTATGAGAAATATCGAATCTAAACTAGGCGCTAAATATAAAAGAATAGTATGGAAGCAAGATATTTATTGTTTACTCTTCTAAGAATTGACAAAGTACAAAAAATATTCATAAAACTGTCCAATCGGTGTTACAATTACCATAAAACTTAACCAAAAAATAGTTATGTTTTAATAGATTTTAATTTGTTTTTATTTTTTAAAATATTGCATAAATTTGATTGAAAAGTAATTTAAATTAAATGGGTTTTTAGACGCTTTGGATAATTTTGTCTTTAGGTCATATAAACATTATATTCCTTGATACCATTGTATATTTTTTATTTTCTCAACATTTTGGAGAAAAGCTGACAATATTGAGTACGAGGTACAGGGTATCTCATAATCTAGCTCTATCGAGTTGAAATGTCTTACTTAATTCAGCAAATTTATTGCGGAAATCGTATTAATAGCTGCTCGAAATTATGAAATCATCATATTCATTTCAGATCGCGGCTTGGGTTCACATCCGAAACTACACAACCTACACGGATTTCTGCAATTGGACGCAACCGGAGGAGGATTACCCCAAAGTGTCTTAAACCAATGGCGCCAAAAGAAGCCTTTAGTATATTTTTATATATTTTGGATATTTTTGTGAAGTAACACACGAGCATGGACCATGGTTATTAAAAAAAAAAAACAAACAAAAAATCACCGGTGAGTTTAAATATATTAGAAAGAAGTAATAGCCATTTTTAATTGAAAAAATATATTAATTTAAAATAATAGAGTAAAGTGTATATAAGCTACTTAACTATCCAACGGAACATTGACAACCAATCACAAACTTAAAGTCGAAACCGCATTCAATGTCAAATATTAATGTATATATAAGTATGCAATATGTATGTTTGTACATATCTAATTGCATTAACGTATATGTACATACATTTAAATAAGTGCATAGGTAAGTACTGGTTAAGTTATTATAGCCTCAAACCAAGGGCGTATCCAGCTTGTCACTAACGAAAGAAAAAAAGGCTATTGGAAAATGTATGTGAAATTAATACTTAAATATCTGAATGTGTCAAAAGAAATCAACCTATTTTTTTAATGCGGTTTTTTTTTACCCTAATAGAGAGTAGTTAAATTTTAAATTGCATTGATGGATAAGTCTCTGAGCTCATAAAGTATCTTTAGTATATATAATTTTGTCCGTCTGTCAGAATTTCTTATATACGAAATACACTCAGCTTAACAAATATATTGATGAGACTTGATATAAATCCCATTATTTACTGAAGAAAGGTTGGGAATGGCTTTGAAATTTGACTTAGACAAAAAAACTAAGAAAAACAAAAAAAAAAAAAATGGAAAGAAATCAAAATTCAACTATAAACAAAATTTGTGTTAAGCGAACAAAAACATAAGATTTCGACGTCCGTAATAAAATATATGTCTGCAGATTACATGGGTACGTAATCTTCGATGTGCCTAAGATAACCGTTCTTTCTTGTTTATAATTAGTTATACTATTTTTGCGATTCTGCCAAGGATTTAATTTCTATCCGATTTGCTTCCATTGCCAAAATTCTATTTTGTTTTTACAATGAACAATAAAGTTCCGTTTTAACTTTTCGCAGCTCTGCAAATTACAATATTTTGCTTTTAACATGAATTTTTTGCTGTTTATAATGTTGTGGAAAAATGTTTAAGTCCAAAATGAAATTTTTTGATTGCGTGCATCGAGGCAAAGACGAGACAGAAACTGCGTAAACTAAGGCCTATAAAATATTTCAGGTCTACCAAAAGTGTTCTAAAATTGCTAAAGTAAATATTTTCACAATTGACGCCAACAGTATGTGAGCTTTAAAACATACATTTGACTTGTAACGTAATAATTATCGTTTAGGCAACTCTGGTTATCGCAGCTAATCGATATTTGAGCTAAGCGATATTCCAAGTTCCATATGAATATTGTTTTTTTTTAATATTATTTGAAAGATGTAGTTATACAGCATACATTTTAATACATCTCTATCTGTATTCTTTCTAATATATAATTCTTAGTTATTTAAAACAGAAGTCTTGTAGTTCATAAAATGAACATACATTTTCACTAGGTTTCTAATGCCATTTTTATTACTTTAAACTTTAGTACAATGTATTTTGTAGTCGAGTATTCTTTTCCGTTGACTATGTGTGATAAGAATCGCTTGTTGTGTTATTCGGAATAAGCTGATAAGTAACAGACCAGAGCACCACTGAGTAATAGGTCTTCAGTTGAACAATATAACTCAATTCATGTGTTTCGGGATAAAAGTGTTTGTGTAAATTACAATTTGCACATATATTGAAAGAACAATAAATAATTACTACCGGCGTCGAAAAAAAAGTAATCACAAAATTGTGTCAACTAACTACAAATGATATTTAAGTGTTGTCCGGGTTATTTAGAGTATCTATTATTGTTATGTTTTTTTTCTTCGAAATCAGAGGCCGAGTCGAAACATTCGTCTGCTTGTTTGTCCGTCCGTTTGTCTTTGAATGTGCCGCTCTCAGAGACTATAAGAGCTAGAGAGTCAACATGTACAGCTGAGGGAAAAATAATAGCCCAATCCCCACAAGAAACGTTTTCATATGTGGCTTTTTTAAGTTTGTAAGTTTTTAAGAACTTAGAAGTATAATGGCCTTAAAAAGTAACATATCGTTTCCACATATTTAAAAAACTTTTTGTAAAATAGAGAAAATTAATGAACAAAAAAACACCATTTTCAAATGTTCACTCACAGTTATGAAAATTAAAACTATATGCATATACAGCGGTGTACGAAGGAGGGAAGGGCATTGGGGAGGGCAACTGCTTTACACTTTAGACGCAAAGTGGTTTTAATTAAAATTGATTAAGAATTACAATTTTACGCCATTTACAATAACTACCTCGTTATGAAATTTGCTTGTATATATATATATATATATATATTATATACATATGTAATTAAAAATCAGCCAACCAGTCTGATCGAGATGTGTACAGACTTTGTGAGCTGGTGGTGCCGTTGTTGTATTCTTGAGCAATTTTGAAATGCAGAATAGTTGGCGTTCGAATTGTCGCACCTCGATCAATTTCAATAACCTGTTAAAAAGTTAAACAAATACTCAATTTTGTGGTATTCCCAAATTGAGATGAATAGCTTGTCTGTGGGTTTGTACGTACATAAGTCGCTACATTAAATCGTTGATCGGCTCCATCGATTTTGTTGAAATAAATGATTTTCGCGAGTAAGAATTGTGTAACTACATTTTTTGAAATTACCGCACAAAAAAAAGTCAACCCCAATGTGCAGGGGCAGCGTTGAAAATGTTCATTTTAGGGTTAAGCTAAGAAACTCCAGAAACCTTGTAAATCATCGATAGAGGAATACAAACGATCAATCCAAAACACCGAAAGAAGGCGGAGTGATCTACAACCACATAAAATATACAATTGGAAAATATATTGTCCTGAATTTTAAAAATACGCCATACTAAAAATTAAAATTGTTGGGCAGAATTTTAATAGGCACCACTGCAACTTTATAACAACAACAATATAAAATTAGCTTTTTTGTTTGCTTATGTTGATAATAATCATTAGTAGTTTAAGAATTCAAATTTGCAAACATTTTAGATAGTTTGCAAAATTCATTTAACTTAAAATGGAAGGATTCGCTTGCGAGTTCAGTCACTTCCTACTGAGCTACTCGGTCTCTAGGCTTGATCTTTCTCTCGGTATATATATATTTGAACAGCATCACATGCATAGTTGACCTAGTTATAGTTCTGATACTATAAAAACTAAGACTTCAAGCTGATATAATTGTTAATTAGACTCACGAGCACTAGTATGTATGTAAGTAGGAATCGGAATGGATTCAGAGAATGAAATGTACAAAGAGAAGCACATATGTCGTCGTTTTAAAATGACATGTCCGATTGCGATGAAAGATTGGTGAGAATTTGGTGGGAGTGGATCTGCATTCACAGTGAGCGACGCACGCATGGAACAAAAGTTAAAATCGCCACTGAAGCAGTTCTTATCAATGCAGGTCTTTTTATTTGTACATATTGTGTAAAGTTTGGTGTGCAGAAATTAAACAGATCTTTCTTGTAGCTTACTTGATTTAACCCATTTATGTTGAATATTTTGTTTGTTGTCAAATTACTATTTAGTTAAATTAGATCCATTGCGGTGATGGGCAAAATGCATTTTTCTGTTCCCCATTCGCAGATTATCTTAAGCGTTGTACTAATATTTATTTTTTGCATAAATCTTTACGAATACTTTCGAGTTATCAATTCATGGTGTTTTCGAAAAATAAAATTTTAGCATGAATTTGTCGTTGGACAAATTAAGTAAATTATATTATTATTGGTTCGATTGGGTTTTCTCTGGATTTTCCCCAAACCATGCATAAACGTTAGGGCATTACTGCAAGTCAATTAATATTTTTTTAAAATTGTTTTTAAGCTATATACTAAATTTTATTTTTAATTTAATTTGATTTTTGTTAATTTTTACTTTTTGAATTTTTCTCCATCGACTTAGTCGACATTAAATAAATAAATATATTTTATATGATTCATTAGATATTACAAAATTGTACTAAAAAAAATTATAAAAATATACTTATTGCTTTTTGCTTTATCATTAACTTTTTTTTGTAGAACCAATGTGATCCTAAGTACAAAGAAGTCTGACAAATTGCTCAATTTGCTCATTACATTCCTCCAAGAGTGCTAAAAGAATAAACATGACACTTAAGTGCTCCTATCGAAGCCGGTGCAATACAATTGTGCTTCTGATGCTTCTGCATATTGGCCAGAAATTCTACGGCAGTGAAGCTAGCGTACAATTTGATCATCCGACTGTAGATAATGAACTTAATTTAAGTGAGGCACATCAGAATAAAATGAAACAAGTGGATTTACCAACGGACCAGAAACTTATTGTACGCTTGCCATCCAATACACTGCTGAAGTACACCTCTTATAAGGATGTTTCAATACTTCACTTTCGAGTTCCATCGGACTCACGAGCTGCATATTTTACTTTCAAGGCAACTGAAGAATCTAAGAGTTCGTTTCGTAAGTAAATCATTTATACACTTTCCCACAAATCTTTTTCTATCTATACTTTTATATTTACAGAAAGAAAGTGCAAAGCTAAGGATGTCACACTACATTTAAAGGCAAACAGTTTACCTGTGATAAGTCCGGAAAACATTACCTTCCCCAACAATTTTGTAAACTCCGAGCAAAGGTAAATTTTCGTATCTTCAGGTAACAAAAATAATTTAAAATTAAAGTAACAAATTAAATAATACAAAATTAAAAGTAAATAATTAACTTTAATTTAAAATGAAAATCAAATTGTTTATAACTATTTATTATTATATAACTGCTACTAGACAGCTTCTGTAACAATAATGGCTTATTCAGGGCAACTCTGTTTGATTCTGTTTTTCTTTAAAAATGGAAAAAAAAGGGTATAATGAAGTTGTGCAAATGTAAGCGGCAGAGGGAAGCGGTCGGTCTAGTCAAATTCATCTATATATCCGGCTGTCAGCTCGTCCGCTTGTCTGTCCGTCCGTCCGACTATCCGTCCGTCTGTATAAGCTCGTCGATCTCAGAGACATTAATTTAAGTTGATCGATACTTCTTCCGGTTCTCTAGTATCGATAAAAATCGATAAGCGATCGTTTTAAAAACAACTATTTTTAAAATGTAAATTTGTAATTTGGTTGGACTATACATTGACAAAATGTTTTGTATCTGTAAATTTTTTTTAAACATCGGTTACGAGACACAACGGGAAATCGGAAATTTACCAAAGAACACTGCAGCAAGCTCGAGTATTTCTGTATAAGCAATTTGTTATGGGTTCGATGTATCTACTAATCGAGCTCTCCCGAATACAGTATTCTTAGTTGTAATTTAATCATGATATGAGCAGACATCTCTGACTTCAAAAAATTTAAACATTTTTGTCCAGCATTAATAATCTAATATGAAGGTGTTTTATGCTTTTTAAATGTTGGCAAAAACTAGCAGCAGCCGACTACATTATCATGTAACCCCCATTAGAAAAATCTGTCAGTAAATTCAGATGTTAACTTATTTCATTAATTGCTACAAACATAGATGAATGCATTTTATTAGCTTTTCTTTTATAAATTATGTATGTAATGGATGACAATTGTTATATTAATATTTACAGATTCAAAGTATATAACCTGCAGTTTCAGTCCGATGCGCAGGAGCACCGCATTCATATACAGGGACCCCAATTGGGCAGTTGGTTTGCTGTGGCTTTTATCAGTTGGACAGATCCAAATAATGATCGCATTGAACAACAAGGTAACAAACATATTTTTACACTTTGTACCCACTAAAAATTGGTAAAAATTGTTTTATCAAGTTGTGCAAAAATTCTCGTTTGTGTGCGCGCTTTTATGGAAGCTGATTATCTCAGTTTTTAAAGAATCATGTTAACAATAGCTAGCTATAGTTATATTTGTATTCAAATAATTCGCACACTTTGGTTGAAAAATATCTTTATCAATCTAATATGTCATACAGCTTCTGTTTAGATGCTCCAATTTGCGAAAACTAAACTTTTTCCATTCTCAAAATAGAATATCTCAATATAGAGCTACTGCTTTCAATGGTAAATAGCAATTTTCATGTGAAAATGCAAAAGATACTTAATATTAATATATATAATTATTTGTAATCTGATCTATTGCATTAACTACAGACTACCTTACAAATATATATTTGTAATGATATAAAATATTACAAATGATCTTGGATGTGACTAGGTCGATCTGCAAGGGTATAACAATTTTGGAGCTCCGAATATAGCTCTTCTTTGCTTTAACAAAAAATAACTAGATATTATTTCCGGATCGCATTCCGAATGTTTCATTGTTCTATAATCAGTAAGTAAGCACAATTGTAATAATGAGCCTAAATAAAGTAATAATGTTTGGTTGAAGCTCATTTAAAACATGCAGACAACATTTTTACTTGGTCATCGAGTTTTGAAAAGTTCTGTCACTTACATTCCGAAGGGAAACTACAGTTTATAGATCAAACTCAACATGAAAAAATAGTTGCAAAAGGTTATTATAAATTGATCACATAACCTCAGAAAAAAGTCGCACTGAATTTTGGAAATTCGCTTTTTTGGGGTCAAGGGTAACTCAGCTTATTATTTAGAAAGTATGTTTCTAAGAACAAGGGTTTTTGTTTTCTAAAAAACTGATCTAATTTGTTTTTCTTTCATATATGTAGAAGCGCATCTCTAAACTAAGCTACTTTGTTGCTTATATTAGCTAATAAAAATGAGTAATTGTAGATTTCACATGTGTAAGCATTTTAGGTAGTTTACAAATTTATATAATTTAATTAGAAATTTTCAATTCAAATAATTTATTTGCTCATTCGTTTTAACTCTAGGACTTTCCGCGTCATGCGATACTGTGCTTCTGGGCGAATTATCTGTATCTCGCTTCTCACCGACAATCGTAAATGACGGACAAGTTGAGACCGGAAATCTAACCGGTACATTTAGCTCTACCGAAAAACAGAGACTAAAAAATATAAACAATACTAAAAAAATACACCCAACTAAAATCAAACAAAGCCAAAAGAGGCAGCAACAGTTAAATGTAGAAATTAAAAATGTGACGCGAATACAAAATGATCCGCTTTCAAGGCTGGAGATTGACGAACTTAGTTCGCCAGATAAGGTCAATGAAATGATTTATAAGTTCTATGTGCCCGAAGATGTGGGCGTGGCAACGGCACTTATAACATTTCAAGAAGTGTGCGAAAATTGTCCCGAAATCGGCTTCTACACTCAGGCAAATGCCTTCCCGCCAATGGATGGTGTGGATCAAAGTGTGGAAGGCAACGAACTCAACTACGTGCACAGGCCTCACATTAAGCCAAATCAGACTGAAGAGATCGCAGTTGAATTTTATGTGCAGCCAAACACTTGGCATTATGCACTCTTGAAATTTGTTAGGCCCCCAAATACAGGCGAAGAAGACGCTGTAGACTTGCAACCAGTTAAAAGATTGCGGCAAGAAAATGGTAAAGATGAAAAGGACTACAATGTTGCGTATACGCTGTGTATACTTTATAAGGAGATGGAGCCACTTAATAAATCTACAAAGACTCTGGGGCAGCCAGCTAAGCTCTCGGAGACTGAAAATGCCTGGCAGCCAAAACGTTTTCGCGGAATGGATTTTTATCCGCTGCTGCGCCAGAGTTATCACGAATTTTTTATGTTTGACTATGATTTGGTGCCGGATGCCAACGGCACAGTTCCAGCACTACTTAACCTAACGGCCCAATCTGCAGTCGGATTCGCCTTTGAGCTGGGCGAGGTTTACGACACGGGCGGCACTTTAACCTTTGCCCTGTCCATGAAGCACGATCTGCGTTTCAGGAGCGAGTTGAAAGCAGCGCCAACGACATCTCCATCGGAACGGGGTGGAATCCTTGCAGAGAAGTTGGTTAGCGATCAAGAGGACGGAGCGGGATTGCCGATAGCCAAGGATCAACTGTCGAAATTGGCTCAAGGAAACCAGAGCATGCAAATTATTGTGTGTATGCACCACGGAGTTCCGGGCGTACCCACCTGGCCCGACAAATGCCGATATGGTCAGCGACTTATGCCTGCCACTAGTTTGGTCAATAACACAGATGCCACGGGTCTAATCCACGTTCCCTTTCCGGAAAGTGGTCTCTGGTAAGTGCACAATACTCTCCTCCCACGACAGTATAAGCCGGATGTTTTGATGACTCCAAAACATTGTCTTCACTTTTATTTTTCACATAAGCTATATATTTTTTTCTTATTTTATTTATTTATTTAATGTTGACTAATATCAGCTGACACAGAAAAATACAAAAGTAAAAAATAGATTAAAGATAAATTACAAAATTGGTAAAACATTTGTTGTACGGCTTGGGGGAAATCCAGAAAATCCGAATTATACCAAAAATAGTTAATGTGGATATGCAAATATGCTAAAGAGACAAAACTTTCAAATTGAGTTCGTAATCATATAAATAGAGTACTCTTCATGATATAGTCTAGAGTACATGATAAAGTCTATTTTAATCATTACAGAGAACTCGAAAAGGATCATGACAGGAATAATTAATAGTACAAGAAGAAAGTGTGAAACAAGAAGTTCGAGAGAGACCAGCCAAAATAATTCAATGTAGCAGCATTAATTTCACCGTTTGGCAATTTAACTGCAAATATAATACCTAGCATAACAATACGATTAATTGGGGAGGGAAGTTTTATGATGAGGAATCGATCGGTGTATGGAGGTAATACAGTCAGAGCGACGAACTCCTCGTAAGAACTCCTTTGCACAGATATTGTTGAGACCACACACAAGATCCGTATTCCATAATTCGACGTGGAAGAGAAGTGAACAGTATCTTTAAAGTATAAGGGTCATAAAATTTCCATGACCAATGCTTAATATATCTATGAACTTTAAAGGCTTCGTTGACCGTTAGGCTTTGTGTAATTGGGTAATTTGGAGTGGGCGTAAATAATCAGTAATCTATCTTCAAAAATTGTAATTATATGAGAAACTATTTCAACTTTTGGATTAAATAATTAATTATTATTAATTATTTAGTTTTTATTAATAGGAATCTAACAGGTACGAGCTCATAAAGTGCATATATTCTTAGTCAGCATCAAAAACTTCCAGTTGATATATAATATACCTAACTCAACTTTGAAACACAGATTTTGTTAATAAAAATATGTTTTCGTATTAAAAACGCTAGTATCATATCATTATGCATTTAAAGCCTGGGTTAAGAGTTCTTCTGGATGAGAAGCTCGAAGATTTGTACATATCTTCTCTCTCACTCTTTAACTCTATGTTTCTCTCTGCCTTCTAAGCTTTTAACATTCCTAATTACCAAGCCACTAATTCTTATACATAATTCTTATACATTTTTGGGATGTTGGTTTTTTTCCTGGATTTTCCAATCAACACAATATATGTTGGATTACATTAACATTTTAGTACCCATGATTTGTTATATCCTTTTTTTTACTTATTTTTTTCATTTTTATTTTGTTATTTAAATTTTCTTTAGCTTTTTTTTAATTATTTGTTTTAATTAAATTAATTTAATTTTTACTCGCATTAAAACTCATTCTTATTTTTTTGCTTATATTTTTAGGTATGTTACTATGAGGGTGTACTGCCCTGAAGCAGACACTGCACGGGCGACTATAATTGACAGTGTCAAGGAATTTGTACGGACCCACTCCGATCTGCTTTTGGAGATGCGAAGTCCTTGCGCCTGCGCTGGTAATGCTGAACGGTATGAGAAGTGCATCAAGTCCAAGGATTGCTTGGCCGGCATGAACGAGACGGATACGCTGAAGGTAAAGGAATGTATTATGGATTACAAGTGCACCGATGACTATCTGAAGATGACGCATCTCTTTCAAATACACCACAAGTCTGCGACGGAGCAGCACTTCGCGGACAACTGCAGCACCTCGGTGATCTTCTCGGTAGCATCGAGTCCATGTGTTGCCGGACGATGTGGTCGATTTGGCCGCTGTTACAATTATATGTCCGGCGGATTTGTATTTTCCACATGTGTCTGCATGAAGGGTTACCGTGGCTGGGATTGCACCGAGGATTCGCAAGTGCCCTCGAGCATGTCCATTCTGCTGGCCACACTGCTGCTCACGCTGAGCAACCTTCTCTTCATTCCGAGTATTTATTTGGCCATTAAGCGTCGATACTTTACCGAAGGCATCATCTACTTCTTTGCCATGTTCTTCTCGATTTTTTATCACGCCTGCGACTCCGGCGAAGATGAGTACAGTTTCTGTTTGGTCAAGATCGGAGTTCTTCAATTCTGTGATTTCTACTGTGGTCTATTGGCCATTTGGGTCACACTAATTGCCATGGCCCATGTTCCACAGCAGTTTGTGTCGTTGCTTCACATGTTTGGGGCCATTCTCCTAGCATTTGGCACCGAACTCAACAAACAGAGCCTGTGGGTATTTCTAGCCCCTGCTCTGACAGGCATTTGCCTCATTTCAGTTAGTTGGGGATTGAAATGCTCAAAGACCCGTAAGTGCTTTCCAGCGCGGCATTATCTGATCATCTTTATGCCGCTGGGGATGGTCCTGGTAATGGTTGGCCTGGTCTGTTACGCCTTTCTCCAGACCAAACAGAACTATCACATTGTGCACTCGATCTGGCACATGGTCATGGCGATGAGCATCATGTGCCTGCTGCCCGCACCACAGTCTTTTGTTCCGAAGGGCTAGCATTCGGATTTATCGAGGGAGATTCTCATATGGAATAAAAGGTATTCCTAGCTCTGCAGCTGATGTACCTCACATTTTTAGAAAACAACAATCCTTGCACTAGGTCTTGCAACTGTTCACTAGTAATAAGCTATACCATATAAGTAATGTACGATATTAAAGCAGTAGTTAACAAATTACTATAATTTATAATTATAAGCCTCCTTTGAATTTATAAGTATGTATGTATCAAAATCGAATTTTCATAGTGAAGGAAAATAGAATGGGATTCTAATTTATTTATTTAATCAAATCTAAATCCTGTCCACAAGCATTAGAAGATTAAACACATAAAGTGTATAAAATATAATTGGAAAATTCAAAATAAAAATAATTGTACCATTAGAAAACTAAATTAATATAAAATATAAGAACTGATATATCTGGGGGTATTAAACTGGCCCAAGAATTTGGGAAACCAAAAAAAAAAAAAAAAAAAAAAATCCAGACAGACCAAACATCCAAATAGATAGAGCTTAATAATGTTAGGGAAAAAAAGGAGAGAAAACGAGGTAAAATAAAGAGCATGGAAAGAAAGTTTGGTAAATTCGCATCAGCTAAACACGTTCATAGATTTCACGAAGATATGTTACTATTAATAGTTAAGAATTTAATTAAAATAAGGCATTGTAAGACTTACTTAAATGACATGACGATTCTCCAAAGTGGAATCAGACGTGCATCAAGGTAACAGAACAGCGATAAAGTTCCTGGTATGTCTACTAGAAACAGGAAAGTTAAGTCGACGTAATAGAAAAGATTAATATATTTATCAGTGTATGTATGTAGGCAGGTAAGCTAGTCAACGTTGGCATATTAATAAGAAATCGATTTTGGAGAACGAAGTCAAACGGAGATTTGGATCTTAGTTAGTAAAAAGTATTGAAGAATAGTGCGGACAAAAGAGCCATCAAATTCTTTTGACTAATGCAAGTAAACCATTAATCCCATTAACAATTGTTTACATATGGAGATTGAAGCCTAGTTTGATAACTAAGAGAACCAAAAGATCCTTAACTATAATTGCAATGTGACATGGTTAATCATAACAATCAAATGGTTAACTGGTGTCTAGTGCTTATGACTAGAATCATAAACAGGCATTTTTTGAATAATTAAGATGCAACTGGGTATTTATAGAGTTGAAAATATATCAGCTGTGTCGAAGGACGAGCAAATATGCTTTAGACGGGTGAGCTAGACTACGATTTGCCCTGAAACCCCCCGCTGTTAAAACAATTCTAGTTTTATTGCAAAATTTCCCAATAGGAGAGGATTGCCTGTCATTTCATTTCATTTTCTGTGGCAGCCAAAGCCACTGTAGAGTAGAGAAAAAAGTAATGGAAGTTCCGAATTTGGAAAATGGTGGCTTTTTTGCTATTGTAAATCAAAATGTATCGATATTCGAGAAGCGAAGGTAGATAACGATCAAATTAAATAAACTTTACCTACGCGGGGTATACGAGAATTTATTTCCAAGTTGGAAGTATCTGACTCGAATAGTTTCTGAGAACAGCATGTTCATACAGACGGACGGACGGAAATCGGCTGTGCTGTTGATACTGATAAAAAATATATGTATATACCTTTTGGGGTCGGAGATGCTTCGTTCTGTCTGCCACATACATTTGCACAATACCATACCAACCTGTTTCCCAACTTTCAATGTATTCCGATTATAATGAGCCTCCTTATCGCACGTTGATCAGTTATTGTGTTAAAGTGGTATCCCGCTGGCAACATCTCATTTTTCCAACTCATTATTGGCTAGATTAAGATCGCAAACTTACATAAGCCATTAGCTCCCGTTTTTATGCAGCAATGGACTTGTCCGGAAAAGAACAGCATTCAGGTCCAGTATGATACACGGATGAAACTTACTACAGGCTACATAATACCATATGTTGATTTCTGATCCTACAAGCGATTGGTCAGTTGATGTACAAATATTTATCATTGCCATAATCTTAGGGCTAAGATGGGGGCCCTAGATTATAATACAATATTGTCTGTGACGTCATATCAATTGAATAGTTGAAACACACTTGGAAATGCAGTGCTTACGAAAACGATGAGGAGTGAGCAAAGTGATCAGAGTGGAAAATTTATAGTGCCGATAAATCATGCAGTTTAAATAAACTGAAATTTCCCAATCTTAGAAAACTTTTTGCTTTATTGTTACCTCTAGCTGATGATCACCAATCCGTCGTCCATACACTTTAATGCTAAGAAAGTTTAGCGTTAAATGTAAAAAAAAAAACAAAACTACGCTCCCTGGCCTTTATAGAGAAACATAATATAAATATCAGATTCACATCAGAGAAACTGTTGTCACTAAATCTCACTACGATACCAAACCAAACCGTAAATATATTTATTTATATTTTGTAAATACAAAAACTAAACTTATAAAACTGAACAAAGAATTAAATTAAAAATATATAAATAAAATTTTTAATTTTTGTGGGTCTATAAATTGTGATACCCTGTTTTAGATTTGCACCATACATTTTGCGGGCTGTGCTTACAAAATTGCATCTGGCCCAAAAACTGATCAATTAAAAATCGAGTGCCAGCTGACATACAAAAAGTGTTGCTGCTATCTTCGCACACATTCAAGTGTGTACGCGATCCGGTAGCAATATAGCTGCTTCTTTCGCACACATTGATTACCCGTTATAAAATGTGCGTACCTGTTCGCAGCCATGCATACATGTTCATAAAAGGCTGGATTTTTCATTTACCCGCGATGTTGTCGCAGCGAAATCAAGTGAAAGAATGACCAGCGTTCGCTGCTCGACATGATGCTCCCGGAAAAATTTTCGACGACTTTTTTTTTGCCGATTTGACGCCTCTATTGTATTGTCTGCTTAGTGTTATTATTTAACCAACTGCTTTGAAAAGTGTACAGCCCTGACCGCAAGTAATGTTGCAATTTAGGTGCGAACTAGTAGTTCGATTTGAGGTGGTGAAATTGGGTTTGTGTGTCTCACTTTTGTTAAGTCCGTTTTTATAATATAGGAACCAGAGTTCGCTGGTAGCACCGAATTTAAACCATAATTTTTCCAAGGGATAATACTGTATATTGTGTAGTATAGTAGTAGTACTAAGCAGACAATACAATAGAGGCGTCAAATCGACAAAATAGTGCATGAGGTTTTTGTGTGAGTCTCTGTATTGTCTTAGTGATTACAGTCAGTACTTTATGTTGACGGGTCACCTTTATTGTTTAAAATCACTGCACAACGATTTGATTTACTTCTATGATTGATTTTTATTTACATTGTACTCTAAATGAGAGTAAGTCAAGGTTTTTAGCGCACAGATCCAGACCCGTAGCGAATTTCTCTTTCGAATTGCTCCGCTTTCAGAGTGCCGTCAATACTTTCACAGTTCTTGTTAAAGACACTGTATGCACTTATTTCACTCGGTTTTCTTGGACCAGTTCTGGTGTTGAAATATATTCCAAATAATGCCGAGAACATCAAAAACACCACTCCGAATTTGAGCTCTATGGCAATCACATACAATGTAACCCAGAATAGAAGGTAAACAGTCCAAAGAGTGTATTTTAAGCACTTGCTCTCCTCGTTTGCATTAGCATTTGTCCGGTTGTCCTGTGGCAACAATTCATCATCTTCGCTCGAGGCCACATTTTCATCAATGGTTTCATAAATTAGACCGGATTCCTTATTTAGCGTTTTAGCTGGCTAAAATTGCAATTACATTTGTTTACATTGTTCTATTGTACACGTTGACAAACTAGCGATAATACCTTAATGTCGATGGTCGTTTCACTTTTTCCCTGAGTTATATCTGCACCAGTGCCCAGCATCCAAAATCGTTTAGCTTTCGTTTTGATTCTGGTCAGTAAATCCTTTCTTTGTTTCTGTTGTCGATACTGCCTCAACTGCTCTTGGAAATCAGCCATATTCTTCTTCTTTCTCACATATGTTTGGCAACACTGTTAGAGATGGGAGCGTCTTGTAATCGGTGTTTTAACAAACCGAGTCACTAATTCTTAAAATAGCACTTACTTACATGCAAATGGATTTGTTATATCTTCAAGTGTATTCAATACTTGCAAAATTAAGACTACATAAAAAATCAATAAAAGTCAATACTTAGTAATCTTCCTTTTTATGATGTATTATCATTTTAAATCACCATTTTTAAGCAGACAAGATAATTTTGTATATTATATTTATATTATATCATATAACTCATATGATTAGCGCAGTTAATGATTTAAGCGAAAATATTTCTTCTAGAGCTGTGCATCGTAGCTCAATAATCATTTCAATAATTCATGAACTGTACATGAAGTGATCATTGGTTGAATCATTTGCTTATCGGAACTTGGTTCCGGCATTGGAACTAAAATTAATTTTCAACATTATTTACTCAAAGTTATATATAATGAACAAACAAAAATGTAGAGATATTACGCATTTCTTGGGCCACCATTTGTAGAACAGAAACACCTATCATATAAATCAAATCAACCAGCCTTCTTCGACTGTCAGAACATTTTCCACAATAAAGAAACGCACAATCCGAGCTGCTTGGATTAAGGGCTGGGCAGTTTTATATTACAGTTTAGCGGGAGTCGTGCATTTTGAACAATTTGAAGATTATGAGGAAGCTCAGACTATGTTATACACCAAGAAAATAATGTTCAGTTCAAGCTAGTCGCTTGCGGAAATGAGGTGGCGCAGTTTTTAATAAGAGAATAGGAAAATATAAAAGCAAATATTCTTTTAAATTCCCTAATAGCAAACATAGCCTTACTCGTTTGCTTATCTGTTTGCAAACGAGTGTCTCAGCTTAAAAGCTTCTAAATATATCGAAGTTTCTTGTTAGAAAACCTGGCACGACTTTTGAAAAATGCGAACATAGATTGAGAGGTGTTTGAGGAATAAATCAAATTAGATATTAAATTTAAAATCAAACGGGTGGAATACATCCTTGGATAATTGGTTAACTTCACACATAAATGTGATGCAGATAAGGTGGTTGAACTGATGTTGATTGAAATTTAATCTAATATTCTCTCATCGTTAAATGTATGGTTTAAAACTCGTTTGTGACTTGTTTGGAACGTTTCAATTAACAAGTTAAAAATATTATGACAATGTTATAAATAAGAGTAGATATCTTGCTACCTATTCAGTAGTTACACTTTGAGCATACGAAAGTATGTCATAATAATCATAGCAGCTGACAAATATTCCTACTGAATGCCTGACTAAGTGTTGACTACTTTTATGGGTTCACACTTTGAATTGTGAGAGGTCATAAAAGACGTAGACTTGTTTTGCATATCATTTATGTAAATACGAGAGTCGTCTGATAAGGCATTGGCCCAAGTGAAAACGAAAATGCTAAACTTCTTAGTTAGTGTATTTATTGTGCAGTTTAGTAATATAATTTCAAAAGATCAATCGAACGATGAGATACTGAAACTATATTATATAATTATTATATTCTCTGGTCAAATTAAAAATAAAAAAAAATAAATAAAATAAAATAAAAATAAATAATACATTTTTAAAGTTTTATTTTTTTTTTGGCCGATAATAATGAAACTTTTATGCGTATGAAATTATAAAAATATTTAATAAAACAATAAAGCTTTATCTGCAAAAGATTTTTTCATTATGTATATTTTAAAATCCTATCATACATTGTCCCGCAGATTCTCCTACCGATCCCTCTCTGTAGTACTGTGAGCAATGTCAGCATGCATCTGAATTGCTTAAGTTGCTTTAATTTATTAAGAACTATAAAATGTGGGGAAGGTATTGTTGACAATTAAGACTCTCGACAGTCAGACAAAAGTGATACACAATTAATAAATTAAACAGAGGGCATCTTCAGACCTTATTTTTATCTTTGTTGTGCACTGATAAACCAATCTCTAACGTTCCAGCGCAGAGACGTCGGAACTCGCTTTGAATGAATATTACCAATTTGTGTATAAAAAGATATGTCCGCGAGCGCATCGTGCTTCTCTCATCGTGATTATTGTGAAATTGTTCAGTGAAAAATAAATTTTGTACAATGAATACACGCGTGGGTCAACAAGATCCCGAATCAAAGCCAGTTGACTCCTTGCAAACTGACACGAGTGCTGGTCATGAGTATGAGGAAGTGCTTGATTTAATTGGTATGATAACTATAATTATAAACATAGTAATACAGTAACAAAGTATATATAGCTGCTAACTGAACAACGACTTGTTAAAGGATTTGGACGTGTGCAGTGGTGTGTTCTGCTTGCATCAGGCCTTTTACTAATGATGGTGATTAATGAGACAATGGGAATGTCATACATCACAATCGTATCCCAATGTGATTTTGAGACCAGTTCAATGGACAAGGCAGTAATGAGTGCAGCCAGTTTTATCGGTAAGTTTAGCTGAAGAATTAAGAAATACCTATTATTAAAAATGTCAATTTGGATAACTTCTGCTGCGGGTACATAAGGATATATGTACATATTTTGGGCTTAAGTATATAATGAATTTTAAAAAAATTTCCAAATAAGAAAGATTTTAAATTTTAAGGCCGACATTCATTTTAGCTCGAACTCATGGCCAATTTTTTGTCTGAATGTATTTTATGTAAATTACAGAAAACGCGCAATTGATAAAACTTTTCATTTCTTTTTTAATAATCAAAATACGTTTTTTTCTTTGAACAAATCAAGTTATTAAGTGTAATAAAAGATTATTGAGAGTAGTCAAGCTAAAGTACCGAGTCCTTTATTAAACCAAAACAAGCTTAACTTGAAGTACAAACTTTGTTATTACCATGTTCCATTATCATGTCTGCACAATTATCGTGTCGTCTCAGCAATTATGATTGCGAGTTGATTGTGTTATCAATGTTGTGCAAACTGGTGTTGTTAGGAAGCCTGTGCAAATCAATCCGGTGCAAAGTCTGAATTTTCATCATTTGTTTTTTTAAGTAATAAAAAGATGCGTGTTTCGTCTGTTAGTAAAATTTGTGATTCATGATGCTGGTACTATTAGCCGATTATCTCTTCCAACTGGTGTAATCTTGGATAAAGCATTTGGAGCACGAGATAACATAACAAATACATTGGAGAAGGCAATTAATTTCCATGAAGTCTTCAATTTGATCTTGCAAAAATATTGCATTGGATGAGGATGTTGTTTGCTTACGATTTGTCCCACGCTGACTTGGCCAATTAATTAAGAAATCCATATAAGTTCATTAATAAATTAAATTATGTATACATTTGCATCTTCTAATAACTTCATAATAAAAAATAAAAAAAAAGAAAACAAGTGAAGTGAGTTTTACAATTTATATTTTAAATATGACTTGAATAAAATAAGAAACAAATTTTTAACATTTACAAAAAATTCGTTATTATCATTCAAACATTTTGAAAAATGTACATTAATAGTTTTTCTTAGTATAATTATAGATATTATGGTAAATATTTATTGGATTGGATTAATGATAAACATTGGTATACTTGTGCTTATTGATAATGAACTTACATTTATATATTATTGCGCCTCATGCGTCTTTCTTCACCACTACCTGCAATCGAACTCTACTGACTGCCGATCAGATATCGATACTTTTGCTGATATCGCTGCTGACTCGACTACCTGCTCTCAATAGTATCGGGACAATGGCAACAAGGTTGCCAGATACCATTGACCGCTTCTCATTTGTTTAACTCTTATGCAAAATCCCACATTAATATTACAGATATTCAAGAAATTTATTTTGCAACGAATCATTGTGCTTTTGGAACGCAGAAGGTTAGATTTGAAGACAATCTCTGCGCAGTTCCTCAACTGCCAGAAACTCTTGCCACCAGCGAAATATTAATAAGCAGATTTTAATACCGTCTAGAATGTAGACTTGACCAAAGTTATTATTATTTAAAAAAAAATAATGATCTTTCTCCTTTTAATATTTTAACTGTCTCAACTAGAAAACAGTTTCTTATTATTATTTAATAAAATTAAATTTTCTTTGCAATAGGAATATTTTGTTCTTCATATTTCTGGGGCTATCTTAGCGATTCGATTGGACGAAAATCAGTGTTATTGTATACAACATTAACTGGAAATATTGTGTCTTTAATTTCAATCTTTATTCCGAATTACTGGATTTATGTAGTTGCCCGTTACTTTGTTGGATTTTTGTAAGTATTTTATTAAAGCCTTAAATATATCATACATACATTTGGTTATGAAAATAGTTATGTCAAACTGTCAAATCAAACGTCGGCAAATAAATATATAAAAAATATTTGTTAATCATTTTCGAAAATATTATTATTTGGTTATATAATATTTAACATTTTAGTGATCACATACTTGTAATGTTTCGAACTCTTGCGCTACAATTTTTATGAACATAACTTCAACAATAAAAATTTTTTAAGTCATACAATAAAATAAATGAAATTGTACTTTGATTGGTAACTCTGGGTGTCAAATTGTAGGATATATATATTTTCGAGACTTTAGGGTTGAAAGTTTGAGTGGACGTGAAAAATATTTAGATCATAAGTACATGGAACAACACCGATTTATTATTTTCACTTCAGGTTGAAAATATTTTAATTATATATTTTTTATTTACTTATTTAATGCCAACTAACGTTCGTCGACACAAGAAAATACAAATAGTAAGCTATAGATCAAATCAAATTAAAAATAAAATTTAATGGAAAATGGAAATTAAAAAGATTAGAAGTTTTTATAAGGATTAAAGGTAAAATGGTTCAAAACTTATTGCGTGGTTAGGGAAAACCCCAGAAAAACCCAATCAGACCAAAAAATAGTTAATATGAATTTGTTGAACCCAGCGACAAATGCATGCGAAAATGTCAATGCAATACTTAAAAAATTCTATCGTAATCATTAAATTGAAATGATTTTTTTATTTCACAGTATAGCGGGTGCTTCTTCTACAACATATGCTTATCTTGGGGAATTTTTCGTAACGCGACTTCGCCCGACGATAATCAATTATGCCACCTTGTCTGTCGGTGTTTCAACAGTTTATGTGCCTGGTAACTAATTCAATAATTATTTAAGTGTCTGACAACAATCAATTTAGCTTTTGAATCCTTCAGCTGTTGCCTGGCTTGTAATGTCGATGCATTGGAGTGTAGAAGTGACAGAAACTATCTCATTTCGACCTTGGCGCTTATTGACCTTTTTTTATTTACTTCCTGGAGTGTTGGGAATCATTATGCTATTTCGATTGCCTGAAACTCCAAAACTATTAATATCAATGGGTAAAATCGATGAGGCATATGTCGTATTAAACTGGATTGCTTTGCAAAATGCAGGCAAAACGCTTGAAGATTTCAAAGTTAAGAAAATAAAATCTGATATTTGCATTGGGAAAGAAAATATTATGACTGTTTCCAACTCACCGTGAGTATTCAAGCGTATTTATTTTTTATTTAACTAATTCTGTTGCAATCTGTTTAGAACTGTTTCTTTTAAAAATATGTGGAAGGAAACGTTACCATTGTTCAAAAAACCATACTTAAGGAACTTTTGTATTAGCTGCCTGGTTATGGTCGGGTTTTTCTTTAGGTGGGTTTATTAACCAATATGCTTGAGTTTTTATTAAATTCAAAGTTAACTTCCAGCTCGGCGGGAATGGCGCTATGGTATCCAGAAATACTAAATCGTTTGAGATCAGACATTGCCGAGGACGACATGACGGTATGTGATGTAATCGATGCATCTATTGATCAGGCCCAACTCAACGTAACAACAAATGTATGAGTGTAAATAATACACCTATTTATATCGAAGTCTAAGCATATTCTAATATATTTCAGATATGCAACGATGAAGTAAATACAAGGAGCTACATAGACACAATTATTTACGGCTTGGTTCTTATTGTCGGCTATATTTTAATCGGTTTTGTTATGAATCAAATTGGGCGCAAATTAGCAATCACAATTAGTTTGGCCATCGCTTCAACTTGTGCTGCTTTATTGGTGTGGATACAAAATGAGATTATCATCATAGTCTGTTTTTGCTTGTACCTCGTATTGCCAGGCTTATGTGTATCGGTTTTGAGCGGTGCCGTGGTGGATCTGGTCCCCACCCATTTAAGAGGGAAGGCGCTTTGCATATGCCTAATGCTGGGACGCACGGGTAGTGTTTTTGGCAGCAACCTAATCGGAATTCTTTTGGAATCGCACTGCACTATAACATTTGGAGTGTTTTCTGGATTGGTTTTTGGTAATTATGTTCTTAAATACTTTTAAAACTGTCAGTCAATACTTAATTATAATCTTCATACAATTAACTTAATGGACAAAATTAATAAATGAATAATGTCATCTGTTATCCTCCGAGTAAAATAGTAAATATAATAACATGAGTATATCATTGATCATGTTCAGTTAACTAATGCGAGTAGCTTTTTTTATAATTGCCGAAAATATTATAAGTTTGTCATATATATATCATTTTGTTATATATAGCCAGATTAATATAAATATAGCTGCCTACACCTGTAAATATAAAAAATATATGTGTCCAACTAGGAGATACCTAATTCTCAGCTTGAGCTAATTAATTTTAGCGGTTTTTTTTATAGTCTTTCCGAGAATATTATTAATTTGTCATGATTCATATGTAATGTAAATTTGTGTGTCTGTTTCTTAACTTTAGTCATAAATCAATTCATTTAGCGGCCATTAACTGCCATATTGGATGATAAAGATAAATTTGTGTGCACCTTAATTAAAAATTTGATCCTTTTTTAAATTATAACAAAATTTAACTGTTAGTATGTAGGCTCCCCTCTACTAGGGTATTAATCTTCGGCACACAGAAGATTAACTAAAGCCAAAAAGTTCATAATTTACATATAATTTTTTCCCTTGCAGGTTGTGCAGTGCTTTCTTTCCTTATTCCAATGTAAATAATCACACGGGAGTGGTCCTGGCTGTAACAAATCAAGAATGGATTATTTGTAGGAAAAATAGATTGTTTGCTTTTTTTCTAAACATCTTAAGGCAAAGGCATCGTCATTATTTATAAATGACATGTTTTGCCATTTTTTTCTTAATACAAATCAGATCAACAAAATGAATAAAAATCAACCACTATTTTTGTTCAATAATGGACACCATTATGAGACAAGACCCTGCATACGTAATAAAGGGTGTATTTCCTTAAATGTTTTCATATAAACGTCTCTATCTGTAGCTACAGGTATGTAAATAAAAAAAATTTACAAAAATAAATTTATATATTATAAATAATTATGTTTAAAAAACAATTGTAATCATCTAACTAGTAATAACTAAGCAAACATTGATAGATATAAGGCTAGTATTTTAAACAATAAAATCAATTGTAAATTAGAACTCAACCGGTGAATTACACACACATTTTTTTAAGTTTCTCAGATTTCTAAGAAGACTAAATTCTCTGCAAACAAAATTAATGAATATTTATACTTACAACAATACAATACTTGAAACACAAAAATCCTGGGCTTAGGCCTCAACGAAAGAGCAGAAATTAAAAATATGAATGCTTCTTGTAAGCTTCCTAAAATTTAGAAAATCCACTGAAAAATAGAAAAAGTTTCAGAAATAAATTCTAAATATACAAAAACAGTTCTTAAAATTATAAAGTTTTTTTTTTAATTTTCAGAAATATATTTCATAACAATAGAAACAATTGTTAAAAAGTAGAAAGCCTCTAAAAAATTTCATTTTGCATTTGCATTTGTCTCTCGCCTGCTTATTCGAGTGTAGCTGTTGTCTGCTTGGAGGCTGTGTATCTCTGCTGCAAATTCATTCAAATTAAATTTATTTACGCTATAAACTATCTAAAATATTACACATATAAAAACTCTATGGAAACTATACGGATTTGATTCAAAGTCTTAAAATGTAATTTTTTTGTGTTTATAAAAACACAACCTGCCGTTTTAGAAATCTATCTCATGAATTATGTGATGAAATTTTCTAAAATTCAGTGCATTCGTTTTCTGACTGTAAGAACAATAAGAAATATAGTAACAATAACAAATTGTCGGGCATTCATTTCTGTCAAATCTTTACTCAAGCTAACTCTGAACGTGAGTTGGTTTTACAAATATCTACATAGAGGTAACAATCGAAGTTATTGGTTTTTTCTAACTACAAATAATATTGATAATGTTAATAAGTTAAATGCATATAATATAATAACTGCCAAGGCACAAAGCACACTTTCAGACGAATTATGTATAAAAATATGTGTCTTATATTTTTTTAAAAACAAAAACTTAACCAACAATTGGTTTAATATTCCAAACATTTGGTTTCCCAATTGACATAACGGCCATGAACTTTGATTCTGCATACGCATATAAATGAATATTGTTGGCTTTAAACATTTTGCGCCAGATAAGTCGCATTGTTAGGCGACATTTACGTTGATCAAGGTCATTGGTGGATAGTGAACGTAAGTAGGTTGCTTGGACAACTCTAAAAACAAAGAGTTAAGCTGCTGACATCTACATTTCAGATCAGAGTTAGAAATATTATGTTTTAAGCAAATTTTATTCATAGTTGATCTTTTACGAATTAATAAACAAATTTTCGCTGTAAACCGGACTTTACCAGAAATGTTGAAATAAAATCGTTTTGTATGTGTTAATATTGCAAAATCGAAATCTAAAATCCAAAATATGAATTTTTAAAACTAAAATAATTCGGGACAGGAATCCAACCATGGCAATTTCGCAGGATCTACATTTTATTGGCATCAGGTTAGTGAATTGAAAAAATGAGTTTTGCTGTAAGTCAAGGGAGCTTTTGAAATTTAAACCTCTAGTATATGTGAAAAATACCATTAAAGCTTCACTGCACACATGCAAATTTTGGTAAGGTTTGCTTTAAGCAAATATTTAAAAAATGTTTTGTTTCAAACAAATATTTGTCTTACCTGTTTCAGGTCTGGGTGTTAACTGAATATTCAACATTTATGTATCAATATTATGTATATGGAGGGGTAGGTAACTGTCCTCAACTGTTTCTGCACTTTGCATAGAAGCAAACTGTTTTATAACAAAATTTGTGTGAACGTTATGCGATCTTACACATTAAATTTCTTATGCCAGTTAAGGCTTATCTTTCGATCGATTACTCTTTGTTGTCCGTTGTTGTCCGACCTATACAAAATCAATAAATTAAAGTTAATTATTTCTGGATTGAGAAAATTGTTGTAAGTGTGATTTCAAGTGCAAACAGGTTCAAATAACCATATTAGCTAAAAGACTTAAAGTAAAAAAGACTTCCGTCCGCCAGTATAATTGTTTTTGTGATTACAGTATTTGTCTATCATGGGTATATAGAAAGTCTGGCATGACTATGTCATCTTATTATCGAGTTATCAGAAATATTTTAATATCCCTATTAATCATACATTAACATATTTAAGTCACCAATTTGTTTGGAATAATTACCTCTCTAGTATATATTATTGTGATCTCTGAGCTACGAACACGTTGTTCTCAGAACAAGTTTTTGCTTACTCAAGCTGCAAAAAGTTTTTGGGTTTTAACTCACAGCTGTGAGTTGAGTGGAATGTGATGCATTTGTATAAGATACTTATAAGGCGGGGCAGTTTTGTCACGAGAATCAGTTGAATGGACGCCGTTGGAGTAGTAAAATGCAGGACCGTATTTCAGAATCTGGTGATTCCAACTCATTGGAATATGACGAAGTCTTGGAGAAGATTGGTATGCTAACCAGTTATATCTCTTGTGTTGCATTAAAAAAATATACCCCTTCTATGGTGCAGGCTATGGCAAGACCCAGTGGATTCTATTGCTTGTGAGTGGTCTCTTAACAATCTCTTCTGTAGCTGCCCAACAATCACTGGGAATTATTGTAATCGCATCCCAATGCGAGTTTCATACAACAGAAGCCGAGAAGGGCCTCATGATGGCAGCATCTGTTGCAGGTGAGTCGTGATTTAATTTACATACAACAGCACCAGTTTACCACATTTACATATAACAACGTTTCCGATCTACTACTAGCTCGGTATTATTTGTAAGGGGCTTAGATGTGTGGGAGCGATGGGGAGGGGCATCCTCTGCCCATATCTGGCTACGCTTATGCTTCTTAAATTTAGTTTTGTTACGCATGAAAGAAGAAATCTCATACTACGAAATTTGAATACAAATGTTTAGGGTGATCATCAAAAGCCGTCAATCAGATTGAAAGTCTGTTTTGTGGTTTGTATTCGTATCATGTTTTGCACAGCTATCAATTCTAAAGCACATCATGAATCATTGAGCTGAGTTTAAGAAATCACACTCAGAACAAAACCCCCGAGATGTACTAGAATATTAGCATATCATATCTTTGGCGCCAAAGGCAGTTCGACTTCTTATCAATAAATTATCTATCTAAAAGCAATTCTTAATAAAAACATTACAATTTTAATATGTATCACATATAAAATGACACTTGTTAGATATTTTACAAAAAACAACTAAACAAATCATTTGGGATTTAAACGGCGATTCGTACCCGAGACTTCTGTCGTTCGCAAGTTGAGTGAGTTTCCTCTGAGCTACGCGCCATTAAAAACAATTAAATGCTAACTTTTAACATATCAGTTGAGAGAACATGTTTCCTAACTTCATAATCTGAAAAAAATATTTTGCCAAAAGTTAAGATTTCGATTTTTACTTTAATAGAAATATTCAATATAATTAAGAAATATATTTTAAATTTACAGTCAACTTTAATACTGCATCAATTCAATCAGAGCAAGTAAGAGTGCTGTAGTCGAGTGATCTCGACTACGATTTACCCTGAACCCAGTTATTAAATGTATTCTATTTTAATTGGAAAATTTATCTTTAAAAAGTTTGCACCAAAATGTGAGCAGGTCTGTCTGCAAGTGCGCTCTGCCGACAAACACGTGCATATTCATACATACATACATATATAACACAAATCTATGCCATCTGTGTCTCACACATGCGCTCGCATATTTATGCATACAGAAAATGCTTGCCGCTGATGATGGAATGATGAAATGAGATCAATATTATAAAATATTTTCGAATATAATTTGGGTGATTCTTATCGTATCTTGATGAAATTTAGGAATTTTTTCAATAATATGCATATGCATATTATCTATTTATTAATTTCTGCCTTTAACATTGTAGCCTTTATTGCTATCGGAAATGTATATGTATCGATAAAATAAAGTAAACTTGATCTGCGCCGGGGAACCTGTGAGAACATATTATTTAAATTTGAAGTCTGTAGCTGTTATAGTCTCTGAGATCTGGGATAGACAGACATGACCATATCGACTCGGCTGTTGATCATGATCAAGAATATATATAATTTATGGGGTCGGAGATGTTTCCTTCAGCCTGTTACATACACTTGCACAAAACCATTATACCCTTTTTACCCATTTTTAATGGTTCAGGGTATAAAATAATAATAATGAGCACTCATTAAATGGTCATTGTAATATATTTAATAATTTGTAAACAAGTTCATTTTGCATTGTTAAAGGTATCTGCATATCAAACTATATATGGGGATATATCAGCGACGTCATCGGCCGACGAACAGTTTTACTTTGGGGAGCATTTATTTCGAGCGCCCTTCTGATTATTCTCATGTTCGTTACAAGTGTTTGGTTATTTAACATTATCAACTTCCTCTGCGGTATCAGGTAAGTGACTCCTATGTTGAATTTAAGAAATCTTATTACGCAGATTATAGAAGATTAACATTTAGACCACTTAATTTTGTTATTATTTTTTTGAAAAGACATTCTAGTTATCGCGTGTTTCATTGTATAATTTCTCATTAATAATCGACTCACGCAAATGGTACATTAGTTCTCATATAGAGACCGATCCGGCAGTGCCCCGAGATTTAATCATGCATAAATACAAATATGTATGGATAAGCAAACTGATGATTTCAATCTTGGGATTTTGTGGTGATGCTTCACACATAAAAATTGAGAAAACTTTGACTTGTGTAATTACCTTTCTGTGGTTGAGTGAGCAAAACTAGGACCCGTGCCTTAAATGACTATTTATTTAAAAGCTGGGTTCAGAGTCGCAGGTTTGCTTATCTAAAACAGGTGTCCATTGAATGTTAAAAATATAAAAAAAAAAACGAATCTAATTTAATTGTTAGCTTTCAATTGAAGAGTAAGTGGAAAGGTGCCCACATTGTGGATAGTGTGCTTGAAGCTTATAAGAAATCTACATTCTGAAGATTTTTTTTAGATACAAATTTTTTAAATGCATAGCTTCTGCTACGACTGTCAATCTGCAAATACATATGTTTTTCAATTTATTTAAATTTATTTTCATCAAAGAATTTTAGAAGTTCTTAAAATGTTAATGGGCCCAGTTTCTGAAGGTGCTGGATAAAATGATTATTGTATAAAACTTATACTGTATGCAACTTAAAATTATAAAACTTGCATCATCATGAATTTTCATGCACAACCTTTTGCCTCTTTGTTTCTATTAACCTTTGACTTCCGAAACTCTTATTAGTCTGACAAATCGATAAGAGTCGATATACGTAGAAGTTGAAACGATTAATCCTAAACTAAACTAGTGAAATAAATTTGCATAAACAAAACTTCCCCGGCCATAATTAAAAATTATATAAATATAAAAATAGTACTGACAAGCTTTTACATCGATTCACACCCACAGTCGCACCATATAAGTAAACATATAAAATACATAAATATGTCAATATAAATTAATCTCACATAGTCTTGGCGCTGTGTCAGCTGGACTTTATCCGTATTTGAGTGAATTCAATATACCTCGGCACCGAGCAGTTACGATCAACTATTCGACGATGTTTGTCAGTGTGACCGCAATTTATGTCCCAGGTAATTTAAACACTGCAATCTATAGTATTAAGAACAGTGGAGCAGATGCAAATAAAGGTTCATCTGTAGGTAATTCTTAAATTTAGTTACGAATATTAATGATAAAATTACTATTCGACGCGTTTTTGCGACTAAAATTAACAGCAGCTCGATTAAGTTAAAGGCTTTAACTTACCGTCAATTTTGGTATGTATATTAATAGTATCCCTTTTTAAGAACCGATAAAAAAAATTGTAGAGCCATGCCAAACACGCTCTGATGATTAGCAAAGCCAATATTTCGGAAAGTGTAAGTCAATAGAGCCGCATATTTACCACAATTGTATAGTCCCCAAACGTGAACGGTAACTTGCTGGCAAAAATCTTAAAACCTTAAAAAATCGGAATATACAGTTTTAAACAACGCCCAAATCCGCCGCCCCCAAGGAACTTCGGCCCTATAAATCTGAAATGCATATCTTCCACAATTTAGTAACTCCTTCGACGATCGTTTGGGTACATCCACCCAATTCTGGGGCACCTGTTATCAGATGGTATTACTTATTGTTATTGGAGTATTTCTTAAAATAGAACATAATATTTATCAATTTGCAATAATAATCTACGTATGTATTCGAATTTAATAATAGAGATTGCCACGTTAAATAAAGAGATAGATCCACAGACAGACTTCGAATTGCTCTGTATAAAAATATTATTATTACGATTATTATAAAGTTTGGCAAATAATTGAAACTGAACTTATTTATTTGCAGCAACTGCTTGGGCGATATTATCTTCAGACTGGTCAATCCATGTAGTTGGCGAATTTGTTTTCCGACCATGGAGATTGATAATGCTAGCGTCTCTTTTACCGGGTCTTATTGGAGGAATAATTCTTATATATTATCCCGAAAGCCCGAAACTTCTGCTCTCCCAAAATAGAGAAAGTCAGGCACTAAGCGCTGTAGATTGGATTAGTAAATTTAATCGAGGTCTTTCAGTAACTCATGTGCTCAAAAATAATGAATTTTCGCTGAAACCTGAAATACAAGCCGGAGAAAATGTGTTGGCAAACCAGAAGGGTTGTGGCATGGTAACAAACATCGCGCGCGCCACAATTCCATTATTTCATAAGCCGCATGGTTTCAACTTCATATTGTGCAACGTGGCTGTGCTTTGTTTGTTTTTCAGGTAAGATTATAAGTTGGTCATTCATGTAAGAATATTAAGTCTTTATAAATTCCACGCACCTCAATCCGTCAATCGCAACTTTAGCACCCACATAAGCTGTCATCTCTTTCCTACTTTCACTCGCCAGAGCACAGTGTCACATTCGACTTCAGCCTCAGCTGTCTTCACACTTTTTTTTCCTGCGTTTTGCAATACTGAACAAATTAACCGTTCAAATTATCACATCTATATTCGCATAGCTCATATTTTTTTTAGTATTATTTATTTATTTATTTTTATACAGTGCATGTTAATATTGAAAAATATATTTATTTGAATATTATTTTTAGCTCAAATGGTATGCAGTTCTGGTTCCCAGAAATAGTAAACCGTTCATCGAGCGCTGAAAACACTAATTCAACAGTTTGTCAAATATTGGAAGGCTCCTACGGTAAACAAGCTCAAAATGTCGCATTAAATAGCACTGCGGTAATTTAAAGAAAATACTATATCGATAGAATGATCTTAACAAAATACTTTGCCTTGTAGGTGTGTTCCGATGAGATTTCAACTAGAACCTACATTGATAATATGATTGTTGGAGCTTCATTTTTATTGGGATTCGCCATACAAGGCGCTATTTTGAATCCTCTGGGTCGAAAGAACGTTCTGTTCGCTGCACTCGTATTCTCGATTTTAAGTGGAGTTTTACTACACATTGTTTCGAACTCCACAGTGGTGCTAATACTATTTTGTCTTTACATTCTGTTGCCTGGATTATCGATTTCCATTATGATAGGAGCGATTGTGGATCTGATGCCAACACATTTAAGGTACGAAACAATTATCTGCATCTTATTTAAAGCAATTAGCTGCGCTCAGCTATGATTATTTTCAATTTATTTTATATTATATATATATATATATTATATATATATATGTATATATATATATATATATATATTTATAATATTTTATACTATGTTTAGTCAATGGGCTCAGAACATTTAAGATTTGAAGTAATAATCGATATTTATCGATATCGATGCGTACGTCCTCGTACCCATTTGTATATATAATTTTGCGTATTGATACAAGTATAACAAGTATGAAAAATCTATATATGTTTTAGGGGAAAAGCAACAAGTTTGGTCATGTCACTGGGACGATTTGGTATTATTGCATCAGCAAACTTAATTGGAATAACATTACTACCGTTTTGCAACTCAACGATTGCTTTATTTACAATTGTTCTTATTGGTAAGTATTAACAAACTCATATCTTTAAAAGGCGGCTCTTACACGACACGTTGCGTACAGCTGAGAGTTTTCTTGTATATTAAAATGGTTTATTATTAGCATTACCAGACTTATTAGCAACTGGTGTCTAAAGTTCAAAAATTTTTGATCACATCAATATCATCTACAATATACAATACTGTCTGTATTATTCTGACTGTGCTTAACGATCCTTTTATACTGTTTCTGCTGAGCGACTGTCCAACGAGTAGTTGATGACTTTCTCGGCACCGTCTGGCAACGCTATGAAATCCAGCGTAGAGCTGCCATCCTTTTCCATATTAAATAATCTGCAATGACTTAAAAATGATGGCGGCCTTACGAAAAGTATTAAGCTTGATAATAAATTATTTCAACGATTTTTCAATAAATTTCCAATCACTATGTCGCGTAAGTGTCGTCATTTTTAAAACTTTTATTAGCTCTATTATTATATTTTATATATATTAATATATTTTTTATTTTTTTTTTAGTATGTCTGATAATTGTGTATCGTCTGCCAATAAGAAATTCATAATGAAGCATTTTGAAATTTGGAACAATCGTACACTTGTAAATAAATAAAATAAAATTTTAATACTTACTATTGATTGATTTTAATAGCTTTTTCTCTAAGAAATGAGGTTAGCAAGCCCCCTTGTTATTCACATTGTGCATGAATAACCTTTCGTGTGTGATAAATCAATTCAACACTTTCCCCGTTGTATCTTTCTGCTCATAGGTTACAAAGACAGTTTTAAAGCCTGGAGTCAAGAAAATTCATTAAATGTTAATTGTGGAAAATGTAGTTAATTTTTTTTTATCGACGAATGCTCTTTTTGTATCATAAAGTTGTTAGCTGGTTAAGGTATTCTTTTAAATTCAAAATTTAATGGGTATGCTGGGATTCATAAAGCGCTGGTCTCTATGTTACTACAAATTTTTAAATTCCACTTCTTGGTCACAGTTTTGAATATGGATATGAATTTAATCTATACAAAAACAATTTCAGAAATATGGGGTCTTAGCTGTAATAATAATAGTCGCTTACTGTGGTAAACTTTTAAAATTAAATCTTTGTTCTTCTTGCATAAACTAATAAGTGGTGATATTAATTGTTAAAAATTAATCAGCTAAACTATTTTTCAGTTCCGATTAAGAGTACTACGATTTTCTATCCATTTATCTTCAAACTTGTAGTACTGTACTAACTATCGATAACCATTTTATTTTGGAAGAGATCAGGTGATTATGCAACAGGCTATAATAAAAAATAATAAAAATGAATGAAAAATGTATGTTTGATAACGTATGATGATTTTATATCAAAATGAAAATTTTGCACATTTTGTACACATCGGTAACAATTAGAATTGCTATAAAAACAATAAAACTAGTCTAAACCGGTTTTTAACTATATTCGTTAAATGATCTGTAGACAAAATTATATTGTACTTCGCGTGCTATAAAAAATTAAAAGTCTCCAATAGCGTTCCAAAGAGAACTATTGTGAAAGTTTCTGGCAGTCAGTAAAGAATAACTCCTTTAGGTTAGCATTAAAATAAAACTACAAAATGAGAATCGTAATCATATTTATATATTTCTTAAATATATAAAAGATTTGAATCATATTTCTATTATGTTAATCTGATAGGAAGTGTCATTCAGCTAGTAGTGTTAGTGTTCACAAAAGCTTTGGCAATTATAATGCTATAAAATTATATTAAAAACAACTACATTGTTCTTATGGCAAATAGACACAGTTAAAATTTTAACAAATTAAACTGTTTACCATCATGTTTTTGAATTCGCAAAAAATAAAAAGGTTTCTAATTTCAATGAACATTAATTATAGATGTCGTCAGCAAAAATGATCATTGGTGTAATTCCTTATTCTTCGTCGTCTTCCTCATCTTCAGATTCTTCTACAACACTATCTCCGCCAGTGTTGTCCAACTGGCCTGAAACATCTTCGATATTCGAACTTAATTCTATGGTCGGTTCCTGTTGATGATCTTCCACAGGAGTGGATGGCTCATCAATTATGGGCTCAGCAACATCTCTACTTTCCTTTTGAATCGACTGCAGCTCTTGAGCAGCAATTTCCGCCTCCTGGCGGGCGATTTCGGCCAATTCAGCTGCTTGGCGTGCAAGATCGCCCTCACGTTCCTCTTCGGCCTGCTTCTCGATTTCCTCCAGGCGACTCAACTCCTGCTCCCGCAAACGCTGCTCCTCTTCTAGGCGGGCCTCCTCAGCCAAGCGTTCCTCTTCGGCTTTTTGTGCAGCAGCCTCTTCCGCTGCCTTTTGAGCAGCCTCTTCAGCCAAACGGGCCTCCTCCTCAGCTTGTCGGGCGGCAGCTTCTTCGGCAGCCTTGGCTTCTGCTGCAGCTCTGGCTTCTTCGGCAGCTCGGGCTTCTTCTTCTGCCAATTTTTGTGCTGCTTCCTCGGCAGCACGGGCCTCTTCAGCTAAACGTTCCTCTTCGGCTTTTTTAGCGGCAGCTGCTGCTTCTGCTTCTGCTTCTGCTGCGGCTTGTGCTTCTTCTTCGGCGGCCCTTTGAGCTGCCTCTTCGGCTAAACGGGCCTTTTCCGCAGCAGCAGCTTGCTTGGCTGCCTCAGCCAAACGGGCCTGTTCTTCAGCCTTTTTTTCAGCCTCCTCCCGTTGTTTCTTCTCCTTGAGAGCACTGTAAAAATAGTATTTTTTTTATTATTATTATTATTATTATTAATTTCGAAATGACGTACATCTCTTTGCGACGCTTCGCTTCATCGGCCAACTGAGCTTGTTTCTTCTCCACTTCAAGATCGTCTTCGTTGACGGTCATCAGGCGTTCCTGGCGTAGACGTTGCTTCTCCTTGGACTCCAGATCGACAGCATCTTCAAGTGGCCTGGGAGCAGAGAATTTTCTCGTTGGGCGATTCGGATCCAATTCGGCATCTGAAATCCAAATCCCGTTATAGATAATGTTAGGAATAACTTTTGTTTTTAGTAATTATGATATCATACTTATCGAAATTAATATAATTAGGTAGTTTAATGTAAAAAAGTCGTGTATATCGGTGACTGTATTCAAATATACACATTATTGCTATATAATGACTTACCATAGGTGATTGCGGAGAGAATTTCATATACATCAATAATGCAGACTTGCAGATTTGAAGACTCCAATAATAGAGTAATTGTATTTTAATTAATGAGTATTAGTAACTGGTTTCTAGTTGCTTGAGTGTTATCAAAGATACATATATATGACCGTATGTATGTTTATGTCAATTGTTAGGAAAAAAAAACTAAGGAAAGTGTTGAATGAAATTCCAGTGCTCGTAATTAAACTTGCACATACATATATAAATAAATATATATAAATATATTTATATATAAAAGAATATGTATATGGTACATGTATTATATCTTGTGTTTTCGTGCTCTCATATTTCAAATTTGTTATTTGTAAGTGTGTAAAAGTTTAGTTATGACGAATTTATAATATCCGAGTCGATCCAGCTTCGCATTATTTTCATAGTCGACCCAGTTATGAATGTATTTATGTATATTGATTTATCCACATCAAGTCATATAAAAACTAGACCTGCACATTTTGTTAATACGTAGATTAATTGTATTTTAGAATTGTCATATATTCAAATGCTAACCATGAATATAAATATATATATGGACTGAAGTTCTTTCAGAATCTATGTCTTCATCAAAGAAAGTAAGTTGTGCAATTTTTCATTTTACATTCGTATATATGATTTATAAAACAACATGCACATGTATATGTGAATGCATGGATGAGTGCGATTAAGTGTTTGGGAACAGCATTTATGCCAAATAAACTGGTATGAAATAAATATGTATGTACATAATAATTATTTATAGTAATAATGAAATAAATTTGATCACACGTGATCAATTAAGAAGTCAACACTTGCCAAATTTATTGTCATATTCTTAGTTAATACTAAAGTGTACCCAGTACGTTTCCTGCTGCCAATCAAAAAATATAGGTCAAGGTCATTAAAAGTCGCACAAGATATATAAGCATATGATGAACTGTCATATGTTTTTATGTATAAATTTAAACATATACATTTTTATACTTGCATATAAGTTTGCTGCGAAATGTAGACAAAAAATAAACGTTTTTTTTTAAAGGGTGAGCTTGTTTATTATCTGGTGAGCTGTTTTTATAATATGTTTTAAAATTTGTTTTTTCAGGCTAAGTTCTATTTTATTGTTTCAGAACTTCAGAATCGTATAACAATTAACATTTTATATTTTCTCCTGTGCAGTGCAGCTGTGCCATTTGAAACTAACTTCTATGTTTGTATTGTTGTATCAATTAGGTGTCTATATAAATCAGCGATTGATTGTCTTGAAGTTTAGTTTAACATATGTGGCCATATTTATCATGTGCATCATCTCCAATTTGAACCTTCTGTTGAAACTCTGCTCTACTTCTAAAATGTTCACTGCTGCGATGTCTGAAGTGTCTATTCTCGGCACAGTGGGACGAAAGCGCTGTTTTTCGTGTTGTGTTTTATGTCTCTTTTAATATCAGGTTTTTGTCCAGTTTTTAATTTCGATTTTGTCGCCACAGCATATACTTTATTTTATTGATATTTTAATGGTGTCTATGGAGGAGTCCATGAGCGATAAGAATGGTGTCTTTGTTGTAACAATTCAATCTGGCCCGAGAAGTTTCGAACATATACTACTGATTTGAGCATTTTTAATGGTTTGTCTTCTTTTGTTACCTTATGCCTTTGAGATTTTAGTCGAGCACATATTGCGATTTGGAAAATATTTATTATTTCTTGGAATATTGTATTGATGGAAGAAGTGATTACTCGTGTATTTTAAATAAGTTCACGAATTTTTACTAGAAATTAACTAGTTCAAACACACCTAAATAATTATAGAAAAATTAGAAAAATTAAAGAATGCTTTTCTACTCGAAGAAATGGGAAAATATGAGTTTTCTCCATTGTCAAATCAATTTCTTGGGCAACTGTGTTCAGAAGAACACAAATCTGTGCAAAACACACGTACATGAAAATGTTTAGCTGAAAATAACTTTTATATAGTCACTTGCTCTCCCATCGCTAATTAAACACATTGTTTTGCAATTAGGTATACATTTTAAGATCTGTGCTTAAATGAGAATATACGTATGTACACAAGTACATATATTTATATAAAATGGTATCATTATACATGGCATTCATTATCAAATACAATACACAGTTATAAATATACACATATTCAAACAGACATATGTGGCAGTTTTTTTTTAAATATATATAAATCAATAAATAACGTACATTTGCGTAAATGCCCAACAATATTTAATTAATAATAATAATTATACAAATTGAGGACTTGGGTAAGAAACAGATGTAATTCAAATAATATACATATTAAAAAGAAAGATAAGTCGCTAAAATTGTTGGTAAGTATTTGAAAAAATTAGTATTTAAAACGATTCGTCAGAGATTGTTTATTTTTATTAGTTTGTGTTAGTGATAAAAGTTAATATGGGCTTGCACATTAGTCTAGATGTGAAAGCGACTGAGTTTAGTGATATCGATTGTTTATTTTTAAGATATCCTTTTTAATTGACAATAGACAAACATAATGAATTTTCTTTTTATTTATTTATTCAAAAATTATAAAGTGTGTATGTCCATATTATAAAGTCAGGCATATTATCATTTAGGCCTCAACTTCAACAGCTTCAACTGGAAAGAGTCAATCAATCATAAAACATATTAAGTTAGTAAGATACAAAGAACAAAGCTAATAAGGATGCGAAAGTTCAATGCATTAGTCACAAGTATTTGAATTTAATTTGCTCCTACATATATATTTATTTATTTACTTTTGATCCTATGTAAAATGTATATGAAACCACGTAAAATTTTTTTTATTTTATTTTTAATTATATTCTTGAAATATGAGAAAATTAATGGAAAACACTTTTTAAATGTACTACTCAATTAATTAATTGAAAGTCCCCAATAAATGATTAAGTGGAACGAGCATGAGTGAAAGGCTAAGTCGAGGTTCTAGTTGCTATATACAGGTAGCGTTTACAAGCTTATGAAAATATTGATCAATGAATCAATCAATCAATTAATCGTTTATAACGATACTTACCTTCTTCGTGTGGAACACTCTTTTTCTCATTCTTCCAAGTCGGATGTCTAAGGTACCAGGACAAAAGGTTAATATCTGTTCGAACTTTGTCCGAATCGTACATGGGGCTTCTAATATTATAAGCCTTATCACCACATATCCTTACAGAGGCAAGATGACTTTTACCTTATCATTTAATATTTAAAAAACAGCATTAAATACCAATCTGAACGACAACGCAGGTTGCAACTTAATACCTTAACACTACTTTTATGTTTACAATCGTAATCCAAATGTATTAGAGGCAACATATCAGCATATATCTCAAATTACTCACCAACATACTTTACAGCTGGTCTTGGGTAGTGAGAAATATTGTGAACTTCCTTTGCAATGTGTCGCACCGGATTTGTAACACGTGCTACATAAGCATCTAGGGCCAATTGTGATGTAGGGCCATAGGAGTAGCTAAAAACAAAATTATATTACTTTCTATCCAACACCAGCACAGTTTTGCTAATATTTATTTAAAACCCGTCTAAGCCTTTCACAAGTATTTATTCCCTTTTTATTTTAAACATCTTATATAGAATTATATATTTGTCTTATTTCATATTCAACTTTTTATCTCAGACAATATTTCCTCCAATTATAGCATATTAAACATGTTTAGAAAATCTTTAAAATAAAACAGACTTTACTCCAATTATAATAAAAAACTACCTGTACAATAAACATATGTCCCTAAATACCTAAATCAAATGACGCCACGGATTATCAAACTTACGATTTTAATATTTGATCATAGAAAAATGAAAAAAAAACCAATCGCTATAGTCAGACTTGTATAATAAAATAAGAAAACATGGGGAAAAATAGTCCTTTTAATGGGCATAGAAAGTGATGCTTGTGGGCGTGTCTCGACCTTTAATTAAGGTTATCAGTAACCTACTATTAAAACTGTGAGATATAGATTGTACTAATCTAACCTGCCAAAGTAATAGGTGCAGCTCTAAAATGTATATAATTATATTAACTTTATGGGCACTTTTCATAGACGCAACGAGGTTTAGATTAAATTTAATGAAATAAAGCCGAAAAACCAGGGATGCGGGAAAATAAATATATTATGCTTCCTACTGACTGCTCACTCATTCTGCTCTTCATAAATTGATTTAAATATTTTGCTTATTATTATGTATAGAGTGTCGTTAACTTACCCAGTCACAGGGAAAGGTGTGCAGCTTCGTGCACGGCGTACGACTGGAGTGTGCAGATCGCGAATCAAGGATTGGGCCCGATTGCGAATCCGACCCGTTTCCTCAGTGAAGGTCTAAACATTTTTTTTTTCGATTTAAGAAAATAATACTTTTCAAAATAGTGTTATCGTTGATGCTCTTATGCCGATTTGAACGAATCTGCATTAGCCAAAAGTTAGATATTGAACGGCCACAACTTACGGTAAAGGGTTCAGTATTGAGGTAATTAGTTAAGGCCCGTGCGCCATATCCAGGAGGGAGTCTCTTCAAGTATGAGGGAATTGCACGAACCGGAGATGTAGTGATCCTCAGTGGCGATGGCGATGCCGAGCGGGCATAGACGCGTGTAATAGTTGTGGGATTGTAGTAATACGACGGTGTGTATGTCGTATACGAGGTGGGGATATAGGACGAAGTGTAATAGGTCGATGGCAAATAGGTCGATGGACTATACGAAGTGTATGTCGTTGGCGAAGTGTATGAGTAGGAGGTTGTTCTCTCCGGCGATGAAATAACACGCGTTGTCGTGCGCACAACACGCACAGGCGATGGAGAGTGGACAATGCGCGAATAGACGCGGCTGGGAGAGGTAACAACCCGAACAGGCGATGTTATAACACGTGTTCCACTGACGATACGTCTTGGGATTGAATAACTCGAGTAGATGGGATAGCTCGTTTTGTATACCTATTATTATATTTGTGCAAGTTTCGTAAGTTAGTTTCATATAACACAAACACAAAATATGTAGAATGCAAGTAGAAATGCGTGTGAAGAAAAGTATTTTATGGTAATGAATTATGAATTCCTACAGCAACTAAATAAATAAAATAACTAACAATTTTTACGCAGAGCTGCTTTTCTCGATAGTTTCGGCAAGACCTTTGTGTAACTATATAAGTCGCTTACATGGTGATTATGCCTCTCATACTTTTTTACAAATGTTTGTCTATATTTATTTTATTTGCATAGTTGAAATTAAATTATTTTTATTTATGCTATTATTATATATTATTATTATTAACATTTTATTTATTTATTTTAATTTATGTTTATCTTAGTGATTCAATGATTTGTACTCCCGCCAAGTGCTGTCAGTCAGTCAAAATAATACAAAGCATGTGCCATCTCTATCGCACTCTCATTTTCTTAAGGCTGGTATCTCAAAAGAGATCATGTCACCACTATATATATATATATATATATATATACATATATATATATATATATATGTTTGAACGATGAATCATGGGCAAGGGTGCCTGCCACATGAATGCAAATTCTCTCAATATTCTTTATCCTTCGTTCTATCACATTTTATCAAGGGGCTCGCACTCCTAGGAGGAGCTCTCAACTAGGACGAAACACTACAGAGCCTTCTCAATTCAAAATATTTTTACGGCTATATGGCACTTATTTATGTATTATCTTTACCTTTAATATTACTTTGCGACAATGCAGTTGAGGAAAAAATGTAATAGCACCACGAGGACACTTTGTTTTACGAATGAAAAAACACACCACGAGTTTTGCAATTTTGGCAATAGTTAATTTGTAATATATTATTTGGTATTCCCCCTATAAATTAAAGTTATTACTGCTCCTGGAGTTCTATTCAATATACATATATAATAACTTCTTTTTTTTTAATTTGACGAGAAAAGTGCCAAACAGTATCGAAAAAGTAATATTACAACTTACGCACTTTATAGAAATCGTTTATTTGTTTCTAACTTGCATAGTTTTAAGTGAACATTTTAAAAATGTTGCTATAATTTTTTCGATCATTTTCTTCCTTTTCCAGAAAATTAAATTTTTTATATTATTTTTAATTATATTTAAATAAGTTGAAAACGTTGAATAAGCTGATGGTTTTTTTCTTTCTCGCTTTTTGTTAAGAGCCTTCTTTCACTTCAAAAATCGATTATGTTGGTTAAACTTCAAACGATTTTAAAAAAGACACTTTCAAACATTTTTCTTGTGAGAATGGTACTATTATTTTTTTTCGCAACTGTACATACGCTTATTAAATATTCATATATATTCAATTGTCAATGATCCACTCTTTATGATATTAGCTAATAACCTTTCGCTACACAAATTAAAATAAAATCACTTCAAAAAAGTTAAACAAAAGTCTTCTTACTTGAAAATAAAAACGTAATTTACTCTGTCGAATTTTAAATTTAAATTAAAAATGTATTCATTTAAAAAAATATGTATATCTGCTTGAACTATCTTTTCTCCGATTTTTGTAAATAGAAACATATTTATGGTATAAAAGTACTAACCACGTATGATTCCAGGTGATGAGTGTGGTTGAAGTGTGACCAGGAAAATTTCAAAATCATAAAAGAGATGATGGATGACAAGCAACACATGAGCAACAAAAGTAATAAATGCGAATACTTACACGAGTCACATTATGAGCAGACGGATACTGTAAGAGAATTATACAACATTGAGTTTAGTTTATGTGTGTTTTATGAAAAAAAAAACTCGTTTCGTTGATGTCTAACTAAAACTTTTATATTTTGAAGACTTTTTGGTGAGTTTTTGCAGTCACCCCAACTATTTGATTCAATTGAATTTGTTGTCACAGCATAGATCGATCAGATTATATGAATATCGTATTTTAATTGGAATTATCGGAATTAAATGATGCAGCATATATATATATATTTGTACATATAAAACTATAGGTAGAATTTTTGGTGAATGCGTTTTTATTTTATTGTATCACAAATACTTTTAAACTAATAATGATTTATGGAGAGTAAATACATCAGATAGATTTTGCTTATCAACATCTATTATCTATTTGACAATCAAATTAATTATTAGTTATGTTAGTCAACTCGAAAATTTACACAATTCGGGTGATAGACAATATCAATATCAATATCAAAAAACTTCATACATACATATAAGTGTATAAGTATGTGGTTGGTTAGATGTTGTTTCTAGTTGCGATTAACAATTATAAAACAATTTAGGCGGAGTGATTAGTGAAAATATTATTTGAGCCATATATAAACCATTTATGCGATTGCTTTTGTCTAAATCATTTGCGTTTAGACATGGTATGAGAAGTGGCGGTATTTGGTGCCACCGGGCAAATTTCCAGAGGTGGTCGAGGAGTAGCTGTAGCCACCGGGTCCAGCGCCAGTGGTGCTGGTTCTCTCGGTGCTATAATTGTAGGCACCACCTGGGCCACTACGCGATGTATTCTCAACAGTGGACGTATATGTGGATCGTTCCGGCCTGGCATAAGGGTTGCTCGAATCGTAACTGCTCTTCTCAACACTGGACTTTGAGGTGTACGAATAGTCCGAGGAGGCGCGACTGCGATGAGAGCCAGGTCTGTCCGTGCACAGGTCTAAGCGTGGAGTCTATAAATTCCGATTTATGCATTTGGGGTGAGAATTGTAAAGGAAAATAGGCGATCAGCATACAAATGTTATGCAACTAGCAACTATATACAAAAAAAACCAGCTTGCTGTTCCACTAACGATTTCCATTCAAAATATCCATCCTTATATTTTTTTTTGACCTGAATGCTCTCGCAAATAGATTTTAATGCAATTAACCCCAAGAAAATGATTTTAAAAATGTAAATGGGGGCACCTTAATTAACTCTATTTACGTTTACTCAGCCCAACTTGAGGAAAAGGCTATAATATAATGAGAATATGACAATTTATCGAAATATTTTGTGCACAAGAAATTAATAAGAAACGTTTTAGGTTTTCTAATGGAAATTGAAACAGGTTCGAATACTATTTAACAATTTAATTCGTTTCGTAATTTGGCTCTGTGTAAAACATGTATAAAAAAAGTAAACAATACAAAATATCTCATATAGCATAGATTATGACATATTATAGGCAAAATATTAGATACAAAAAACGAGTAGAATGTCAGATCGTATATAATGTGGTATGGTAAACTTTTGAACATTTTGTACAAGTATGTATAGCCAGGTGTGTGTTTAATGATTCGTAATTGTAATTTCCAAGATATTCGAGTCAATTTCGTTTTAGTTGGGTTCGCAACTGGTTCGATAATGTAATTTCGTCAAGGATCGGAGTTCGTCTCTCTCCCTGTCTCTCTTTCTACTGGGGTTAGTAAGAGTACTTTGTGACCATGGCACCCGACTTTTCATTGCGATAGGTCTCTCGGCGCACCGGCAGACTCTCGGATGCGGCGCGATGGACGCGGGGCAGCTGGCAATCGAGGGAGTCGCGCGAGGTGCGGGCAGCGGTATTGCCACCGGCCTCCACAGTATCGATGTGCTGGCGGACCATGCTTAGGATGCGCGATCGATTCTTGTCCCGAGTGGACACATATGGCTCAATGGGCTCATAGGCGATCTTATAGTTCGGTTTGATAGCGGCTCGATTAATTGGATCGAGTATTGATCGCTTGCGCTGCTCATAGTCCGATCGACGCACTCCGAATGCGGTCACCGGATCGGAGATAAGTGATGGTCTTGGCACATAAGGAACTTTCTCCCAGTCAATTGGTGGTCTCTTTGTTCTCTGCAATGCCCAGAATGTCACATAGGTGGGTTTTAAATTTTGAAAAAGCCAAGTTTACGCTGTTAGATTTTGCAGAACGGCGTGCGGTTCATCGGCTGGGATACCCAAAAATCATCGGTGCATTTGGTTTTGGCATTTTTACAAGTGTCCATGGCATTTAACGTATGTACATCTATCTATCTATATATTGTTGTTTCTTACATGCAAGTATTCACAGCACGAGGATGGAGAGTTAACAAGCCAGGTATTTATTTATTTATATTTATATACATATGTATTTACATTGGTGATCCGTTGTTGGTTGTTACATTAAATGTACTATTTACAGTGAGTTCATTTAAAGAGGTCCGACTGTACACGTTAGCATATAGTATATGGTGTTGAGTGAATGGTTATATGAATATTTAATTGCACAGTTTAGTTAAAAGTGTATTTTTAATTTTAATGTTAATTCAATACATAATATTTACTAATTGGTCAAACCAATTAAGTTCAACATCATCACTATGCGATACTGAATGGATTTTATTTCTGTATCCGAGCACGGCTAACAAGCAAGAAAGTTAAATCCCACGATATTTGTGCAAAATGGATTTTGAGAGCCATTCGAAAATTTATAAATTTAACAATCTATCCTATCTGTTTATTATATTTTAGCGCATTTTTCGAAAAATCTCAACAAAAAAATGTTGCTTTGAATGTATTTTGGAAATTGTAAAGGTATTTTTAGATCAGCCATAAGACGAAATACGCAAACAGCTTATATTACACATATGTGTGTGTATGTATATGTACTTTCATTTGTACATGTATGTGGAATACGTGGAAAAAAGAGAAATAACGAGGGAAAATAAATTTTAAAAATATTCACAATAAACTGAAAAATTAAAACAGACATTGATCAAGAAGTCCAGTTAAAAATATATGTATGTATCTGTTTACAAAATAAATATTCATCCGAGTGTACAGACAAACTTACATATGTGCACATACATACATAAATACATACATACATACATACAGGCATATGAATATACATGTATAAAAACTCTATTTTTGGAATTTGAGAGCAAAAAAGCTTTTTGCTTTTCGGTTTGCCAATAATCTTGGCCGGATCTCATAGATGAGAAAGCGTACAAATTTCAGAAATTATAACCACAGAGAAAATGCTCATAACCTTGGAATATTTTCGCAGCTATTGCATCAAGGCAACGCGTATAATTAAGAGAAAACACTCAAAAATAATTTGATTTTGCCGATCTTACAGCTACTGGCATATATATCTCAAAGAGATGTAGAGATACATATGTACATATATTGTTAGGCACACACACAAAAATACAAGCTGTGTGTGTGTGTGTGTGTGTGTGTGTGCACCTCGTACTTGTTTATAGTCAGTGAGTGGGCCGGATGTTAGTCTACATACACACATATACGCTTGAAAACAGCGAAAAACAACTATAATATTGAATAATTAGTAGGCTTAAGGAAAAAAAAATCAAGAAAAACTGACATAAGACTAGCACATAAATCCATACATATTTGTAAACTGCACACAATAATCGTAACAATATTAATAAACTTTATACGTACACGCGTCTGATAATTATAATAGGTTCACAACAAATTTATTAAATTCCAAAATTCAAATATTAATCAATATGTATGTACTTATGTACAAATTAAAGCATGCACATCAGCTTGTATATGTATAAGCAAAAAATTGTATTATATATTCTTCTTTTCAATTAAACTTTTTTTTCAAATACTGATACGATATTCATATGTGAGACATTCATTTTCACTAAAATGTAAGTTACTTCTGCGCTCAAACGTGTTTCAATTTCTTAAACTGTTTGCACCTTTAGAAAATGATATTGATATTATGGAATACAGCAAGTTGGGTACAAGCGCTTAAACAAAAAGTACACAGGATGTAAACAACGTTCTCAATGGAATCCTTTTCATAAAATGTCAAACTTATCTGCCGCGTGGATCGGTCTACACATTATTATGCAAATTTGCATTCAGAAATTGAATTTTCTACGCGCAGATTAATTTCACAGATTTTATAAATTGAAAACCACACACATTTCTTATAATTGTAACTTATTCGTTGCGTTGCTCAGAAATTGCAAAACTTACCGTCACGGCGTACGATGTAGTCACCGGTCTGGAGCTGTAAGTTCTACGGGTTGTAAATCCACTTTCGTAAACCATTTTGAGTTTTTTTTTTTTTTAATTCGATGAAAATTAAATCACTTATTCGTTATTATCGATTTTGGCTTTCTCGAATTTTCGTGTTCTACACTTGACGCCCGTTCGAATTGTTCTGTCAGCTCACTGCATGGAACAGTTTCTTATAATTTTTAGATGCCAAAAAAAAAATTTTTTTTTTTGAATAGCCTTCGCTCTGCCTTATTCTCTTTTTCTATGACTTGAAATAAATTTATTTTTGGAATAACAAAAATTTAAATCTCTCATGTCACTAAGAGCGCGCTGTCTCTTTTTACATTTGAACAAACATGCTTATAATTTTTTGTACATTTTGCACACGCACACTAATGCATAATGTGTATGCATGTTTGCACACAAATAATTGAATATATATAGATATATTTTTTAATTTGCACACCTATAATTTGTAAAATGAATATACACTTTTCTATTTTTCATTTTACCTGTATTTAGAAATAATTTTAAATATATATGTAAAATATGTGTCTATGGTTTTATTAATGGTGTTTATAAATATACATCGGTATATGCATACTACGAGTTTCTCGCCACCTCATATCTATGTATATTTAAGGGCGTAAGCAGGATGCGGGGGATGGATACACTGTCCGCCTACATACATTTATTTATAAACATATTATTGTAAATCCAGATAAAAACAAAATATAAAAAAACAACGTACGGTATATAAATATGCAATTACTCATTTAGTAAAGATTCATGCTCGATAAACACTCAACAAATAGAATTATTGATCAGTTTATTGTGGGCCTCACTGAAAGAATACCCTGTAGACGCAGTACAATTTCCGTTACATATTACAATGACGGCACTTATATATTATTATATGTGAACCGAAGGACCCATCTCAAGTATAGCACAGCAGTCTTAGCTTACCAAACCCAAAAAAAATGCTAGGAGCAAATTTTTCCCTATATTTCATAAAACCATTAGCCATATACAAGATACCCAAGGAGACCTTATCCTCAAGAAATTCATAAAGAAATTGTATAATATACATTTTACTTTCATCTCATCAACATCATGATTTTCAGATCATTCTTAGTAAAAGTTTTACTTTTACTTTCATCCCACTCTTAGCAAAACGTTTTATTTTAATTTTCATTAAATATTTGATTTTTCTCCTCCGAAGATCACCTCGTCACATTGCTCGTCTTTATAATAATAATTTAAGAAAATCGACCGATTTTGATACTATATGATAATGTATTATCTAGATCATTATGTACGTAAAATAATGTACGGGGTGTGTTGTTAATTTTGGCATTCATAAAGTACCCGTTTTGGAATTTTTGTCGATACGGACGATTTTTCCTGTGGCAGTTGCTTTTATTTTTAGATTGGCTATTAAAAGTGTAATATTAGACGATTTGCAAAGTTGAAAAATATAAAAACAGTTCATTGCTTTTTGTATTAAATGTCAGTCAAATACAGTCCGACTAGCAAACCGAATCGAATCATTTGCCTTCCATTTCGGATTCCTAAAAGTATACCCTTTAAAAATGTAACCCCTTTTCAATTGTCAGACAAACCCTTTCGCATTCGTACGTTATTATAGTTTGGTACCACAACAGAACCCACGAGCCCAGTTTATGTCTATCAAGACAATTTTGAAAACTAAAAGTAGCTTAATATTCGATCGATTTTCCCTATCATTCGATATTGATAAGGTTTATCAACTGATCAGAACACAATAATATGCTTACTGTTAAGTTTATTTGGATATCTTAGTGAAAGAAAAGGTTTTACTAAAATATTTTAAATTTCAACCAAAAACTATCTGAAAATATCCTTAATAAAAATATCCTTAAATGGACTTATTTGAGGAAACAGACAGAAGGACGAACGGGCATCACGAACATATTAATACTAGTATTTTTGTAGGGTATTTCAAAGTCGATTGTGTTAATATAGTTCATACTTGTTTATGTGGTCCATATACATACTTGTACATTCCTATTGAGACGAATATATACGTATATTTAGACAAGGATGATACATATTAAAATTCATACCCAAAATGTGTATATGTGTACATTTTGTATACTTATACTTATATGCGACAAATATATGTGTACATATAAATAAAAGCAAGACAGAAAGCTTATATTTTTATGACATTAACCTTAAAGAGTGTCAATGAAAATAAACCAAAAATGTTGACCTTAAAAATTGTATAGCTGGCGTCTCCATAAGCATACATATACATATGTATGTATGAGGCTTATGTAATTATAAATTATAACTAAAGAATACCACTTTAGATACGCAATACAACTTGTGTACGCCACTAATTGCTTATCATCCTGTCGGCTTGAAAATCTTCTTTGTTTTTTGTGGATATCAAAAATATCGATTTACAAGCACTTGGCACATATAGCTTTCGGGATCAAACATTTTTTGTTTGAACTTGGAATTTATCCGTCTATTTTGTTTCAGTCACTAAGCAGGTATCATAAAATAATAAAACTTGCTTAAGACTTACAAAAACATATTTAAATTTCGAACTCCACACTACAATTTAGATGTCGGCAGTTCGACTCCGGTGTACAAGGGTATATAATCTTCGACGTGCCCAAAAATCAATTTTTTGTTTTGGTAATGGGAATAAATCATGTGCATTTATAAGTTTTAATCTTCGGACTTGAAAATTGAAATAAATCTAAAATCACTTAAAAATGAAACAACAAAATTAAAGCCGAGAAGAAAAAAAATTACACTTGACATATTCAATTAAAGTAAATAATAAACGTCGATAACACTAAATATATAATAACCAAATGTTCATAAAAATAATATATATATATGTATGAATACACCTACATTAATGGTACATTTTATTTATTAGCACAAAAGACAAAAAAATCGGTTTGTGCCTAATGAAGATTCCTCCTCATTTTCCCTAAATCGGAAAAAATATAAAATATTTAAATTTAGCTGTGTATCCTCTTAATCAACAGTCTACAGAGACCGGTAAGTCATCTAAGCCGGTTCTTCCCCTATTTAATAAATTGCTTATATCGTTCCTGAATATAATATAATATAATATAATATAATATAATATATAATATAATATATAATATAATCTACAATATAATATAGTTTAATATTATGAATCCAAAAGACATTTAGCTTTTCTTAGACTTATTGCCCCCAGTAAAAAAATAAAAGGAACTTTTTATTTATTTTTGACTTTTTCTTGAACAGCTGTGCATAATTATTTAATAACAGTTTTTTTTCTGTTGTTGAAGAAATTCAGTTGAACAAAAAAAGAACAACTTGTAATACTAAAAATTCTCTTAAATATATTTCCCATTTACTTTTCAGATGTATTGAACCTATTCAAGCGATCGGCCTGTACATACATACATAGATACATATCTATACACACACATGAGACAAAAAAAAAGAAGCAGCACCCAAAAGATAAGTGTTTGCAAAACGTTTTTGTTAATGCTCGTTTGGGCAAATCGCCAGTTAAAAATTTGAATAATTATTCTAGATTAGCTGTTTTTCGTTTTTGTGTCAGATTCAATTGGGATCTGTACAGAAAATTTGAGACCGCGTTGGAAAAACTTTTCTGTGACTTTGGATTATATTCCTTTCGATATAGTTAATATCCATCTAATTATTAACTTCAATAAGTTTAAAGAAAATTCAATTCTTTGAGGTAACAAAATAAACATAACTGAATCCGATCCCACTATGAGTAACCCAAGAGTCATAACACTTTGACGCAGATATGCTCAGAGAGCTGTATCGATTATAATCGCTAAGAATTAAGTATAAATCAGTTCAGAGATCGGCTAGTTTTTTTCGCTCAATTTCGCTGACAAATCTGGTAACAGTACTAAAAAATTCTCTCTAATGCAGAGTCAATCACAGAGAGAGCAGCAAAAAATACTTATTGGTGTGGTCGATCACTGCGCGAAATCGGGTTCCATGTTTATCAACAAGTGCATGAACTACAAAAAGTGCTGAGCAGCAAACAATTGTATAGATGCGATTTCTGTCTTTGATCATCTTGATTTCTTTTCAATAATCTAATTTAAACAGTTATTAACAATGAAATGAATAAATATAGCGCAAAACATCACATTTCAACAACAACTAATATGAAAAGCGAGCCAGTAAATTTTTACATTACTTGCTTCTTAATATAAGCAGAATTTTCCCCCATCCTCAGCTTTACTGGATATCCTATCAACTCATTGAACTCATTAATTGCCGTCGAGCAGTTGGTAAGAATACAATATTCTCAAATTCGTTTGCAATTGATTTTGATGCAAGATAATTTATAGCTAATAACACTATATAATGAAGTTTTAATAGTTTTCGCTGACTTAAGAGCATTTGCAAACAAGTTTTGAGACTGTTCAATTGGTGTGGCAGTGCAATAATAATTGTTTTATTATTATTTGGTATTTCAGTTAAGCAGTATAAAGAATATATTCAAATCTTACCATTTTAATTCTCAAGCTCAAATTGCACTTTTAACAGAAAATGTGTGTTAAAGAAATGTGCCAAAAAATTACTGTACGCTATATCAAACCAGAGACTTCTGATGTTAATTTTATTGTATTGAGGACATGATATGTTAATTGTAATTTGAAAATTTGCAAGTACCGCCCTTACACCGATTTTACTGTCCTGGTGTGTATGTGTCGAGTAAGTTAACGATCACCTCTGTTAATCAGCCAAAGTCATACCTCGATCACTTCTAAAATATGATCATTTTGGGTGATTCAGCAATACATATATATACATATAAAATAAATTTAATAATTTTGTTAATGTATTTTTAAAATTAACTAAAAGGTGTAGTCGTGATAATGAGAAGAGACAGGAATTTAAAACGAATATTACCTTCCCATTGAGGAAGTGCCGAAAAGAGAATTACAAAAGCAACGATCAGGACTTGCAAGTGGCTCAACAAACCCGAAGTACACACGGTTTACAAGGAGGAGGCCTACAGGGTCTGCAGGCATTACAGCATGCCATTCTAAAATGATTGAATGAATTTAAAGTTCAAACTGATTTCATTATTTTGTGTTACTTACTGCCGTGAAAGATCGCGATGCTCCATCTTAATACGAAGGATGTCACAGAAGCGAACTTCAACACCACGATACGGTCTCCTCCGCGAATTCAAGCTGTTTATGCTCGATAGCCTCACACAGGATACTGTTCCCTTAATATCCTTCGGGACCTTAGATCTGCTCGAATTGACAATTACAGAACGCTTATTTTTCGACGTCCTTGCGCCGCCTTTTCCTTTCTTGCTTTCCCTAACTTTTGAGCCACTGGACTTTCCATCTCTCTGTTTATCTTTGGTCATATGTGCTTTTCTTCCGCTGATATTTTCTCCATGAGGCTTTCTTCCATTAGTTTCATTAACTGCAAGCGGCTTTCCTTTTTTGGCTTTAGCACTTCCCCCTTTTTCTTTTCCCTTTTTTTCATCTTTGTCTTTTACCTCAACCTTTCCGGATGACCTTTGATTTTTCGGAACAGTACCCTTTTTATCTTCTTGCCCGCCATCCTTTTTCCGCCTTTTTTCTTTTTCTTTTATTACTGCAGATTCTTTTACCTTCTCTTCTCCTTTCGTTTTACCGTCTCGCTTACTCGCTTTTATATCCGTTTCCGCATCATCGCCATCCTTTTTGCCTACTGGATTTTTCTCATCGCGGCCTTTTCCTTTTCCTTTTTCTGATTTTGGTGAAGTTTCTTTTACTTTTTCTTCTCCCTTCATTTTGCCGGTGGGCTTACTCGATTTTTTATCTGTTTCCGTATCATCACGATCCTTTTTGCCTACTTGATTTTTCTCATCGCGTCCTTTTCCTGATGTTGGAGAAGATTCTTTCACTTTATCTTCGCTCTTCGTTTTGCTGCCTTTCCCTTTCGATTTCTTCTCGATTTCTGCATTATCATCCTTTTTGCCATCCTTTTTGCCTTCTTGATTTTTCTCATCGCGTCCTTTTCCTGATGTTGGAGAAGATTCTTTCACTTTATCTTCGCTCTTCGTTTTGCTGCCTTTCCCTTTCGATTTCTTCTCGGTTTCTGCATCATCATCCTTTTTGCCATCCTTTTTGCCTACTGGATTTTTATCATCGCGTCCTTTTTCTTTTTCTGATTTTGGTGGAGATTCTATTACTTTATCTTCTTCCTTCCTTTTGCTGCCTCGCTTACTCGATTTTTTCTCAATTTCCGTATCAGCCCGATCCTTTTTGTCTACTTGTTTTTCCTCATTGCGTCCTTTTCCTTTTTCTGATGTTGGTAGAGATTCCTTGAATTTATCTTCACGCTTCGTTTTGCTGCCTTGCCCTTTCGATTTTTTCACATTTTCCGTATCATCCCCGTCACCATCGATTCCTTTCTTCCTTTTCGCAGTCCCTCTATCTACATCCTTCTCATTTGATATTTTTTCAGCCTTTAACTTTTCTTTTTGATTACCTTTCGTGTATTTTTCATTCGCTAGGACAGCTGCGTTATTATCTGGATGCCTGTTCTGTTCTCTCAAGTAAAAGTTTCCATCCCGCTTAAGGGCATCTTTATTGTGATCGGTATCACCATCGATATAACAATTTTTATACATACTTCCATCTCAAAATATTATCAAATTATATTAGAAGCTTCAAATATGTTATCAGAACCTTACCAATTTGTTTATCAGACCACCGAGGGTAAATGCTATTGCCACCGTCGAATATCGTATACTTCTCAAGGCATTGCTTCCGGTTGTAGCTTTTGATTATTTTATGGCAAACTCTCTTCAGAATTGAATAAGTAAAATCAGTCAAAAAATGATTAGCACACTGACCACCTTTATTGTAGTTTTTGTTGCAAAAAATTGTGTTACTACTAGATGAACTAAATAGAAAATATAATTTTAGAACCGGAAACCTCTACAAAAAAAAACTATACGTACCTAGATGGTGGATTACAAGAAATCTGCTCTAAGTCAAAACCCATTTTTTTAAATATTCATTTTAAATTTGAATTTTGTTGTTTTCCAAATTGGTTAGAATTTTGATTTTTCCCTGTACAAGTGAGTCTGACATTAATTGCATAGACATACAAAAATATAATGTGATATTAAAATAGAAGTAAAGGCAATTTTCTTTGACCTTGAAATGAGGTATATTCAAATATTATAACGCTATCAGTATACCCTAATCTTATGACGACAATAAACACAAAAGTCATTTAAGAATCCACTGAATACTTACTTCATTAGTCCCAAATGGATTCTCTAAAATTAAATTAGCTCTTATTTGTAAATGTATTCTTAAATGACTATATGACCATATACTGCGAAAAAAGTAATTGTGCATTGGAATAAATGTTTTCAAAGGTATTTATTACACTTTTAAGTTTAACGAATTTATGAATACGGGTTTAGAAGTGGAAGACTCTTATAAAAAGGATAAAGAAAAAACGTTTGATTATTAACTGGTTTAAAAGTATTTTTAAAAAAATGGATGAAAAATTAAGAAAATTAACTAAAAATAATTGCAACTCTTTTCAAATATGCACTGTGTCTGCGCAGGCCGCTTCAAAACCATTATTTTGGTGGTGTGCTTGGGGTTATAGTGTTGTTGAAAGGCCCATAGTAGTGGTGTCATACATTGAGAGGCGTAGCTTATGGTTTTGATCCCATACATATATATATTGTATATTGAAGCTAGTACATACAAGCCCTTGCCGTTATGCTTTACCCTCCATGTCGAATGATTGTAATAAATGAAACTAACAATAATAAGATAATCAAAGTAAAATCTCTTAAAAACATATATTTTACATGCGCAAGTTTGCGAAACATAACGATTTCGATACAGAATGCGAAAGTGATGCTATTCATTTTTCGCTACTTTTTGGCACTCTTCCCTTCAAATTAAAAAAAAAATAGATATATTTAAAATAATTCCAAGAGCAGAAGAGGAAATACTAAACAAAAATCAACATTTGAAAAAATAGTTTGTTTTTTCATTCCTAAGAAAGCATATCGTGCATAGCCTTTAATTTGTGTGCAGAAATCAGTAACTTTCTATCCTTGCATTTTTTTAGTTTTTGGCCTGCGATGATACTTCTTGCAAAATGTGCTGGTTTAATGTTGACCAATTTTGTGACTGCAGAATATATGGTGCATATGTATGTAAAACAGGGTATCCTTGTCTCGACATGCTAAATTCATTCATTCGCGACGGGCACACATACAAAGATAGGTCTGCTTTGTGGTTGACGTTTACTGTGGTACAAGAATGCAAATAAATTTAAAATAACGCAATATATCAATTCAGTTAAGCGTCGACCGATGCTCACGTGTGCAACTTATGCGAATAAAATGTTGGTTCTCCGAAATTCACATTTAATTAGTAATTGAAATATGAATATTTTGTTTGCTCATAATTTGAAACACGCATACCACTGTGCTCATTTTTTTACTTTCAAACAACACAAACAAACTTTTGGCAAGCCCTGTTGCACACTGATAAATACTGTGACAGACAAGTAGATGAACATGTTCATATTGTTGTATTCGATTATATTATGTGCTTTTATTTTTAAAATGTAGTATCTATTCTATCTTTATTAATTGTTGGTTTGCTTGATAATTAGCAACGGCTGCGCCTGCTGACTAAGTCTGTCATAATTCACTCGTCTGGTAATGCTATTTGATCCTTGCTTACGCCAGCTGCCTGCTATGAACCTCCCCGTAGCGCTGCCATCCTTTTTGCATATACATCCCTTGTCAAGTACAAAACAGTCACACTGCTGTAGTCGGATGAGCATTATTAACGAACACTATATTGTAGGCGATGCTCTGCAGAATACACACGATAATATATTGACGCTCGCGTCGATTATCATGCCATCCCTTTCTTACACATGCGCTCGTATATTTTGAAAATACAGAAAATGCTTGAAAATGCTTCTGATAGAAATGAGATCAATATGAGAATAACTTGGGTGTTTTTTATCCGATCTTGATGAGTTTTGGGCAGTTCATCAAAAATATGTCAATGTACATTATATGTCAATTAGAACGCCCTGCTTTTAAGATTTTTTAAGATTATCTGTAAAGTGAAATAAACTTAATCTGCACCTACATGTACATGTATGTACATATGTATATATTATTATATCTCTTTTATATCGACTGTTGATCCTGATCAATATACATACATACATATGTATATATGTATATGTATGTTATAACTTGTGTACATATAAACACACAATGTCGCTGAGAAATATTGCGTCTTACTTTTGATAGTAAAAGTCAATTTCGATTTTTGGAATTTAAAACTGTTTGGGATTTTGTTAGGGCCTGATTTGTAAATATTTCAAATAAAAACAAAGGCGCACAGGCAAATGGCAGTTGCAAATCCTCTAGCGTAACAGACAGTGACTTAATACCAGAAATTTCTTGGTCGAGTGCATGCGAAGATTGTCCAAGTTACAGGTGCAAAAACTTCCACGTATTACAGTCGCAGAGTCGCAGTCGCAGTTATAGTCACAGTCACAGACTGAGGTTTTGGTTTTGGTTTTGGTTATAGTCACACAAGCTCACACTTAAGTATCTTGTAATTTAATGTCGCTTTCTGCAATGCTTTTGCGAAATAATTGAGTGACTTGCGCACGAAGTTAACAAGTAAATTTGATAAAGGCATATTTTCCCATATTCATTTATGTTTATAAGTACGCAAGTGTAAGATGTAATAGTTTTCCGTTGTGCTACAGCGATTTTCTATATTTTTATTTTTTACTTTGTATGAGTTCATAGTAAAAGGCTGATTTTTATACACATCTGCATGAAGCGAATAATAGTTGGTACTTGCTTGACGATTTATAATTTGAACAAATTGCTGGAATATTAAAGTAACGCATGACACAAAATCGGTTTCGTTCAGCGCATATAAATATGAGTGAGCAAATGCCAAAATAGTTAGTTTGATATTTAGTGTCACAGCGCAGTGACGAAGTTGATATACACACAAAACAAGGATTAAGGATTCGTGACAGTAAAATGGATATTAAATACCTGGTCCTCTTTTATCTAATTGGCATATTGCATCTGCTTAGTTTCTGTGAAGCGATTCCAAAATTTGAAAACAAACCAAAGTGAGTTTTTAATAACAACAATTACACGATTCCGATTAGATTTATTGATGTATATTAAAAAAAAAGATTTTTAAAAAACTATAGCTAGATTCAACAAAAAATGTCAGTAATTTATATTTTATATTTTGTCATCATTTACTTAATGTCAAATAAAAACTGTCGATACGAGAAAAAGTTAATACGAATTCGTTAAGATACAAGAAATAATTAGTAGTACAGCGATTAAAAGAAATTGAGAAGAAGTACCGGGTAGGTCTAGAGTGAACAAGAAAATGAATGTTAAATTAATTAATTTATATCATATTGCATATTTTAAATCATAATATAATTTTTTTTAGGGCGTACACAGAGAATTCGCAATGGAATCGAGCATATCAAAACGAAAACAAAACTCAGTTGAAGGAGCTGGAAACAGCATCAACCAAGGATAGATTAGAGAGACTGGGATACACTACTGGATATGGTTCATTAAACGTGTGTTTAATAAAAAATGTTAAATAAACAATAATAATTATACATTATTGTTTAATAGGGTTACCCGAGTAGCACAGGACTTTCTGCGTACAATCCCATTAAACTGGATCTAGGTGGAGTCGTTTTGGGCACCCTCGTTGGCATTGGGGCCATCATCCTCATCCCCAAAATACTGTCTGCCTTTCATGGTGGTTATGGAGGCTATGGGCGCAGTGAGTAGAAGAAAAACGTCTATTGTTATTATATAAATAAAACAATTCTGCTTATTAAGGCGAGGACGAGAATGACTTAGCGTCCCTGAGCAGCATGATAAACAAAATTGACAATGTGCTCGGCCAAAACAACATCGATTCAACAAGTTGCATGCAACGCGCCGTTTGCGGCTATGTTCGTTCCACCGAGACCAATATAAAGACCGGAGTATCGGATCAGATGGATGAATTTATTCACATGCTATCTGGGTAAGTTGAAAAATGCAGCATTTGTTTACGTATTTGCAAAATGAGTGGTTGAAACATTTAGCTAAAAATAAATTGTTTATAATACCGACGAATTCAATCGGAGCGACTAAAGCAAACATATTTTCCCTTACGTGTAAAGCTAATAAGTTTATATTTCTTATTCTTGTGGCTAAATTGAGATCATTGTTTGACTCGGCAAGATTTTTCTGTGACTATGAAAAATATGCCTTAAATAGTTCAATAAAAATCGATCTGTTATATTCTATAGCATACTTTATATTGTATGAGAAATTACATAAATTCCTCTTCTCTATACGATCGTCCTAGCTTTTTTGTTCCTCCTAGACAGTTTTTTAACTTTGCATCTTTTCTAAAACTATTTTCATTTTAACATATAACGGGAAAGTCTTTCACTGCGTGGAACTGTGGTAAATTCATCTAATTCCACAGACTGCGATATTTTCCTATTTCTTCTTGCTTTCTTTCCCTTTCTCTAATTCTTCAAATATATTTTTATATTTTAAAATTTTTTGTTTATTGTTAATCTTTAATCGTAAACATTTTTTTTGTTTTGATTGCGTATCTCTGGCATATTTCACATTTTATATTATTCATTACATTTATAATTTATTTGCTTTGAATTGGAAATCAATTACTTTTAATTTATTTATTTTATTGTTAATTTCTAAATTAATTTTTTTAAAAATTAATCGCTCAAAGTTTGTGGAGTGCAAAAAAAAAATGAATAAAATAAAAAAAATTATATTTTTGTAGAAATTCGCTTGTGGACTATCTATTGGACGGTACTGCAATCAAAGAAGCATTGGAGCATGGAAAGGAAATAAATGACAAACCTTGCGAAGAACTTTACGTTTCCTGTCCATTGGATAGTAAATCGGCCACTAATGTTCTTATGAAATTATTGCCCAAGAAGCATAAGCAAGCTAAGTTAAAGCCGACAGGATCTAATACAGAATCATAAGTCAATACATCTTTAAGAAAATGCATAAGGATGTAAGTTTAGATTCATGTTATGAAAAAGTTATCATAAATTATCATTTTGACTCGTAAAGAGAAAATATCAAATGTTATAAAATCACAATTCAATACCTATAAACATTTCATTTTTGTTCACTTACAACACGCTCTTATATAGTATCTAACTGACTGACTAAATGTCAAGTGCAGTTCCAAACTGCTGAAAAAAACAAGAGGGAACGTTCCAATCGGGAACCGACTGCGAAATACTCTGATACCGTAAGTAATACCAGCTGATAACAGGGTCTACAGAACACAGGGTGCGAGTAGCCAAGATATACTGATCTTTGAAGGGGATTCCCAGTAATCTACCGTCCAAGTTTGGCTTAAAAATTGTGGTGGAGATAGGCTCTCGTGAATTTTTGGGGGCGGGAGTGGGCAAAACCCAAAAAATGTGTTGGAACAGTTATCTAGTAACCTTGCTTCTAAGTTTGGTAACTGTAGCTCTAAAATCAAGGGAGAGATGGGTGTCACTAGCAATACACATTTCAATTTTGTTGACTCTAGCTTTCAAATTGTGTGAGATACATGGTTTTATCGATACCTTTGCTTGTAGAGTATGCAAATGAATATCACAATTATATTCAGACTATAAATAGACGTATTTTTTTAGCGAGCTGAGTTTTTTAAATAATGAATAATAAGCTTGATTTTCCATTTAGTATTTGTAATTTCCTAAGGGTGATCACTGTCTCTCTCAATGTATATTATAATAATATAATATACTTTACTTACAACAGTATAACGACCCTAAGCATATCATCAATAAAGCTCTATAGTTGTTTGTGTTCCTTTCTTTTGTCGCCATAGGATCCCCTCAGAGTCATCTGAGAATCGAATGAGAAGAATTTTGGAGTTAAGAATTTAATGATGAATAAATTACGAAGTACTTTGAGTTAAAGCTCAAGAGCCATGAAATATAACTCTCTAAAAAAGATGTCAGCATTATTGACAATAAAATACGTGCAATTAAAGCTTTATGACGAACATTACCTAAAAAAAACAAACGAATTTAAATAATAATTTTCCAATTGTTTCGAATTTTCATAGGTTTTTTAAATTCGTTATTTTTCGCTTTGAATTTTTAAAATCCATTTCAATGAATCCATTAAATGATTAACAACACTTTTGTTACATTATGTTGATGTATCTAATAATTCATTTTTATTTCATTTGAACAAATTAAGCTCGTAGTTCACAAAAGGTTTCAAAAACTATATTTTAGCTCACCAGGTTTTCAAATTCCCTTAAAAATGTTGCTAAAGTAGCAAATAATGTAAATAATTTCCAATTGGCTCCTACTCGCAGTGAAAATACATACCAATATTGTAAATATAAACTGCAACTTTATTGTTTTATTAATTAAATGTGAAGATGATAATGATTTTACTTTTAAGATGTGTATTGAATTTAATTGGAGTCAAGCAGTGATTGGAGTTGCATTTCCTGTTTTTCAATTATCGGCAGCCAGTGCTCAGAAGGAAATACGAAATCGGGTGAATCCATTTTTCTGATTTCATGCAATGTTTTGAGCACACTTTTGCGATGCGAGCTCTTATCTTGTATTATCATTTCTAGTCTATCCATTAAATTATTTGATTCTCGGACCAAATCATCAATTGACTGGAGCAGGGCATACCAATCAATTGTCTGTCTCCCGACTAGGGTATTCCCTCTGAGCTGAAATGGAATAGGGTTAAAACTGCGCCACGGCTTAAGAGGCTCAATGGTGTATGGAATGAAATGTTTTGTGGCTTCCATTTCGAGAACGTCATCGTCAAAGTGCCACGATGCCAAAGTTGGATTGAACTTCCTAATCTTCGTTTCCATTCGCGTCTCACTCTCGGCTGTGTTATCTGGGACATAATGCTTAAAGTCAAATGGACACGGATTTGTGACTTCATTGACAGCAATTGGTAAGAGTGTTTGGGTTGAGACATCTGCCGTATCGATGGCATCGGTCATTTGTGATATGGAATAGTTTAATACGTCTGCAAGAAAGACGAGTTAGTTCCAAAGTAATAAGCACAGTTAATCTATTTCGATTGTACATTGCTCGTAGCCATCCTTTTTAATTGAGTACTGGCCATCCGTTAAAATTCCAACATCCTTCAGTAAAATCAAATCGCACTGCACATCGACGGAGGCTTCTTTCAACAATTTCGTGGGCACAAAATCTGTTTGCAATGCCACATTGGTCTTGCCAGCTCTCAGGCGTCTACAAATCAAATATATCTAATTATTTTGTAATAAATTAATTGCAATTTATGAACAAACCTGGAAGCATCAAGCAACTTGGCTCGGAGCAATGCGTTCTTATCCGGCTTGGCAAGAGTTGAAACGCTGACAGCTCGCCAAGGAGGTCGCTTCGATTCATTTTCCTTTTCCTTTTCAGCCGCCAGTTCTTTCATGCGATTCCAACTTCTTTTTGCTCTAAATTTATTAAATTAAATTGTTTTCTTTACTAATTGTACATATTCAGGTATTAACTAGTATTTCCTGGGCTTTGTAAATTTCAATAGTGTGGATTTTCTTTTAAACGAGTTTATCCTAAATCGATGTATAGTTTATTTTATGACTTATATATAATTTAAGTTAAGAAATAACAAAATCTAAAACTTAACCTGATACAAATATATATATTTTTTGCATTTGCATTTATAAATTGGTTTTTAGTAAGCTTTTTTACAAAGCTTTTCAATCAAGTATACGATTCTAAGAATGAGCGAATATTTATTTATTTAAGTATATTAAAAATCTGGACGATTGTTTTGTTAGTAATCTGATGTTGATGTTTTTGCTTGATTAGTTTTCAAAAAAATTGGCAGACGAACAATGAAATTATAATACCTAAATTAAATTAATGAATAAGAAAAATTTAATAATAATGTGCAAAAAAATACATAAATATTTTTGATGCGAAGTCGTGCCAAAAATTGTAAGTATGATTTATGCTAAGCCTTTGAGTCAAGTATATGATTCCAAAAATGAGTAAATGCAAATGTTAAATAAAGTTACAAAACAAATATATTTAAATATCACACACTTAGTCTAACAACTATGAAAATCTATCCGAAATAAGGCAAAGATTGGTTACTTTTCCAGCTGCCTTTATATAACTGAAATTATTTTATTGTTTATTGTTATTATTGTTTCCATAGTAGTTTGATGTTTATTTTGTACTGTGATAGTTTTCATAGAAACAGGCTATATATGTATTTAAATCTGTTATTTAGACCAACTCACCTGATTGAAGCAGCACTTCGACTGTTGGCTGCCAAAACAGATTGATGGTCTTCTACGCTCGGGTTCTCACTAATTTCCGACGAGGTTGCGCTGTTGTTGGAGTTTGAATTGATTTGTGCTTGTATCTGTGCCTTGCTGCTCATATTACAGATTCTTATTACATGCACTGTTTAAATTTTCATTGTATGCTTTTCTTGTACAAGGCAATTTAACTTCCGTCAGTGAATTGGTAGCTGCGTTTATCGCAACCCAATATATCGATGCAAAACAATTTGCGCCACTCGCGTTGCTACTGGCAACGCTTTTTCAAATAATTTCCGTGAGTGCAAAGAAAAGAAATTTATTGCCTGAGACAACAAATTGTCAAAAGTTATACTTTAAATTCGTACATGACTTTTGAGATACAATAAATCTAAAAATAAGGCGATATTAGACCAGAAAAATATTACTTTTTTTCTCGAAGATTTTGCACTACATCATTTTAATTATATTCCTTAAATTTGTATCCTCGATAATAAGAAAAAAAAAATTAAATAAATATATACATTTTTTTAATTTGCTAATAATTATTTATTCTTCATTTTTTTAATCTTCAATATGTGAAAAAGTGGAAAACGAAAAAATTGTAAATGGGCGGATAAATATAAATAAAATAATCATCAAATTACACATTGCTTCCTCTAAAATTGAATAAATTGTTAAACAGTATTGATTCTGATGAAAATTGTTAGATTTCTAATATATTTATTTTATATTGAATATTAACTTATGACAATATCCTTGTCAAAGTTAGGAATTTTTAGCAACGCATATAAATTTCTGTCAGCTAGTTTGAAGGTTTTCAATTAATTTCAATTTGTACAATATTAAAAATGTTTGCGAAAATCACGCTACATTTTTCCGTTATTAGCAGAAAACAACAACTTTATAGGTGCTCTAATTCACGCACAATTTATTTCTGTTTTCTCAAATTTAAGCACGAAAGTCGGGAAATTAGAAAAGCTATATTACTCAATAATAATAATAATATGACCCAGTGATATTTGCAGTGATTGGTGAACCCTTATTAGAATCTAGTTTTATGTTTATATTACGCTCTTTTCAGTTACCAGGTCCGGATACTAAACAACTTATAAATTACTGTCGAACAAACATTACAATAAATCGAATTTTATTTGTAAGATTTGTAAACAAAATTATGAGTTTTGATAAAATGCGCTTAAGATACGGAAAGGTTCAGTGTTAAATCCATCTAGGTGTGGTCTGCCAGTTCTGTAGCAACATTCCGTGAACAAGTCCACACTGTCCCGATGGAACCAATAGTTTTTAGTGGTGCTGTTGGAGTTTGGATTAAGTGTGTTCAGTTGGAACACGCCAAAGTGAAAGACTCGTCCGTCCGTCTGAGCGCATTGCACAACAATCGGTTTCTGAATATCTCCGTTGAACGAAACGCCATACAACTGCTTAGCCCGGGTAACAGCCGCAACAAACGCCTTGAGCATGGTACGTCCGTGGAATTGAGTTGCCGTCACTTCGGAGCCGTGCACATTGTTAACAATACTTTTGTTAAAGAACGTTAAAATTGTATGAGGATGGGAACAACTTATTTCGCGTCCAATCGCTAAAATTGTAAACAAAATATTTGAACATATTATCAACGACTGTATAACTGAACAGATTACTTACGATAAAAGTTGTCTGCCGTGTATATGTTCCGCTTTGGCATTGAAACTGTGCACTTCATCGGATAAAGATCTGGCAATTCCCCATGGTATTTACCCTTGATGGCATCGAGGGCACGCGATGAGCTTATTAATGTCTCTCCACTGACTGCAAAGGCGAGCACGTCATTGTCCTTTGTTATAGTTGTTTTAAAAGTGACATTGTCGATCATCCTTCGACGCTCAGTTACGGGACGACCAGCCAATTTCTCGATCTCAAACAATAGCTTATTTACCAAAAGGCGACTGAAAAATAGCAATACCATTATTAAACAGTCAACAAGACTTGGCTTAATTTAGTAAATTTATAATACTTGTCATAATACAATAGTGCTTTAGTGAAGAGTGCACTTTAAATACACAAAATCACAAAGTTAAATTTCCTGAGTTTAACACTATTTTCCTAGTTCTGGTTCTTAAAGTATTCCTGTACGCAAATTATTGCATATACCAAATATCTAGGGTATATCTATAAAAACGCAAATTGATCATCAATCAACTTGTCGAAAAGGGTGATAAAGATAAACTAATATGGTGTTTAATTAATATATGAGGTATATATATATTGCTGGTAAAATATAACTTCAGTTGTAGTCTCTTTATTGAGTTTGAAGCAAGACACGGAAATGGAAAAATCTAAATTTATGTTCAAAACATAATTAAATATAATAATATAAGATTGAAGGTGCTATTATTTATTTTAATTTACTAAATAAAATTTAATTTACTAATTGAAATTAGTAATCTTTCAAATTATTAATATATAATATAATTAATAAATAATATAATATAATTCAAATTAAAATAATAATAAATGTTTAGAATTAGTATTAGGAAACTTTGTGGAACTAATTGTGAAGAACATTTACAATTCGAAGTCTTTGATTTATCTCAAAAGATATTGTGAAGTGTGCAGTGAATAAATCAAATATAAGCTTTAGGAAGAAAAAATATAAAATATATAAAATCTAAAAATCCAGACGAAGCTAGTTAAATAGAATAGTCATATAGTTATAAGAAAGCCAGGCGGCCATGGCCTGGTTTCTAAAATGTTTTCTATAAATGGCAAAAAAAATGGTGAAATTTTTTGTTAAGTTTTGTACATCTTTTATAGGAAATTTGTATACAGATTTTCTCTAGACAAAAACATGTGTATCCATTAATTGTAATTGTAATATTTGGAAAAGCTTTTATGGAAAATAGATACCAGAAACTATAATAATTTATCATATCACATAAGAACTTCACAAATATTATAGAGCGAATTCGTAGTTGGACTCCAGAATAAATATTTAAACAATAAAATAAATATAATAAGTACAGAAAAAGTATATAAATATAAAAAAAAAATATGTAATAATAAAAATAAACATTGTATAATGTTGAAAGCCCGATTAAACTAGATCTAACCCTTATTGGGCCAAAAAAGTGAACAATTATTAGAGAATCAGGTTGTAAGGAAGAAAAATGTGAAAATTGACTATAAAATAATATCTATATAGGTATCTCTTAGAATTTTTGATATTTGATACCAAATTATGATTTGCTCGAACCAAACTAGTGAAGATTTAACGCCAACGAAAACGTTAACTTAAAGGAACAATGCAGATCAAGATCATATATACTTAATGGCATCGGAGCCGGCTAAAATGTGATATTAAATTACTAGTCAAAAATTAAAAAACTTACTTGCGTCTTTCGTGGGAGATGCCGTAAAGACGGGGTAAATTAAAAGCTGGTCGATCGATCAGTTTGATCTTTGGCAGTTTCACTTGTTGGGCATCCAGCAGATGGGATGAAAAGATGGCATTCTGAACAGCTCGATCGACGGCTTTCGGCAACTGCCCATTTGAAATAGCATCCTCGATTTGTGGTGGGAAGCTGTTAATCTCGATTGTGTTGGTCAAAACCTGAGCTTGAGGCAATCCTCCGAGAAGAACGTTGTTATCCGTAAAAACATGACAGGCATTCGTATGCCAGTTTGGATGAGTTTGGTCCTCAGCAATTGGCTTTACCACTGGTCCCACAATATCCACTCTACGTGTGCACACATATTTAATTTACTTTCATTAATCATTTTCTCGATTCCACTTACAACTTGAACATTTTTTGGGGACTCAGCATGTCCTCGGGGGATTTTACTTGAATGCCAAGTTTTATGAGCTCAGCAGCTGCTCCGGTGTCCTTGGGGACTCGCCTGCCTTGCACCTGCCAGTGCTTCTTGAAATGCCATCCAATGTGCTGTGCATACAACTTGTTAGTTAGCCGCATTTTTACCAATTTAATTCGACTAATTCGGGTTACACGAATCTCAGGTTATGAAATGCGACCAGCTGATATTATCGATAGCTCATTGCCGGACTATCGATAAGAACTTTGTGAATTGTAATATCGAATGCACTCACTCGTATAGGGCTGGACTTACACTGAGCGACATCAAGCATCAACACGCGAAAATGTCGTATATGGAATTGCAATATATCATAAATATTATGGCATAAGTTTTCATCCAAACTACGTTGCAGAAGCAAAAATTAGCAACAAAAATATTTACTAGACGTTATTGCAAACTGTACTCGATGTAATAACTTAAAACCAATCGTTATTTAATTTAATTTATTTTGTTAAATAAAACCCTTGAGTACAATTTCAGAATTTCAGATATGATTATAGGAAAGTTTTAAGTTTTTCTCTCATGAAGTAAGGAAGTATACTAGTGTTATTGAATTTAAAATTTAATTTGTTACCCTAAAATATTGCAAAATTACAAATAAATTAGGAACATCTAATTTATTTGACAGAGCAATAATTTATATCAATTAACAGCGTGACAGCTGCAGATGCAGCAATCTGCAATTCGCTAGATGTCGCTCTGTGGGATTATCTACAAATTTTGAGTTCTGATACCTTCTTTTCGGAATTAAAAATACCGGTTCCGGTTACTGGTTCTTAAAATAAAGGGTTTAATTTCAGTTCGGACTTTGGTTCTGCAGTGTAGTTGGTAAATTTGCGATTGCGACTTGAGAAACTGGTTCCTGTTCTAAGCAAAAACTGTTTTTAACTTATGTTTTTCTTCATTTAAGTTGTTATTTTGAACGAAATTGCGAATTATTTTTTTTTTTTATTTAATGAAATGTTGAAAAGTTATAAATTATAAATATAGAATATTGGCAATTCCACAGCAAGGACAACTTGAACCGAAATGTTAAAGTATTTTATATCAGCCGAGTTTTCTAAAATTATTTAAAAAAAAAGATGTTCCGCATTTGAATAATATATATATAATATAAAGTGCATTTAAATGCAAATCTTCAGTCTGATTCAATGTTCAGTAAATCATGAAAATTTATTTTAACACCACGAAACGGAGTTTTCCAAAATGAATTTAAAAACAATTGTCTGAAATTTATTACCATTTATAAATATGTATATGTAAAATGTTTTTATATGAGGAAAAGGTTCCCGGGCAATGTTCTGTAAATTGAAAATAAATTTTTAAGCCAAGAAAAACACCTACAAAATATATGTAGATTTAAATAAAGAAATCTTTGTAAATTCAAGTAAAATGATGTGCTTTGTGGGCACAGTCAAGTCACTTTAATATGTGTTCATTGTTCGACTTAATGTGCAACTGTACAATTTACTTAGAAGTAGTCGTGAAACATAATTTGTTAAACAGGCGCACACTTGTCAAAATATGATGCTTACTTAAAAAGGTACACACTTTAAACTTAGCAGAAGACGCAACACACATCATCATTTCCTTGTTTTGTTTGTTTGTTTTTCGTTCTCGCTGTTGCACACTGGATTTGAATATAATCTTAATCATTTAAATCTAGTCATCATTTAAGAAGGCTAAAGGATTAGCTTAAATAGCTAGCGCATGCGGTATGTATTTGATTCCTGAATCTCGGACAGATCCCCCTTAAAATGGATGTCGATGACAAAGTCCAAGTCGCGATTGTTTCGCTCATTTGGCTTCATTTGAAAGGTGCCGTTGATCTCCTCGTTCTTCTTCGCCGTCATGTGGTCGTCCAGGTAGAATACTGTCTGCTTCCAATGCGTGTACGTTGAGTCCGGCGATGTACTGAATCCCAGTCGCTTGTGGCACTTGGTGAACTCAATGTTGAAATAGGTGACCAAAGCCTGCACAAAATCATTCCGCTTAATTGTCAAATTAAATTTCGAAGAGAAATTCAAATCCGCCTTTTGCACCGTGTACAAATCGACTTCCTTCACCATGCAAGCCGTGGACACGACTTGTTTGGGATCGACAACATCGACGAGGGGCTCCGTGACGGCCACCTTGCGTATGCAGCTCATATCGAAGCCGTAGACATCGTCCCACCAGTTGATCTTCTCGTCCTTATACTGGCGGTCTTCGATCGCTGTGATGTAGAGTGTGCCCCGATCCGGAAACATCATTCCATTGGGTTTCAGCCATTTGTCGCGTGCATACAAAACCGTATCCAGCATGGACTCGTAGAACAGACAGTAGCTGGAGAGGATTACATGTTGTTATTAAACAAATATATTTCATCTATGGATTATATACCCCATCCACTCGGAGATAATAATGTCGACTTTCTCAATTCCACCAGGCAGCTCAATTTCCTCAATTTTCCCCTTGACTACGGTGATAATTTCCTGCAAATTATTGTCGATTATCACTTGGCGAGCGAACTCAATAATATTCGAGCAGTCGACGGCAATCACTTGGGCCGCACCAGCCTTGGCGGCAAACATGGACAAGATGCCCGTGCCGCAGCCAACATCCAAAACGGTCTGCAAAGAATTCAAAATGCCAATTTAAATCGATCTTTAAAAATGATGCAGCAATAAAACAAGTTGAATATTGCACTTGATTTAAACACAAGGAAATCAGGCTCATATATCCACGTGTAACATGACCACAGACGAGGCTTACCTTGCCCTGGAAGAGATGCTTGTTGTGGTACATCGCATTGCGATAGGTCACCGTGCGCACCTCATCCTTGAGCATCTCCTCGTGGATCCCAAAATGGGCATAGGAATCAAAGTAATAATCTCTTGAAGTCATCTCGTCCGCATTGCCGCTGCCATCACGAGGAGCAACAGCAGCTGCAACCGCCGGAGGAGGAGCAGCTGGAGCAGATGCGCTGGCAAGTTTCTTTAAAACATTATTCGAGTTCGCCGCAATTCCGATTGGGATGAGGCCGATTGCAGGCTCGACACTTGCTTCCATGGCTATATCTGTTGAAGACTGCACATATACGCATTGGTTAGCAATTCCCAATTTAAAGAATATTTTTGCTTACCATGATTAACACAATTTTATTTGGCGTGAGTTGTGAGAAATCAAATAGATTTGGCAATGCGAAAAGAGACCGAACTGCTTCCCTCCAAACACACGCGAAAAAGTGATACCAATCAGTGGCCAGGGATGCTGCAACAATATCGATAATTAACATTTACGATATATATTGTGACACATTTATATCGATAGAAATGTAAGTTTTTCTGTAAATTAACAGTTCAAATAATACTTTTACAATATTACTTTGGTTAGAAAATTTTCAAAATAATTTGAATTAATAAAAAAAACAGCTTTTATTTTTGGAAGTGATCACCATCTTTACTAATGTATCACAAACTGCCGCTAAAAACTTGGAAATATTTTAAATTTAGAAGTGCTGAAAAAGTACTGCAATAACATGCGAAAATTGTTATTTTTGTGTTCAAAATCTAAAATAATTAATTTTTTAAAAAACTTCCACATTGTTTTCCTAAAATCGTGAAAACTTGAAAAGCAATGTGTCCATGTAGATAACTAGATATATTTCTTCTGCTATCTATAGCTTTAAGCTGGAAATGCCAAGTAATTACATATACATTCTTATAATTTCTTCTGCACCCTACAATTTAAAATTGAACGCGATTTAGAGTTAAACAAATGTTTTCTTGAAAACGGTGAACGACAATGGAGATCGATAGCAGGAATGCCGCTGTTATGTGGGCATTATTATCGAAAAACCATGTTGTGCGTTACTATCGGGTTATGTTTTCATTATTTTATTTTCGATTCATCGGCTTAGCCAAATCGATTGCAACAATGCCTCTTACTATTTTGGCGGCAAAATTTTATTGGGCATCGTGATTGAGGCGTTGGTATTAAAAATAGTAAATTAAAAAAGTTTGATTTTAAAGAAGCCACTTTGCCGGTTGTAATCAATTAAAATGGACGGCTTTGATGATGCGGGCGTATTTTTCTCCGACAACTTTGGCAACGATCAACAGTCGAATGGAGCCCAAATTAATTTGCAGGCCGTAAAGAAAAAGTACAAAGAATTTATTCGCACTTTCAACGAAGACAATTTCTACTATAAATATCGGTGAGTAACGAGATATAGATATGGATTTGATATAGGATATTTATGGGAGTTGTCATTGCAGTGATAATCTCAAGCGAAACTATCTCAATGGACGCTACTTTCTGGAGATCGAAATGGAAGACTTGGTAGGATTTGATGAAACGCTTGCGGATAATTTAAACAAACAGCCGACGGAGCATTTGCAGATCTTCGAGGAGGCTGCTCGCGAGGTGGCCGATGAGATAACGGCACCGCGGCCAGAGCACGAGGAACACATGCACGACATCCAAATACTGCTGATGTCCGGCGCAAATCCGACAAATATCCGTCAACTGAAATCGGACAGCGTTTCACGGCTGGTGAAAATTGCCGGGATTATTGTGGCTGCTTCGGGCATTCAGGCGAAGGCGACACGCATGTCGATCATGTGCCGCTCTTGCAGCACTGTTATACCCAATCTGAAGGTGAATCCGGGATTGGAGGGGTATGCCCTGCCGCGTAAATGTAACACCGAGCAGGCTGGTAGACCCAAGTGTCCACTGGATCCGTTCTTCATTATGCCGGACAAATGCAAATGCGTCGATTTCCAAACGCTCAAGCTGCAGGAGTTGCCGGACTTTGTGCCCCAGGGCGAAATTCCAAGACATCTGCAGTTGTTCTGCGATCGTTCGCTCTGCGAACGTGTTGTGCCCGGCAATCGTGTCCTCATCCACGGCATCTATTCCATCCGAAAAGTGGGCAAGCCGACGAGGCAAGACGGTCGCGAAAAGGCTGTGCTCGGAGTGCGTGCTCCGTATATGCGTGTTGTGGGCATCATTGTGGATGCGGAGGGAGCGGGCGCTGTGTCGCGCTACAATAACATCTCCATCGAGGAGGAGGAGAACTTTAGGCGGTACGCCGCCTCGCCGGATATCTATGATCGCCTCTCCAAATCCCTGGCACCCAGCATCTTTGGCTCGAACGACATAAAGAAGGCAATCACCTGCATGCTCTTTGGTGGCTCACGCAAGCGTCTCCCGGACGGTCTCTGTCGTCGTGGCGACATTAATGTCCTCCTGCTGGGAGATCCGGGGACGGCTAAGTCGCAGCTGCTCAAGTTTGTCGAGAAGGTTGCCCCAATTGGCGTCTACACCTCCGGCAAGGGCTCGAGTGCAGCGGGTCTCACGGCGTCTGTTATGAAGGATCCACACACGGTGAGTTCCCTTTCAGAGATTATATCAATTAATATCTAAACACAATTAAACTGGATGTTAATTAGTATTCTTTATTTATTATTTTTAAATTGCATACAGCGGAAAAAATCAAGAAAGTATTTTTACCAAGAAATAAATTTCACTTTTTTGATTTCTTTTGCCAGCAAATTGAATTATAATCCTATATCTTTTGTCTTATTTTTCTACAATTCTGTGAAGCTCTTCGATCTAGTTACAAGGAAAATTATCAAGATTTGAAATTTTTAAAACCAAAATTAATTAATCTTTGAACTGTTAAGAAAATGGTTTCACAATGGCCAAAATGTATCTTTTGTGCATTTATGTTGCATATTTTTATTGTCCTATATTTGTCTTCTTATTATTCTACAATTCTGTGGAGCTCTTTTCAGAAATATTATCAATTCATATCTAAATACAATTAATTTGTATCCAAATTTGCGTACAGTATGCCAAGAATGTGTTATTACAAATGAAAAAATTAATTGTTTACCCATTTCTTGTGCAAAAAAAAATTACTTTATTAATTTCTTATTTTTTTTTGTTTTGTATTTCTATATTTGTAGTGCTCTTAAAACTACTTAAAAAAAATAATAGAGAGTTGAAATTTTGAAAACCAAAATTATCCATTCTTTAGAAAGTCAATAAATAATTTTGATAACCGTTTTATGATTTTGCTATGCCCATTTGAGCTTATCGCCATAGAAATGTGCGTTTTTATTTCCTTGCCGTTCTTCAATGACCTTGTCATATATTTTTTTTTTTCAAATTTTATTGTTCAATCACAACAGCCAGATTGGGAAAAACATTTGATTTTCGGGTGGATAGATATTGTTCTCCTCAATCTCCGATTAATTAAAACAAACTTATAGACCTCATCTGCCCAACTAATCTAATGTTGTCAAATAACGAAATAGTGAAATTGATATCGCTGCATTGATCAGTCAAATTAATTTCTCTGTACCCTATAAATCTCCCCCTGATATCTATCAACTTTCTTTTAATCGCTGTACTTGTCATTATTCCTTGCATGAAACTTTTCGAGTATTCTGTAATGAATACAATAAACCATCATGTTATCAATTCCCAATGCTCTATTTTTATCATTAAGAACTCAATTTTAATCGTCTTGTCTCGTGAATACAATTTTAGCATGCCTTTGTGATTCGTAATCTTAAGAAATTCTTACTATTTTTTTTTCTGTCTAATTGGTTACTTTTTGGGTTTCCCCTCTCATTTTTTTAAATTTTAATAATCCCAGAATTATTATATATTTTTACTTTCTTTTTTCATTTTAACTTAATTATCTGTTGTTAATTTTATATCATTAAACTTTTAACTTTAATTTCAATTTTAAATTTAATTAAATTAATTTTTAAATTAGTTGACTGTTTTTATTTCACATTAAAAAAATAAATAAAATCGTAGACTTTTCTTGATGAAACTTTGAAATAAGTTCTACATTTGTTGATTATAGCCAGTGGATAAAAACTTTATTAACGATCTTTGAAATGAAATGAAATGTTATAAGTATTTCCTTCTTTTTTTTAAATCTAAATTAAAATATTAAATATGACTTTTAGTTGAATTTAATTTGGCTTATACTTTTAGTATTTTTTGTGTAAATAAATAAAAATAAATATCTGCACTCATTGGTGGAGTATCCCAAACTATATCTATATCTACTATATTTATCTATTATATATTTATATTTACTAACGATGCATCTATTTTTCCCACAGCGTAATTTCGTTATGGAAGGTGGCGCCATGGTTCTGGCTGATGGTGGCGTCGTTTGCATTGATGAGTTCGACAAGATGCGCGAAGATGATCGCGTTGCCATTCACGAGGCAATGGAGCAGCAGACCATATCGATTGCCAAGGCTGGCATAACAACCACTTTGAACTCACGTTGCTCGGTGCTGGCAGCTGCCAACTCGATCTTTGGTCGTTGGGATGATACGAAGGGCGAGGAGAACATTGATTTTATGCCAACGATTCTGTCCCGATTCGACATGATTTTCATTGTGAAGGATGTACATGATGAGGCCCGAGACATCACCATGGCAAAACACATTATAAACGTGCATCTCAGCTCAAACAAGTCGGCGCCATCAGAGCCGGCAGAAGGTGAAATCCCCTTGGCCATGTTCAAGAAGTATATTCACTATTGTCGCACCCATTGCGGTCCGAGACTCAGTGAGGCTGCTGGGGAAAAACTAAAGAGTCGCTATGTCCTGATGCGTTCGGGTGCCGGGCAACAGGAGAAGTCGGCGGATAAGCGCCATTGCATTCCAATTACGGTGCGCCAATTGGAAGCTGTGATTCGTATTTCGGAATCATTAGCAAAAATGCATTTACTGCCGTTTGTCACCGATGAACATGTGAATGAAGCTCTGCGCCTCTTCCAAGTGTCTACTCTAGATGCCGCCACAACGGGTAGTCTGGCTGGTGCCGAGGGTTTCACCACCGAGGAGGATCAAGAAACTTTAAACCGTATCGAGAAACAACTGAAGCGACGTTTTGCTATCGGCTCTCAAGTTTCCGAGCAAAATATTTTACAGGTAACTATTACTTGATATTTATATACATAAATATGTTTTATTAATTGTGTATACCATTTTCACAAAATCTAGGATTTCTTGCGCCAAAAATATGAGGAGAGAGCTGTAATGAAAGTCGTCCATACGATGATTCGACGTGGCGAGCTTCAGCACAGAATGCAACGCAAGATGCTTTATCGTATTTGCTAAATTCAATGAATTACGAATCAATCACAAACATAACTTATATTACATTTCCAAAAACTATTTTTCAATAAATCATTTTTACAATAGCTCGCTTTGAATTTAAAAACTAATTGTAGCTAGAGTACTATATTGGTTGGTTGAAAAAATAATGTATCCGATCTGTTTTACTGAACGTTTTTTACGATTTTTAAACGATTATCATCTAAACTATGTCAGATAGCTATACAAGTCAGGATTTTAAAGAAGAATTAGAAACCCAAAAAAGTTGTTAATACTTTAACTCATCTTTTGGCATTTGGTTCCAATAGCTTCATCTAGACAAAACTAGGTTTGATTCAGATTCAAGCTGCAAAGCCATATCGACTGCTGATTAGGAATATGTAGCTGCGGTAGAAAAAATAGCACCACAATAAAGCCAATTTAGTCCGATTTTGAGTATGAAAATGAGCAAATAGAACCACAAAGATGACGTAAAAAAAGATGATTTTGATTTGTTGCCTTTTCAAAACAATATGTCAAAAAAATGGCATTCACTGAGCGAATTAGGCAGTAACAAAAATAATTATGAAAAAACGAAACAAATTTGAAAATTGAATATTCCAATGGGAATATGTTATAATGAATAATGATATATGTTATTTGTGTTCATATTTAATTATACTTAAGGGCATTTCATCACACGCGTATGGCAAAATTACATTTTCCAAATTCACAACTGCTTCAATCCAATGTAAAGGAACAACTACAGCATAGATTCCTATCCAAGCTATATTATTATATTATATATTAACTCCATGTTTAATAGTTGTGCAAGTGAATTGGGAGTTGTACACTGCAATCGAAAGTCATCTTACAAAAAATCGAGCGCCTTTTTCATCACACAAATTTGAGCTACATTTTGTGAAAAATGAAGTTGCTACCTTTGCCTTAGTTTTTTATGATAAGCTTAAATTGAAATTAAATTAAAATAAATGCAAGTGCTGCTGGATTTGGCTTCCCACATGATTTTTAGTCAAAAATTAAGCTTATCTTGGGCTACTGGTTTAGATTTATGTTTCCTTAAGTAAGCCCGAACTTTTTCTACACTTTCCGGAATTTAAATTTAGACTTATATGCCCCATTCCTACCTAGACAAATCAGTCTTTTCTCTACATATGTTCTGAAGATTTTAAGTTACGTATCATTTTGTTTAAGTAGTCAACTAAATTTCCAATTTCATTGAAGCTCTTACCCTAAAGAAATAAAAAATTTGTTTTCTCCCCTATCTATTGCCAAATTATCTATTCTGTCTATAAATTAATTGGAAGAATTGTTTTTTTTTTTCGATTTGTCTTTAACTAGTGAAAATTTGACCGAATGTTTTAAGAAATACGAACAGTTCTACTCTTTTTAAGGCCAGTTTTTGCACTCTCAAACCCTTTGGGATTTGGGAATAGAAATGTATTTCTCAGAGAGGAACCATATGATCTTTTCTCTTTCTCTTAAAAAAAAAAGGCTCCGATAACGAAGACATGAGTCTCTTTTTTTGTAGAGAAAGATCTAAGTTGATAATATTTTTTATCGGCCTCTGTATTTATACCTTATGGAATCTGAAATGAATTCTTCCTAGCGTTGAACTATTCGTGATCAAATAAAAATACCATTCGAAAGGAATATAAGAAAAAAAAAAAACAGCTGTCTCTACGCTAAATATTATAATTGTAAATTTTTGTAAACAACGTGCCTAACTTAAGATCACTTATATATTTTAATCAATTTTGGCATAAGAAGAAAACATATTATTAAGCCCCAGCGTTAAAAATTGCGCATTTAAATATTTTTTTGTATTCTTGTCTCAGGCATTATTCAAACAACAAATGATTTAAATTGAAGCCGCATGAATATAAAACAATTAAATTTCAATTGTTCTGCATTCAATTTGCAAATTGAGCAAGCAATTAATGTTTGCATGTACATCTATATATATATATATATATATATATACATACATATGTCTCAATTCAGATAATGCTTGCCTTCTGTCATGTGGTCGGGTCAATATCCATGATCCATGTTATGTCAAGGTATTAATTCATGTTGAAATCGAAATAAGAAAATTTTGAAAATACACTGAAAATGCACGATGCCATTTTTTCAAAATTTTAGAAAAATTTACGATTTTTTCTGAGTGAATAGATGAAATCCCAATAGCCCCAAAATTTCGCGCAATTTTAAACTTTCAGCCAACAGTGGGACCAGAAAACGTTATTTAAATAATGTTTGGAAACTGACTAAAAGCATATCCTATTCTACGACTTGGGCAACATATTTATAGTTAGGAGTGCAATATATACGCTGTATATACATACAATTTGCTGCATTTACTTATAATTGTATGTATGTATGTAGTTGGATCTACTAATGGGATTTATTATTGTTAACTTAGTTCTCTTCTCAAAAGTCAATTAACTCGATTACTTTCCTGTTGACCGCAGATAGCAGTTTATAAACGTAACCATTGCCTTGTCATCACCCGGAATCAGTGGCAAAGGAAAAACACATACATATATCTATATATATATATATTTATATATATACACGGTGGAGGCATTTTGACAGATACAAAAAAGAAAATAAACAAATCGATATATGTATGTGCTATACAGAATAACAAGAAAAGTTTGTTTTCAGCAAACCGAAAAGAATATACCCTTTTTGAGTTTAAAGATTATAATTAATCTATAAATTTTAATACGCCCAGGATTGTTATATTCTGAATTTAAATTGCATCAATAATTTTAAATACAATTTTATATAATTTACTTTTTACGCGTTAAATAAATACAAAATTTTCTGTCGTATGAAACTTTTTGTCATACCATGAGCTTTGAATTTATTAACGTATTTATTGTCAAAGATCTGTGTGAAAAGTCATTGGAGATTTTTTGATAAATTTTCCCCCAAATGGATGGAAGGAAAACTACATAATTAAACGTTGAGTTTAAGATGGGCATCAAGCCTATTTACAAAAATCTGTCAACCATGTACAAATGTATGTTATAATTCATTCAAGATGTGCATTTTGTAAATATATATTAATTTATGTTGTGTAAATACTTAAATAAATAATCGTGAGTACCACTCAATGTTTATTTCTATAATTATAAAATCCCACACGCAGGAGTAAAAGAGGAAACAAATGTTTGAGAAAACTGGAGACTTGCAGATACCCTGTGGACTCTGGTCGACTTTATTTTTACCAAATGATTCATAATTACATACATGTTGAGAATCGATTTGTAATATCGTCTGTGTTTTTATATTACCTTTAAATTGAGATCATGAAAATGGCATCCAAATGTTTGCTTATACCAAAATTAATGACATTCCATCAGATAATTTAATGTTTTACTTTTACGAAAGATTAGATGATATTAAAAAAACTGCCATAGCTTTATGTGTCGACTAAAATCAGTCGACTCAGTAGAAAATAAATGTAATTAAATTACAAATAAACTTTAATATTTAAATCTAAATTTAAAAAAATAAATATTTACAACAAATTTTTATTTAATGTCGACTAATTTCAGTCGACTCAGAAGAAAATAAGTTAAATTAAATGATGAATAAAATTGAATATTTCAATTTAAAAAAATAAGATATTTAAGATAATATTTACACAAACTATTTATCTCCCTTCATTTTAAAAATGGTATCTATGCGAAAGTTAGACAAATGTTTTTCAAAAGTTCAAAGATTACATTAAAAGAAAATATTCAACAGAACGAATATTGCACCAAAAAAATATATATTATATTTTGCCAAACAGATTTACAGAGTATATCTATCAACGTCATCAGCATCCGCGACTTTTTTTTAATTTTCAAAAGAGGAAGAGCCACACAAATCTAGTTACACATACACACATCCATACATACAAACATACATTGGATACGTAAATTCACAAATACAATTAAAATACGCAGACAAAACCATGTTCGATACATACACACATGCAAAATGTGCATGTACACATTTGTATACATTTAGTACACAGCCACACACGCAAACACAGTGAAACACGTGAAGGAAGAGAGAGAGGGGGTGATTCAGTCTACGTGTGCAAGAGCATAGAAGATGAGTGGGAGGAGGGTGGGGGGTCTTTTGTTTTGTGAATGGAAAATTGAAATGAAAATTCTTGGTGCACAGCAGCCAATTCCGTTATATATACGTCAGTACACTTATAGCTCTCGAAGGAGCCAGTTCACATTGCTTGCAAAGGAATCATTCGTGATTCTAGATGTAACTCCCGTTATACTTGAGAAGGAAAAAAAAACAAAACAGTTGAGTGCTGCTTACGATCATGTACATTTACCCGAGCTCACCCGAATCACAGTCGTTTTTGCAAACCGAAGAAAGTGCAGCAGCCATTAAAATTCAAGCTGGTTTTCGTGGCTATCGTGTGCGCAAGCAGATTTACCGTTTGAAGAAAGCGAACGGTGCTCACAACACACACAAGAGTACCGTACGACGTCAGCAGCAGCAGCGCACCGATTTCATGGAGGGCAAAACGAAACAGGCAGCAGCAAAAATTGCTGACGGCAAACAGACGAAAACGAGCGTCATCAGCTCAGCAACAGCAGACGCAGCTACGTCAGTCGAAGATCGCTCGGCGACAAAAATTCAAGCAGGCTTTCGCGGATTTCTCGTGCGCAAGCAGCAAAAAATAGCAACAAATGCTGCTGTTAAAATACAATCAAGTTTTCGCGGCTTCAAGGCACGCAAGGAGGCGGAGAAATTGAAACAGCCGTCATATTAAAAAAAATACTCTTAGACAACTATACTAATGTAAATGACTCTATATATATATATATCTATATATAGTCTAGTTATGTGTACATCCTGTAAATAGGTTAAAGTAAAAATAATAGTCGCCAGTTAAACAAAATAAATATTAACATGATATGTGTTAAGTAATTCTTAGTACTTCAAATGTGTATCTTCAGTAAATTCAGAAAATTGTATTGAATGTTTAGAGAAACGTTTAATACTTGGCATACAGTTGCGTTCAAAATAATATCACCATTACGACATTTTTTCTAACGAATGAACCAAACAAAACATTGGTTTGTTGATTTTTAATATACTGATTTTTTTTTTTTCAAATATTTATATTAATTTTTATTCTTTATAAATTCATATGTATATAAACAGTAGCAACAAAAATAATAGCACCACCTATGCATTCATTAAGGAAATCGCTCACTGATTTCTAATAGTTTTTTTCTTTCTCACTTTGAGAGTCTTCTTCTATTTCTAAAAACGTATTCATCAGTTCCTTAAACTTACAAATTTCGAAAAGACACATTTGAAAGCATTTCATTTAAGAGTGGTGCTATTATTTTTTTCGTAACTGTATGTGCACACTAAAGTTTTCATATATAAATTCATATATTATATAATTATATAACTTATTACCATTAAAGCAGCAAAAATCAAAAACCAAACATAAATGGCATTTATGTGTACATTTTAAAGTACATATGTACATTGAAATCAGGTGTGGTATTTATATTTATCTTTTGCATTAATGTGTATTGTTTGTGTATTTGTGCCCAATTGGTAAAATATTTTGTTCGATCGTCGAAAATTTAATTTCCAGTGCATGAAAATGACATTTTTATGTGCACACAGCAAAAATAATCAGGGTCATAAAAAGTACAATTTCAAATTTTTGATAGGGTACATTTTACATTTATATGTACAAATATTCTGTACACTCTGAAAAAAATTACCCACATTTTAGTAAATCGTTATAAAATGAAACTTGATCTAAAATATATAATTTTTTTTGTTTTTAGAAATATTTTCTTAATATTAGAAAACAAAACTTGTAAGAATTAGAAAGGCTGTTTTATATTTTTTTTTTAGAAATATTTGGTAATGTTCATCTTGAATTTTGTAGAATTATAAAAAGTAGATTGACAAGCCTTAGTTATAGAAATAATTCTTTCGAAAATTACGATTTTTTTTCTGAGTGTGTACTATTCGTGGATCAACATGTGTTCCACATATGTATCTCTAGTACTCTTTCAATGTTGTCCGTATTTTTGTCAAATAAAGTAAGATTGGAAATAAATGATTTTTGATTTGTGGGAAATTAAAATGTCTCGAATTTAAAATGGTTCTAAATACTTTTAGCCAGAAGAAGCTAAAGGGACAAAAACTCTTGATCTCGTGCAATACTCAAGTTTGATGAAATAGCTATAGGCTCAGAAAGAAGTAGATATATTAAAAATAATATTCAAAAAGTCTTATGTATATGTTGGCTATTAAATTAATCTTGTTGGAGCGAATATTTTAACTTTATTTTATATCAAGGCTTTCAAACCGATACACGTGAACTATTTTATATTTAATTTAATCCATTTTTGTTGGGGAACTTCCACAAAAAATTTGGAGACCAATCGGCAGAAACATTCGTTCAATGCGAAGGTGCAACGATCTGTCAAAATAATCGAGCATCTATCCTCAGATCCAATGAGGTGCCATCCAGTCTTGGGAATAAAATTCTTTTGAGAAGCGGAAGGACTTGATCAGGACTTGTCGTTGTGAATGGGTGCTAACTATTGATGAACCAGCTTATTTTGTTTGGGCTGAGAAGAGCTTCCAAAAATACAAGGTAGGTTGGAGGACCAGAAACCATTTTTCTATGTGGCCGTCAGTGTTTGCCGAGGTGATCAATTAATTTTTTGATACAATGACAAAGTCAAGTCTATACTACGGGTGCTGAGAGCACGAACCCGAAGGCAAGGGATAGAATTTTTTGTTGGTATATTGTTAGCTAGTGCAGGTCATTATTTCAGTTACTCTGATACCGAAGGTATTATATTATATTGATTTTTCTACAATGTCGACAATTTCAAATCGATAAACACACATATCTCTCACAATTTGAAAGCTACAGTCATAAAAATTTGTTGGTAAGTTGTGGCATATGCCACGCCCACCTTCGTCGTCACCACTTACTATTTTGAGTTTGAACCATCAAGTTTGGTAGGTATATTATATATTGAGTACCTGAAAGTGTAAATCGATAAAACCGCAAATCTCTCACAATTTTATACACGGAGTCACCAAATTTGAACGTAGCTTGCTGGTATCCCAGGTCTAGGTCTCAACCGCTGTCGGCTTTTCGAACAAACCATTTAGAATTTTGAGACAACGACACCTCTTTTAAGATATATAGCATTCAAGGGCATTAGGTAACTGATTTCATTAATAAACCTAATTAGAAATTAGATTATATCCATAAATTCTTAAAATATGTGTTAATAAAAAGCTAAATAGCCGACCGTCACAAATCTGACCTAAAGTTAGGCTAACGGGAAAGAAATCTAATCTAATCTAATCTAATCTAATCTAATCTACTTCAAATCTACTTTATTTGATTAGACTTTATTTAGAGTTATTACATAGACTTAAGCTCAAACTAGTCACGTTTCTTTGTGCTTGGATCATATTGAACCTTGCGAAATATTCGTATTTTTGGCAGTGAATATGTCGAGATCGGCCAGATCGAACCACTCGGACTACTTATCATAAAATTATAAAATATCTACTGTGGATCAGCAGCATTTATTTTCTTCTAAGGCATCCTAACAAAACTAACTATAAGTGCGTGTTCTACTTTTTTAAATTTATTTATTTATTATTATTATTATTATACTAGTTTTCATAGAAAAGTACAAAAATTAAATACAATTATTTTATTGATGTTAAATTAACAAAATGTAATAACTATGGGTTTAAAACTAAAATGTTAGAAAGACCATGTTCTTAAAGCTGCTTGAATTTTGTCAAGAATTATTCAAGATCAGACTTATACTCTAAATGTGTTAGAAGTCCCAGCTTAAATTCGCATAAGTTTAAAAAACAGTAATAAAGTATATTTTATATAAATTTTTTATTATAATTTTTAAAAATGTTGTAATAAGTATACGTTTTTAAAAAGCAGACGATTTTATATCGTGTCGGCTATAATTATATTTGGTAAAAATTTATTTCGGCAATTTGTTCTTTCCCATTTCGGCGCTTTTGATACGTCTCCTTCTGTGTTTGGGAATAACTCTAAGAACCTCACACTCAATTTGAACCGGCATAGAGTTTTGTCTCCTGGGAGGCCATTTCAAGCTCATATTCGCTTTCTTTTGTACACGTCTCTCTAAAATGGGAAGAGTAAATGTTTTAAATTAGGGTATCTACACAAATGTATAATAATAAATAAAAATAATAATAAAAATAATTAATATATATTTCATGTCGACTAATTTATGGAGAAGGTTTCTATTAATCTTACTTCTAAGTTTGGTAAGTGTAGCTATTAAATTGCAGAAGATATAGGTCAAAAAATTTTTTTTCTCGGATTTTTTAAGGGTTACACTAGCAATATACCTTTCAGATTTGGTGAATAGCTTTCAAATTGTGTGAGATATATGGTCTTATCAATTTACACTAACAGGTGTATCGGTTTAGAAAGGCTGATTGGTCGTGGTCATCCAATATTTTATCGATATCTTAGGGGTAACATAATTTTAACATCATTTTAAAAATTGGTAACTCTAGCTTGCAAATTGTGGAAGATATGCGCATTTCAAATTTTTATGGCCGCATCCTCTCCATAGATTTGCGAATAGAAATTTTCTTGATTTTCTGGCCTCCTAGTGGCCGTAGCACTCGGACGGTGGCACTGTATCTTAGAGTGAAAAAAGTAACGTTCATACAAACGGATAGACGGACAGACAGGCAGATAGACAGCATGACGGACATTGCACAAAACCTATGATACCTTTGATATCAAAGTATAAAAATAATAAATATTTATAAAATATCTGGCGCTATTTTAATGCAAAATGATCCAAAATTTGTTGCGTGAATTGAGGAAAACTCAGAAAGAAAACCAGCCAACCAAAAAATAAATACATAAAAAAATAATAGTAATTAACTTAATAATAATAACAATTATAAAATTAATATTAATAACGAAACAATAATATATAATTTTACCATTTTGCTGTACTGCAATTGTATCCACAATTTTGCTTTCGATATTTTCATCATCTGGTGTGGAATTAGAATCCTTTTGTAGGGCATCTCCCCGTTGCAGTGTTTGTCGTTTAGCTGCCAAACTGCTCTCCAAACTGGCACTTTTGATGGCATTCTTCTGTTTCTGCTTCTTCTGTTTCTTGCTATGTAGACGATAAGCAGCTTGGATCTTCTTGGCAGCTTCTTCCTCAATAAATCGCTCCAATGATTCGCTGATGGCATCATTTCCAAATGAGGCCTTGGTTTCTTGGGTCGATGACTTTGTGCCAGCACTGGCGCGACGTAATCTTCGCCTAGTTAGGAATCCTCGTGCTCCCGCCTGGATCTTGGCAGCTGCTGAGACAATGGTGGATTCGGTTTCTGTGGATGTGTCCATGGCATCTGTCATTGCGGTATCTATGTGAAAATCGTCTGCGGCGATTTTGCTGGGATCATAATAATCGGAGTCAGCCTCCGACAGCGAGTACGCCATTATCTTTTTCCGAATGTTTTCCGATGTCTCAGCGTCCAAGCAGAAACTGTTGCCGCTATTTAACTCAGTGCCAAGATCAACGTCTTCATTTTCGATAAATTGAACCGCATCAACGATTGTCACCGACCGGAAAATACTTTGCGGATCATCGCCGGCGATTGTATAATGCCGTGATAATTGTGTCCGAGTAATTTCTGCCTCATTGGATACAATTCGATCTTCATCGGAGTTTCCAAATATTACGGACTCACTTTGAGCGGAACTCTCACGGCTTTCCTCACGTTGCATGCGATTGTATACGATCACATCACCATCCGGAACATCCAAAGAGGCTTGTTCTTGCAAGGAGCTCATGGGTCGAACAACGGTTTCATCTGAAATTTGCTCAACAATACGAGAGTCTTCTTTATCTTCTTTCTCTAGTTGTGCTGTCACGATCTCATCTGCTCCTGATAATGCTCCATTCTTCAGTACATTCAAATCAGTAGCAATTTCAGATTGCTCCTGATTGCTTTCTTTTCTTTTTTCAGTTTCATTGTCTGCATTATCCTCCTGATCAAGTGTAGTGCGTGAAATGGATTTCTTTATACATGGTAGCTCCTCAATTCCAGAGGAGAATTCGATCTCTCTGTTCAGAAATTCTTTCATTAAATCGAGAGTTGATACATCTGCCACTTGATAAAATAAATAAATAAATTTTAAAGCAAATTGTTTTTATATTTATATATTAATTTTACCGTCGGATTTCCTTTCACATGGTGCTTCCTCAACCCTAAGGGGCACTAGTCCTGAAGAGAAATCGATTTCTTTGTTCAGGAATTCCATTAGTATGTCTTTCAGGAAAAATATTAAAAATATGACAAATTTAAAAGAATTATATTTATATATGTATGTTTATTTTACCTTTGGGGAAAGAATCCGATTCTGAACGCGACAGAGCCTTATCTAAGCCGATTTCTACATCGCTTGTGGAACCTGCTAAATTATTAGAAGATCCATTATCGTTTTCAAATACTTTGGTTGGATATATGTCATTTTTAAGATTGCCAATATCAGTTCCCAAATTTGTTTCAAGTGTGCTATTATTTTGAGCACTTGCCGTAGTAGATTCTGTTTGTGCCTCAAATGCTTTTGGCTCGCTCGATTCTAGGATTATGGGTTGCGTGCCCACAAACCACTCAGATGACTTTGGTGCAGTTTTTGTCAAGAATCGCCTAAATGCCTTTTGAATTTTAGTGGCTGCAAGGTTTTCGCTTAATGGAGTTTTCGAATTCGGTGCCATATTGGAAGTTTCCAAATTTTGGCTTTCCTTACTCTTCTCGACCTCTGGCTCGCCTTGTCTTCGACGAGCTAAATAGTTTTTAAAGGCTCTCTGTATAATTGTTGCGCTTCTCATATGTTTTAATTGATCACCATCATCCAAATTTGTATTGATTTGATTGGATTCAGAGCTTTTATTTAAATTCTGAACGGCAGATTCATTTTCCGCATCAGCAACTTTAGTTTCCTGAATATCGATTTTAGTATTTTCGTTTTCTACTTCTACTTGAATTTCGGGAACATTATGTTCAGATTTTTGCACATTACTTCTGAATTCATTTGCAATTTCGTTTTCATTTAGCTCATGTATGGTTTGTAATTTTTGTGTTCCAAATTCTTGATAATTGAAATCAGTTGCAACTTCTTCAACTTCTTCTTCATCTTGTCCTGCTATTGAATCTCGTGGAGCTTCTTCTTTACCATCATTTTCTCCGTCATTTTGCACAGTTGTATTTTGGGCAGATTTTTTATTCTTGATTGTTGGCTGCTTAGAAGTTTTCTTGCCATCACTCGTTTCCTCAAGTGGAATGAAAAAGGATACTGATGGTTTTGGTATCACTTCATCATTTGATTCTACTTTCTTATCAAGTATGTCGCCACCTGCACTTTCAGCAGTTATAATTGGTTCTATTAGGCCCTTATTGTCTTGCTTAGACTTGATATTACTTTTTGTATCTGCATCATTGGTTCCTGTCTCCATATGAACCTCATACCACAATCCTGTATCGGAAGGGTCACTAAATGATTTAAGCTGTAGTTCAGCAATTGGTACGTTAATTAATCGGCCCGATGAATTATTTGGTATTTGTTTATCCTTAGCGACCTGCCCTTTTTTGGATTTATTTGTGGAACTTGTAATTTGTTTGCCAATTAGGGGTTTACTCAAAACTGTTGACGATCTGTTCTGCTAATGTGAAGAACATAATTTAGAATATGATATTACTTTAAAATCTTACCAGCATTTACTTCGGGACTTAACGAATCCAGCTTGACCACCTCGCTCGATTTATTTGTTGCTATTTAAACATGATTGAGTTTTAATTATATATTTAAACATTTTTGATGATGAACTTACGTATTTTATCCATAACTTCAACTTCTGTAGTATCTTTCATAATAGGGTTTTTCGATGGGCCATCTATTAAATAAATAAGATATTTATCACTAATCTATTTGCCAAATTATATGAGTCCGGATCTTAGAGTGTGGGTTTATATATACAGTAGTTATGTGAAATAATCATTTTGAGATAGGGAAAGTAGATAGTTGAGAGCTAGCATATTTTTGTATTGTACTCAATTGTGAAATGTGAGACTATATATTTCAGTTTTATCGATTTATATTATATATATTATTAATAAAAAGAATTAGTTATAATAATCAAATGTTATAATACTGATAATCAATGAACAATATCAACATGTTGAGGCTCGACTTAATCAGTCTCTAAACACTCTTAATGAACGATAATTAGTCAACACAGAAATATAACAAACTAAAAATAAATTAAGCTTAAAGTAAAATATAATATCTAAACTTTAATTTTAAAAAATAAATTTGATATATTTCAAGATTATACATTTGGTGCATGACTTTAATTTAATCTAGCTAAATTATAAAAAAAATTATATTACCTTTCGAGTCAATAGATTCAAGATTTTGTTTTTGGGTTTCATCGCTGTCATTATCCATTGGCGGTTTATCGACATCGGATACAGATATTTGTTCGTTTGTGCTTCCGTTTTTTGTCGATTTGCTTATAGGACTTTTGAAATTGTCGCTCTCCTTATTTTTCAAATCATTCCCAATCAAACGTTTGCCTCTTATAGCTTCGTCAGTGGAAGTTAATATAACGTTTTTTATTTTTTCATTATCATCTTCATCTGTTGGTTCACTTTGTTGCTCTTTTAAACTACTACTTAAGTTTTGTTCAATCATCTCAAGTTTTGATGGTTCATCCTCATATGGTTGTTTGATTTCCATTAATTTCGTATTATCAGAGTTGACTTCAGAATTTAAACTAGAACTTCTTGTAATGCTGCCATTATTCTCTTTTATTTCTTTATTTTCCTTTTCTATGCTCTTATTTTTGTCCTTTTCATTTAAACTACTGGCGTCACTCTTAATTTCTTTAGGATGATCTTCAGAGCTATCTGCAGCTCTTGAAGGTGATACTAAAATATTTGTATGTTCAGTATTTAAATCGATTTTAATTTCCTTTGATTCGTCGGATGGTTCTGCAGCTGTAAGTATTTCAGTGTCAGAAGGGGCGGCTGGATCCTTCAACTCCTTTTTCTTTTCTATGCTCTTATTTTTGTCATTTTCATTTGATCGACTGGCGTCACTTTTAATTTCTTTAGGATGATCTTCAGAACTATCTGCAGCTCTTGAAGGTGATACTAAAATATTTGTATGCTCAGTATTTAAATCAATTGTAATTTCTTTTGATTCGTCGGTGGTTCTGCAGCTGTGGTATTTCAGTGTCAGAAGGGGCGCTGGATCCTTCAACTCCTTTTTCTTTTCTATGCTCTTATTTTTGTCATTTTCATTTGATCGACTGGCGTCACTTTTAATTTCTTTAGGATGATCTTCAGAACTATCTGCATCTCTTAAGGATGATACTAAAATATTTGTATGTTCAGTATTTAAATCAATTGTAATTTCTTTTGATTCGTCGGATGGTTCTGTAGCTGTGAGTATTTCAGTGTCAGAAGGGGCGGCTGGATCCTTCAACTCCTTTTTCTTTTCTATGCTCTTATTTTTGTCCTTTTCATTTGAACTACTGGCGTCACTTTTAATTTCTTTAGGATGATCTTCAGAGCTATCTGCAGCTCTTGAAGGTGATACTAAAATATTTGTATGTTCAGTATTTAAATCAATTGTAATTTCTTTTGATTCGTCGGATGGTTCTGCAGCTGTGAGTATTTCAGTGTCAGAAGGGGCGGCTGGATCCTTCAACTCCTTTTTCTTTTCTATGCTCTTATTTTTGTCCTTCTCATTTGAACTACTGGCGTCACTTTTAATTTCTTTAGGATGATCTTCAGAACTATCAGCAGCTCTTGAAGGTGATACTAAAATATTTGTATGTTCAGTATTTAAATCAGTTGTAATTTCTTTTGATTCGTCGGATGGTTTCTGCACCTGTGAGTATTTCAGTGTCAGAAGGTGCAAGCGTATTCTCTAACTCCCTCAAATTACTACTTTGAATATGGGTTGGATTTGCGGTTGTTAAATTTGTGTCAGCTTCATCTGAGTTGTTCTCCATTTGACCATTTAAATCATTGTTGTCAACATCTTCTTTTATGCTCAGTTTTAATTTATCTTCTATTTCCTTATTTTTAGCAGTGTTATTATCTTCTATGTCAGATAAATTTGAAGTTGGAGCAATGATCTTCTGTTCTTCCTTTTGTACCATGTCTAAAGCGACCTGTTTTGGATTAATAACATCATCAGCAGTTTCAACGATTTTCTCTATAACTAATCCAATTAAATCTTGTTCGTTAGCTAGAGGTTTTTCCCCTATAATATTTGGGGGATCATACACCAATGCAACTCCACCGTCATCAGGTATAGTTACTATTTGGGTTTCTAAATCAGATAAGTTTCTTTCGTTTGTTATATTTTTATCGATACTTATGCCTTCGCTTAATATCTTCTTAGCATTCTCAGGTGAGGTATCCACATTTTTGATTGCTCTTTTGGTAACAACTTTATCGAAATCATCTTGCGATGGAAGGTTTCTCTCAAGTTCGATTTCATCTGGGATTATACTTTGAGATTTTATTTCTGTCTCAACAACGTTGCTTTGTTTATCTTGGAGTTCACCTTGAGTTAAGGTTGGAACTATTTCAGTTGAACTTGGAGATGAAGCAATAATCTGCTTGTCATCCACTTTTAAATTAGTTACGTCATCATCATTTTTTAAGATTTTCTCGGTCACTCTTTCAATTAAATCTCCTTCGTTAATTAAAGTCTGCTTCTCAGGCATATTTAAAGTATCACGCATTAAAGTAACTTCATCGTCTTTCGGCTTTGATAAATTCTGGGTCTCATCTCCAGCTATATCTTCTTTGTTTGTAATATTTTTATCGATATTCTTATTTTCGCTCAGTGTGTCTTCAGCATCCTCAGGTGTTAAATGTGCATCTTGCACATTTTTGCCTGCATTATTGGTGTTAACGGAATCAAAATCATTTTTCGATGAAAAACTTCTCTCAAGTTTGTCCTCAGGAATTGTACCTTCAGTTTTTATTTCTGTCTCAATACTATTATTTTGTTTTACTTGTGGTGTATCTTGATTTAAAGTTGAAATTATTTCAGAAGGATTTAAAGATGGGTCAACGGTCTGCTGATATTCTTTTGACGTTTCTTTAGAATCTTGGCTTAATATTTTGTCGGTGACTAATTCAACTAAATCTTGCTCTGTAGTTAAAATGTCTTCATCTGGAATATCTGTAGAATCAGGCTCTAACGTAACTTCATCGGCATTAAGTTTTGAGTTTTTCTGAGTCTCGACCTTAGCTATATCTTCGTTGTTATCGATATTTATATTTTCGCTCAATACATCTTCAGCATTATCAGTTGTGTCATTTTCCTTTTTGTTTTCTCTTATTGTAATAATTGAATCATCTGGCGATGGAATGCTTATTTCGAGGTCATCTTCAACTTGAAGTAAACTTTGAATTTCATCTTCTGTTCCAGAACCAATAGTTTGATTATTGGTATCTTGAGTTAAAATTGGAAATATTTCAGGTCGATTTGAAGATAAGGTCTGCTGATCTTCTTCTTTTGGCGTGTCCATAGAATCGAATGTTGGGATTTTCTCGGTAACTACTTCAATTAAATCTTGTTCGTTTGTTTGATTCTTTGACAAATTAAAAGCGTCAGGCACTATTGTTACTTCCTCGTCCTCCGGTTTCTCGGCTTTCTGGGCCTCTTTTCCAGCTATGTTTTCTTCGTTTGAAATATCAATCAATAGATCTCCAGCATGATCAAGTGTATCCTGTTCACTTTTGATTGATCTTTTAGTAATAACTGAATCTGAATCATTTTGTGCTGCAAGGCTTATCTCAAGTTCGTCTTCGACTGGAAGAGCACCTTTAGTTATCATTTCTGTTTCAATACTATGACTTTGTTTTTCTTGTAGTGTATCTTGAGTTGAAGTTGGAATTATTTCAGGTTGGTTTGGAGGTGGGGCAATGGTCTGCTGATCTTCTTTTGAATCGGATTTTACGATTTTCTCGGTGTCTACTTTAATTAAATTTTTTTCATTTGTTTGATCCTTTGACAAATTAAAAGAATCAGGCACCATCGTAATTTCCTCGTCCTCGGGTTTTGCGGCTTCCTTAGTCATTTCTTCAGCTACATTGTCTTCTTTTGAAATATCAATCAATAGATCTCCAGCATGATCGGGTTTCTGCTGTTCATTTATGATTGATCTTTTGGTAATAACTGAATCTGAATCATTTTGTGCTGCAAGGCTTATCTCAAGTTCGTCTTCAACTGGAAGAGCACCTTTAGTATTCATTTCTGTTTCAACACTATGACTTTGTTTTTCTTGCAGTGTATCTTGAGTTGAAGTTGGAATTATTTCAGGTTGGTTTGAAGATGATGCAATGGTCTGCTGATCTTCTTTCACCACCTCTGTTGAATCGTGTTTCAAATTAATAACATCATCATCAGTTTTTAAGATTTTCTCGGTCGCAAATCCAGTTAAATCTTGTTCGCTGGTTACAATTTTTTCTTCTGGCATAATTAAAGAATCATTCTCTTGTGTAACTCTATTTTCATCATCTGGCAAGGTTTTCTGGGTCTTAAATTTATTTTTTCTCAAAATCTGTTCTCTATTTCCAGGTGTGTCATGTGTATTTTCCATTTCACTTTTGGTATTTGCGGATTCAATATTATTTTCTGGCGAAAGACGTATCTCATAATCGCCTTCGGTTGAAAGTACACTATGAATTTTAATTGTTGTTCCAATACTATCTAATTCTGTGCTTCCCAGGCTTGTCGAGATTTTTGATTCTGTAAAAATAAAAATGATGTTATGCTTTTAATTAATGGACATAAAGAAATTAAAAACGGAATTTAGAATTAAGACTAATTTTTAATAAAATAAATAGAGGTGATACTACTAATTAAGGGGAGGAGATCATTATAATTGGAATATAAGATCTGAAATGGGGTAGCAACTTAAATTATAAGAAAATTTCTAGTACTTCTGATCAGAAATGTAAACTTATTTATCTGCTTAATTAAATAATGAATTAAATTATTTATTTAATGTCAATTAATATTACTCGTCTCAAAAATATACAAAAAGTTACAAAAAATTAAATTAAATTAAAAAAATATAAATTTAAAATATAAAAATTAAGATGTCTATAGATATTCAACAAAAATTCCGAAGAATCAATATCAATTTTGTTCCCAAAGGATTCATTATATTGTTTTCAAGAAAACTTGTTGATCACTGCAAACAGTTAAAATCGTCCCAGTCACTAGAAATTTTGGTAATAATTAATTTTTTACTTTCTAGTTATTATTTTTGGGATTTGTTATATAATAACAATTTTTCTTAAATATACTTTAAGACACCTTTTAGAAAACACTTGAAAGCTATAAGTGAACGAACAATTATTGGTCTGTGTATATTTTATCGAATTACCCTTCGAGGGTTGTGGAGGTTTTGATATGTCCTTTGATTAAGGACACGGATTTATACAAATAAGTCTAATGCCACTATATATTTTTTTCCAATAATTTAAAACGAATTTAAATGACTTCCATTGCTTACTTACTGGAATCATTCAACTCTGCTTCGAATTGATGCTGCTTTGCTTCGTTATTGACGCTTTCCAAAACCGTCTGCAGGCTTTTTATTTCCATCGAATTTGGGTCCATTATGTCTGGTGCAGTTGAAGTGAAAAAATATTTATTTAAATCTCATAATAAACACAAGAGCTTAAGATCCTAATTTTAATCATACTAAAAATTATTTTCTTAAAAAAGTTTGGGACAGAAACGGGTATTTTTTTGTCTCAATTTTAATGTGACCAGCGATATCGCCTATAAAAATATAGGAAAAAGAGGATTCTTGATATATTTTTTCTTAATTACTAAACTTTAAAATAAAATTATTGATAATTGAAAGAGAGCACTTTATAATTGAATACTGCACAGGGACTATTCTACTCATCACAGAGTGCTCCAAACGGATTACTAATAAAATATTCATTTTAATTCACTAGTTGCCGTGGCTTTGATACATTATGAAACGTACACTCAAAAAAAAAACGATATTAAATATATAATATAGTCATACTTTTGACACCGGAGGTAGCTCAACTTATTATTCAGAAATTATATTCCTAAAACGAACGGTTGTCTTTCTAAAAACCAGTCATTTTCTATTATTAAGTAGGGGGTAAATTATATAAATTTTAGAAAAAGTATGTCTAGATAAGGAATGCTTTTTTTGTATGCTTCTACCAAATTCTCACATTAGGTTTTTGTTACCTTACATTATAATTAAACATATGTATTTAAAATATTAAAATGAATTTAAGTGACTGCTTACGTACCGGAATTGTCCGACGTTGCTTCGAATTGATGCTGCTTTGCCTGGTTATTCACACTTTTTAAAACCGTTTGTAGACTTTTTATTTCCATCGAATTTTGGTCCATTATATCTTGTGTCGCTGATGTGAATAAAACTATTTGTTATATCTCATAATAAACGCAAGAACTTAAGATTCCTCGTAGAAAACATTTTTTCATCAATCCCTTTTTATATAGAAAGGAATTGGACTTTTTAAGAAATACATATAGGAACATATTTTTTTAGATTAAAATGTGCTTTAAATGTTTTAAGTTATTAAGTTTTGCCACTTTTGAGACTCCAAATTGGGAAATAAGTTTTCAGATTTCATATATTTGTCACCTACATTTTCTCAACTTCATAATACTCTTTTTATTAAATATATGCAATTGTTACTGTCTGTGAATTTTTAATACGTTTTAAAATCTCATCGCAAAGTACTTGAAAAAGAATAAGTAATTTTTAATTTACTATTATTTCTAGCTTTAGCACATATGACAATTGAATATTGGTAGCTCAAATTATTTTTATGCTTGTGTCATTCAAAAGCTAGATTTTTTCTATTCAAGTAGATTATTCTAAATTTTGGAAAGCAAGGAGTGTTTTTTAAAATATCTATACAAAATTCTCATATTAGCCTTTTTCAAACCTTAAATCAGAATTACACACAAGTATTTAAGGAATGTAGTTGTTCAATTTTCTCTAACTTTGCACTTTTACTTTTATAATTACATTTCTTGATAATAATAAGAATATCTAACAAAAAATTGTTTTCAGATTGTCTGTCAGATGTTCGAAATACATATTGCTATTGCATAGTGTTATTAGTAATTACCATTTCCATTAGAGATTATCGATTTTTCACTAGATTTTATAGCTTCAGTTACGTGCTGCTTCTGTTGGTTTTTATAGTCGTTCTCGACTTCCTCATCTTCATTTATGGTCTGTTGGTGGACTCCTTCCTCGTAATTGATGCCTCCCAACTCATTGTGCTCACCTGCCGACTCCGTCGAAAGTAGAGCCGTGGAGGCGGACGTATAGGAGCCAGCCTCGGAGGCATTGTCATTTATGTCATCGCTTTGCTCAAGTTCAGCATTTGTGTGTCTTCTGTCTTTGACCACCTTAACCATTCGTCGAAATGCTCTCTGAATAATTAATGCCGCTGTCGTAATTGAAACGCTGGTATCCAAAGGTAAAGACCCACTTTTAATTGGGGGTCGTTTCAACCTCTTCTTGGTCAAATATAGTCGACATTGTCGCTGTATAATATATATGGCACTTATATATTGAACAGAATTGTACTTTTCTACTGATGTGTTCGTAAGCTTCACAGTATTTTTAGCTCGTTTTTTCGATAAGTAACGTCGAAACTGTCTTTGAATCAGAGAAATTGCATTTAAGTAATCTGTATTTTTATATATATCTGTCGTTAGTAAATTGACCTTGGCAGATCTTTCCGCCTTTCGTTTTAAATAGTTGCGGTAATGTTTTTGTATAATGCATACTGCCCTCAAATTGTAATTATATTTATCGATCTCCAAGGTTTTGACAGATTGTTGACCTGTTTTTCCTTCTAAAACACGTCCACATGTGCATATCACCTTAGATTCTTGAGACCATTTTGCATTTTCTTTAGTGTATTTTTCATAGGCGGCATACTTCGTATAGTCAATCTTAGCTTTGCTAAGACGAAGTTTTTGAAAATATTTTCTTGCAAAGACAAGTAGATTTTCGGGATTTTCTTTAAGGACGGCTTTGATGAAGTTTTTAACTACATCCGTGAGATTTTCAGGTATAATGTAATGAACCAGTGACAATGGCACTTGTTGTCGAATGCGGTTTTTCATAATGATTTCATAAGTTTGCGGAGGTTCGTATTGAACCGTATTAGGGCGTGTTCTCATCGCCGCAATATTTTCAAAATAATGTGATGAGAATCCAAGAAGATCTTTTGGTTTTTCGCGTAAAACTTCTTTTGTATAGGCTTTCATCAAGTCGCGAAGACCTTCTGGTACTCTTGGTAAATTTATTGCTGTCATTTTTATTCTTCACAATTTTTATAAACACTCACGGCAAATGTTGAATCAATACTGGCGAAGAAAATCTCATTTTGTACCTGGATACCTTCGGAGGGCTTTGTTAGTCGTTTCCATGCTAACCTGAAGGTAGCCACAACAATTGAATTACTGGAATCACTCTGCTCACTGCTGACTCACTTTGAAAAGAGAGCAAAAGAGTGTTATTTAATTCATTTCATTGAAATCTATTATTTTTATAGGCGTCGAATGCAAATTACTTAAAGCAAATCGTCTTAGTAAGTCCTTAAGGATGCAATTTTGGACTTAGGGAATTGAATAATTCGTATGCCTTGGTAAGATTCTTGATACTCTACAAAATTAGTTTCATACTTACACTTTACATTATTTCAGAGTCAATTCTGTTTGATGCTGAAGCTGTATAAATTGCGCAAATTCACTACCTAAATTAAAATTGAGTTAAAAAAAAATAGAGAATTAAATGTATATCTCTCAAAAATAATGAAATAATTTTTTTTTATTTTCAAAAAATTGATCTAAATGCTATATTGTCTGTTAACACGAAATATTTTTATAAAATTTAAAAATGATAAACATTCTTAAAAAAAAATATATTATCTAAAATTTAAAAAAATAAGACAGAAAACTCACGAATTAAGGGTCGTACAATTTTTCAAATAAAATTATATAAATTTGTAAGCAACCTAAATTGTTTGTATATGTGGAATCTTAAAATACTAATGACTATGATAAAAATTTATGTAACAAAAATTTAATGTAACAATATGGTGTTCAGTTATAAAAAAAAACATATTTTTGGTACATTTTATAAAAATATACTTTCTGAACTGAGCGCAATTAAATTCTTAAATGTATTTTTTTAATTGTTTTTAATAATAAAATATTATGTATGTACTATTCATTATTATATTTTATTGCATTTTTTTTAATTGCACTTGTGTCTGGCTGATGCCCCATTAAATAAACATTGTCCAAAAGTGCAATATAATTTTCTTAGTTCATCCGACCGGAAATTTTTCTGCTTGATGACTAAATAAAAAGCAAACCTCCAAATTTTCAGGTGGTGAAAAAGCTATTACTTTTCAAATAAATTATTAATTATTATTACTTTTAATTTTATTTTTTATAATTTTTACTATAAGATATTACATCTATTCAATGGCATGTGTTTCTTTGCAAAAATAAACTGATATTTTTGTGTGACGCCTTTTCAGGAGACATCATTTAATTTTTTCAATCGGGGATTGAAACTGATCCCATTTAAAATATTTTGTGCACGATGCTTGCACCCAAATATGTACAATCGAATCGAATTCTGTAATATTTAAAAATATATGAACCGATTAGGTTTATTTTGATATAATACGCAGTAATGAAGATATGGCAGGTGATATTATTTAAATTGAATTATCCAGACAAATATCTGGAAAATTATGCAAGGGAAGTGACCAAGGAACCATAACATTACAAAGAAACATAATTGCCTTAATTACATATTGTGCTGTACAAAAATTAAAATGAAATATTTATGACCAAATTTGAATACCATCTAGGCAATTTCTCCACGTCAGATAAAGTGTTAAAATGGTGGGTTCTGTGCCAACTGGGGCATATTGGAATATTGATCGATTTATATTTCTCCAAATATTTTAAAACCAAATGGTAGATTGCTGGTGATACCTTCAGAGATGGGCGTATGGATTTTCCTTCATATAGGCATATTATCGAAAACACTCTTCAAAGACCTATTTCTCAATTTTATTTTCTGTGCCAGAAAGCAGTTTAGAAGCAAAATACGCCAATTAATGGATTTAATTAAAGTAATTGCCAAATCTTATTGAAAAACACGAGATATACAATTATTATTTAATATTATCTATTTTCTTCGATGCGACATAAGATAGGTATATCATCATGTCTAGCAATATCCGTTGAATTAGATAACACATTATTCTTTACAAAATCGTTCTTAAATTTTTTCCATTTGAGATTCCTCAGAAAATCATCGAATAAAGCTTCTCTCGATGGAATAATAACGTCTAAATAGACTGATCTCCGTTGCCATATATTTCCAGGATTTTGTTCCTTGTCCATTAAGAAGAATCTGGGAAGTAATAAGCACTGCACCGTATTTCGAGCCATTATCACACGATGTTGAATGTGTTCGCCTAATCCAAAAATTCCGCCAAATGTTATGGAACCAACATCTATAAAATGGCTTTCGTAGTTGTCCGACTACAATAAAAAAAATGCAAATAAATGTTACATAAGCTTTATTAGAAATATGAAAGACCTATAGAGAGCCCAAATTTCTCAGATCTTAAAGTTAAACTATTTTTGGATGAACGTGCTCTACCTTGAAAAAACTGAAACATTTTTAGCTTTGGTTAGTTCTCAATATGATACAGTCATTAATTTCTTCTTCATAAAATTTAATTTGACTATATTTGAGTCATGGTGAGAATTCCACATGGCAATTCTGTAATCATTCCTCATAATTTGAGAATCTACACATGAAATGTAATTCTATCAATATAATAAATTCCCTTCAAAAGGGCTAGTTGAACTATCTAACAGGATTTTACTGACTCAACTTATTGCCAGACTGTCAGCAAATCACGTGGAGGCTCAGATAAACTTAAATGAACGCGATCTGCTGATTAAATATGACTATTTATATTTCATATATATATGTATATTCATTTTGATTGAAAGGTGTTTTAAAATAAAAATTAAATTAAATTATAAAAAGTAAATATGCTTAATATATAAATTAAAATGAGTGGAAAGTAAATAAAATAAAGAATATAATAGTAATTTAAACTTGGGTCCAAATAGCGCTTCAACTTAAATTAGGATTGACACTAATCCAAGACACATTGAAATTTGTGCACGATTTGTGATGGGTACTCATTTGAGTACGAGCACTAAAGGGTATCTTCCGCTTGTCGACCTCCCTCGACTAGAGCACTTAACTTGTCACTTGTATAATCCATCATCGCTGACCTCAAATAGTGTATATATTTTCGCAAGTGAGCTCTTTGAGAACTCAATGACGCAAATGTCTATAGTAAAATAAGCTTATTCATTTTGAGGGCAGAGTGCTGGACAGCAAAGAGGCGAATTATTCCGTTCTTATTCATTTATTTAATGTCGACGAATATCAGCCGACAAAGAAAAATACAAAAAGTTAAAGATGAATTAAATTAAAAATAAAAGTTAATTTTTTAGTTTAAATTAAAAACTAAGAACAATTTTTTAGATATTATATTTATTTAGTAAAATATATTTAATCTGAATTAAAAAAGATGCAAGACAAGACAAGACTTTTAAAATTGAATTATGAAAGATCGAAATGAAAACATGACAATTAGTTAGGGAGGGAAAGTCAATAAGGAGGAGTCCACCGGTGAAAAGGTGAGTTATAATCTGATTTATGAAAAGTCAATTTACCTTTCCTATAAATAATAACATTTTGAAACTCACTGGTCTTCTTTCACTTAATTTTTTCAGATCGCCCTTCAATTAAATCCTAATTAACCATTTGAAAAGGCGTCACGCCCACCTAAATAAATCCCTTTTACACTGGAAATATATTATATTAGATGTAGCACGAGGAAACTCTTCATTCCCTCACCCAGTGACAAGACATAAGATGAAAATTAGGCCGATCCAGATGCGTATTCATTTGTTGCATCCTCTCTGAGACGTAGATCCGTTAAACGAGAAAAGTAAGTCAGAAAGGTGGACAGGATAGTAATAGAAAGTAATGTGCTGTGTAGGAGCTAAATAAGTTTTCAGAAAAATGTTTCACCTGTAAATGTAGATTGTGCAGTGTCTGTCTGTTTGTCCGTTTGAAAGCAACACCCATTCCGCAAATCAACTTATATGGTTAAGAATAAAAAGTTGCAAGAACTCGGTTAATATCTCGCATGCTGATTTGGTGGCCGTTTGGCTTGGGCCACTATGTAAGCCCTACCAGAAACTTTGGCTGCTTTTATTAGTGTGGTCTTCATCTGAAACATGATTCTCGGTCAACTTTGGTCGCCATACGTGAGGGGACAATGGGAGACTTGTGGCAGTCAAAACAAAATTATCTTTCTTTATAAAACTCACTTTACTTTATTCCCAGCAACTCTACTCTTCTCCTTCAAGCTTCTGATCACACCAATGATATTGATCGATATCGATATTATATGTTAAGTACATAGCATGAAAAGTTACAGATGTTATGTTACAGTCTTAGTGCTACACAAGTGGCCGGTTACAGACTGTTACTGTTATCCGCTAGCATGGCTATGCAAACTGTGCACAAGGTTTTGCCATTTGGCTCACATTGGGTTCAGGATATCAATGGCTTAACCATTTTATTTAGCAAATGAAGGGATATTTGCTCTGACTTTGTGGAAGGGACGATTTAAGAATCTTCTACTATGTTCAGTACCATGTACATTTTATTTGTACACTTGTCTGCATAGACTGGGCTCTGCTGACATACCTGAAGAGATTTGAATTATCCAATGTTGAAGTCACAATGCTGAATTGAATTGATTTATATTATTTTTAGATGATTTCGACAGCTTAACTGTTTTATATATTTGGCTAGGACAAATAATAATGATAATAAAGAACTCACCGCTTCACTTTCGTTTTTGCTGATCACATCCTCTGACTCTGAAGATTTGACGGTTTTCTTATTTGTACTCAAATCACTTTTAGTATGAAGAAACTCATTTTCCGATGTGTCTACTAGTTCGTGAACTGTTTTTCCATTTTTTTGAACCACCTATAAATATTGGATAACCCAAATTTTATTAAAAGCATATTGGCCTAGGTTTAGTTGTTACAATTACCCTAATATGTAGACACTGGAGTATTACACATTCACCGCTTAAAACAAAATGCACATTTGTGAGTGTTCCTTCGTCCCGGCTATAAATTGTATCCAAAGGATTAAATTGCCTCAGGGAGCATATTTTACACGCATGCGAAAGCTATAATAAGATTTTGGCTAGATGCCCAATAATGTTAATTTTTTATGAGGTTTTCTTACCTGATCCTCGTTGAGAAATTCAAAGTAGTCTAAAGCCCTAAAGGCTTTTTTCTTTTCATTCAAAATCTTCTGCATGTGTGGCCTTAGAGTACAAACATAGTTAAAAGCTCAGCAGTCACACAAAATATACGTTGAATTGGTAGCAACACCAAATGCAAAATAAATGGGAATGGAGTGCATCAATTCGTTTAAAGATTCCCAGCCAAAAAAAAAAAAACAGAAAACAAAAATAAGCACAATCGTTGCGAAGTGAAAGCAAAATTCAGATGGCTTGGGGGTCGAAAGGGTCTGTTTTGTTTGTGCCAACCTATATTTGCAGTGCGAAGTAGACGCCCCCTTGGCGAGAAGTGTGCGGGGGTGATGGAGGGGAAGGGGGCCATGTTTTGCTATTCATTTTGATTGAATCGAATTAGGACTTAACTTTGTTTATTTCTGATTAAATTGGCTGGTGCAGGCCTCTGCTTTTGGTCACGAAGCTTGAGAAATGCTCCGATTTAATATATATCGCGTGCTGACTCTATGTATTGAATTTGGATAAGACTACATACACATGCATATACTAAAATAAATACATACTTACATACCATGCAGATGCACAAACCACAATTTTCTAAACCAATTCTTTTTAAATCCTCAATGCAATATGAGACAACAATAAGAATTGTTATTTGGAGTGTCAAATGTGAATAGTGGACACAGACGACTCTTGATACTATTCAGGAATGCAATTTATAATACCCACTGCATAGTGTTTTTTTTTTTTTACTTACTTACTTCCATATCATTGCCAACAAACTACGATTTATGTACAATTCAATTCAGTGTTTTTTAACTATATATTTCTTCTGTATTAAATCTTGAAAATATATATTTTATTAAGGAAAGTTAAATCGATTTTTATAAAAGTTATGAGAGTATAGCCTCGTTTAGTCTCTTACATCATCGCATCTGTTTAGATAACTACGGATAACTTGTGTATAATATATGACGTAATTTCAATGCCATTAGGCATTTTTAAATTATCATTACCATACTGTGTCCAGTTGTAATCATACCAACTTTTCCCGTTACAATACCAAATAAAACATCGTAGTCGGAAAATCGTTGTCTCATAATAATAAATTTAAGAACACGCACTATCTACAAACGCATATTTTCCTTTTTGAGGAAGACAAAAAAATAAACATTTTTGTTCAGAGTTTCTCAATTTCTTATCAAAGATTTTTCCCAGATTGGCAAATAAATAATTTTCAATCATTTTTTCGTATTATATTTTTGTTTTTTTGTTGGTTGCTGTATTTAATTAATGTAAATATATTTAGTGTTAATTATGTACAATACAATAGTTTGAAGTAGAAGATTGAGATTGAGGGTGTCAAAGAATACTTCGAAAATATTTGGAAATACTAAGAATCTGAGCACCAGTAATCCTCTTTTTTTTTAGATATGGAGGTGGCTTATATAGACGCATGTATAAGAATTGATTAAAGGTAAATTTCCTAAAACATTAAGAAACTTTTAATTGTTTGATTATAATCAAGCGTCAAATAATTAAATAGGATATTTAAGATAATTTAGTTAATAATTTATAATCTAAAAGAAGATTCTCCAGACTTGGAGGGAGGAAGGATTATCTTTTACGTTCGTTATAACTTCCAGCGAAATTCAACCTGAGTAAAGGTAAACACATATGCTTCTTGCCCGGCACAATATTAACAATTCAAGAAAAAATAATAATTGTTATGGTTAACCGCCAATTGGCGCATATTTCAAATTTGCATCTCAACTGTTACCCATTTAAACAAAATAAAATCCAGATAAATATATCGGAAATACCAAAAATATACCACAAATCTTAAATCTAATCGATTTCTTCTGTTGCGCAACATACCCGTAATCGATTGCTTCAATGTTATCGACCATTTGATAATAACAGAGCATTTACAGCACCGTAAGGAAGCGGCGAATGCAAATATTTTACTAAAATGTATTTTAAAAATGTTCAAAGCAAATGGTGTCCGTGTTGCACCAAAAATTTAAGAAGTAAAAATAAAGCCGAAATCTTAAAAAATGTAGATATCAATTAATAAATTTGCACTTTCAACTTAATTTGATTAATTTAAAAAAAATCGCTATTGAGAGTATTGGTTTTGCGCAATAATAATAATAATAACCAACGTATTTCTATTTCTAGCTCTATTTCTACAAGTTCAGCGATTGCAATTGAAGCATGTATGTCTTCCAAAAAGAATCATAATCGGACTATATTAAAAAAAGTAATTAAAAATATCTCACATCACATGTAAGAGTTTATAAGCGCCAATGCCGTTTAATGTATGTTTATAAGTTTATGTACATATATATTGTATATTTTAACAATTTAAATAAATATCCTATTAAATAAATATCAGGGATTTTATCTGTATAAGCAAAAAAAAGAAAAACAAAACATTGTATGATTAAACGATTCCGTAAAACATTTTAAATTAATTACAGAAATGTATTAAAATATTTAGAGCTTTAACATAACAGATATCGCCTAAATTTAAAATAACGGATAGTTGTGCAACAAAGTGCTGCAGCTGCGCAATTCGATTTCTAGCATGTGTGGTGAGAAAGTAATATTTAAATACGCGCCAAAAGACAGAATGTGTAACTTTAAAGAAGAAGACAACAGCTGATTCATAGTGAATGGTTAATACGTAAATAGTTTCATTTTACTTTGTCAATGTAGTAAAAACTTAGTAGCAATTGTGATTTAAATAAATAGTTTAATTTTAACAAAAAGCATCAGTAAAATGGAGTCAAATTCAAATGAGGAAGAACGAGACAAATTAAACACTGAAGATAAGGTAAGTAAGCAATGAAATCGAAATTATTGTGGCATAATAGAAAACTTTCACATTTCGCAGCTGTCAGAAAAGTCCACTAAAATGTCTTCACTTACCTTGGGCACAATACCAATAAAAGCAGTTATGCTTTTCTTGACAGCAACTGTGCTGACAGCCGTACTTGTTGAACTACTGCCATATTACACTAAAATCATAAATAAGAATAACACAACAGACACAGAAATTATGCCAAATCGCAGACGAACTTATTCAGTTTATAGCAATAGTCCAACGGAGGAGCATTTGGTGCATGTTTTGGATTTGCTTCAAAGGTTTGGCTATGAAAGAGTTGAGCTGGCAAATGGTGACTGGGACCTATTGTGGGCCCATGATTATCCATTCACGCGGAATCCCAGCCTAAAGCAGTTGGGCGATCATCAGCTGGTTAACCATTTACCCGGCTGTGGATATTTAACCAATAAAGTCGATTTGTGCACGACGCGCTTGCCCTTTTTGCCTCGCGCTTTCCGGCTGCCGGGTCAGCGGGATGAGTTTCTGGAATATGCAGCAGCGCATCCGGACGTACTCTTTGTGCAGAAGCACAACGAACACAGGCACATCAAAGTGAAGGCTCCCAATGATATTGATCTCAAGTCGAATAAGTCGTTTGTCCAGGAATTCATTCAGCGACCATTTTTAGTGGATGGATTTAAGTTTGACATTGGCGTTTATGTTGTGATCACATCTGTGAATCCACTGCGCGTCTATATCTACAATGGGGATGTCCTCTTTCGTTACTGTCCTGTCAAGTACTATCCTTTCGATGCCGAGAACCAGGATAAATACGTTGTTGCAGATGATTATTTGCCCAGCTGGGAAGTTCCTTCGCTACGAAAATATTATAATAGCTACGGGGGAAGTATGCGTACCTCTTTTGAGGCCTATGTCCGAGATCAGCACAAGGATCCATCCCAAATATGGACACAAGTCGAGCATATTATACGCACAACTATTCTATCGAAAGAACAGGATATAACTAATAGTCTACGTGCTTATAAGACGCACAAGTTTTTCGATCTATTGCGGTTCGATCTGTTTATTGATGAGGACCTCAAGGTGTACCTCATGGAGGCCAATATGTCCCCGAATCTTTCATCCGCCCATTTCAAGCCAAACGCACTTTTGTACGAACAGGTGCTTTACAGTGCCCTCAACTTGGTCGGCATTCGACCTGTGACAGACTCTGGAACTGGTAGCAGCAAGTATGTAATAAAAATTAAAACAATTATATTTACTCACACTTATAATTATTATTATATTTACTGCATTTTTATTACAGGCTCTCTGAAATTGTGACTGCTGATAAAAATTTGGCAACGGGGCTCAATAATTGTGCAAATAACGATTGCAACAAATCATGCAACAAGGCAGAGTGCAGCTTGTGTGTGCCTTGTTTGAGTGGCACGGAATATGAAATGCTTCGGAGTGCACACGATGAGCACCTGCATCGCATCGATATGAAGCGCATCTTCCCCAAGCCAATAGTAAATATTATTTCATGCTGCTAAAGTCTCTTTTTTAATCATTCTGTATTTTCAGCATAATTTTGGGACATTTGATATTGATGTTGAAACTAGAAATATGACGAAAAGAAATGCTTGGATATCTCGTTGGTTCTACAATAAATGTGAATATGACCGTAACTGGTGCACGTGACACCATCCGTTCTTACGGCGGATCACAAGACAACTGAAATATTAATTTGTTAATGACAATTTAAAATTTAAACGAAGACTGGAAGAAGAAAGCAATGACAAAATTAGCTTAATATATATGGGAGTTCTATTTTGACCCAAAACAGTAATAAAAATCATATCAAAGTGCTCGAATTGAGAGTGTACGACTAGGGGATACCCCCTACTCAGCCATAGCCTGTCATATAGAAAAATTGTATAATTTAACACAAGTTAAACTAACAGTTTCATATTCACTACGTGGTTTGTGGGTCTTTTACATATTTTTGTCTATCTGTTCTGATGAACGCAACCTTTTTCGAATTCTTTAAAGCTTGAGAGCTTGAAATATTTACTTATCCAAAGTATTTAGCTTGATAGCCAATACTTTTCCCATAGTTTTAAAGTTCTACTCAATACCATATTTATTTGTTATTCATTTTTTTTAATATGGACAATAATCTGTGAACTCAAATTGTAATATAATTTTAGATATTGAGCTTTAAAATAAATATAACAATTTTTAAATTAAACATACAAATCAAAGTGTACTTATTAAATAAATAAATCTGCGAAAATGTATGATTCTGTCTAAGAAATGTACATCAAATAGTTTAGATAGCGGGAGAGATGAGATATAGACAGTTTAAGGACGAACCAATTACTAAATTGGTTGATGCTGCTGCCAACACCAATTGCATTGTATATTAATGAAAAGAATAGTGGAATGTTGACTACGTCTTAAAAAATTATATTCTAAAATTTGCACAGACATTTGAAAATAATAAAATAAAATAATATTTTCATATCAAAATGTTCCTTCAGTTGCCTCGTACTTTTTATGGTTAGGTTCTCAATCATTTGTATACCTAAAATATTCACTTCTGTTCGTTAAACCAAAATTGTAGTTTTTTATGTTTACATAGGTAACCCAATATATCCTGAGCGATTAACGCACAGTCCAAAATATCCACCTAATGCAGATAATTGGGAAACTCCGATGAGGTTTTTGGGAAATTTGATCATCAAGTGGGGTAAAAATGGGGTCAAGTGGGGTTTGTGTGTCAAACTTTAGATACAAATATTGACATTTATTCTATATTTATTTTAGCCGTTCGGCGGGCAACCTAATTAAATGAGCTGTTAGTGAGTCAGAATTATAAATGGAAATGCAATTAAAGACACTTGTTTGCTCTCGTTGAGAGGGCTTAACTTGGAGAAACAATGAACCCAGTCTTAGATAGAGTAGTTTGCATTTGTAACTGTAACTGTAATATCTGAAGAAACATCAGTATTAATATATACTTTGTAAAACCGCTTTCATTTCAACAACTGCTCAGAAATGTTGTTTTGTTTTCAACAAACATAGAAACTAATTATGCTACGACCATTTTTTTTTTACTTTTCAACACAATGTTTAGAACAACGTAGAATATTCAGAAAAAATCGCCCAAAAATGTAGAAAATCGGTTTTGTATGTAGAAAATATGTTTTCACATATAGAAACATTTTAGATATTTTTTATAATTCAAATAAAATTAATTCTGAATTAAAAAGAAAAATATTTAAAAAAAAAAAAAGTTTTCCATTTTTACTTGCTATACGCTTCTTAAATATGTATTTATTGTTTACCTTACTTTAAAATTTAAATATATTTTTCGAAACTGCAGAGCTGACTGGAGTCAGTCTCTCCCTGAAGACTAGTCCGGACGGTATTTGAAATATATTGAAGTATACGAACAATAAAAAACACTTGACCAGAAACCAGCTTAAAACACATTTAAATTTTTAAAAATATATTTCAAAACAATAGAAAATATTTCTGAATAAAAAACACTCTCTAATTTTAAGATTTTTTTTTTTGTATATTTAGAAAAGATTTTTTTCTGAGTGTAGAATCTGGAACAAATATGCTTTGTTTGAAGGCAACCTGTGTGATAAATTGTATAGAAATTATAGTAAAGTGCCGAAATATATTGATTCCGGCAGCGCTTAAATCGATTAAATATAAAAGGGAAAGCCCAGCAACAGAGTCCAATATAAGTATGTATGCAAGCACTTCTTCTAAGGAAAACAGTCTGTCCTTACCTGGGTAGTTACCCAGTTGTGGCACTTGGCATAGGAGAAATGTGCCCATTGACAGAATATTGACAGAAGCTATTTCACTTTTCGGGCGTCGCCCTCGTCCCTTGACAGACGTGACAGTCAACGACTACAACGACCTCCCCACCGCCCCGCCCACATTCTCACATGCGTACCAACTTGCGGCCAATAAGTGAGAGGGGGCGAGGCAGAGGGAGAGGAGGGGCTGGGGCATAAAGGAGTTGGGCATGGTTTCCGTCCGTGCCAAAAGTTTTGACTGCAATTCAATAAACAAACGGGATCATTAAATATTTGGCCCGCTGCATGCTTTTGGGCGCCCAGTTCTCAAATGTGGAATGTGGAATGTGGATTCAGAAATGCAAATGGATATTAATAAGCTACAAGAAGCAGAAGAAGAAGAAAAAGGTCTGGCCAGACCAGAACAGACCAGAGCAGAGCAGGCCGTCTCAGCAACAACAAAAATTCGGCAGAGCTGAGCAGCCAACTATACAGCGCCCCCGTCTAAGGTGTTTTAATGAATGTTGCCAGGATACAGGTGCCAGGTGAAGCGATTTTGTTATTTTTATTTACTTTGACAGTCAGCACGTGAAACTCAAAGCAAACGTTGCGGACTTCAAGTCGACCCGTGACCGGCTCTGTGTGAACTTCGAATATTTGCAGTGCAGTGCATCGCAGATGCACAATTCACAATTAAATTTTGTTGCATTCGGCAGTTGGCTTGGGTCGGTCAGCGACGCATGTTATTCGAACTAAAGTGCTAAGTTGCCAAATGGGTATACCCAAGTAATCGTCTTAATTCACAATTTCGATCGCAATGAAACCGTTCACGAACTTCAACTACAACTTTTCCCCGGGACGCAAGCGTTCAAGTGCGAGGAGTCTGATTTATCGTGTCCTCCCGCTGATTATAATCCTACACACATAGGTTCTCATTGACGGACTTGCAGCTCCATAATCGACATATTTACTTAAGTCTGCATACACATTATAAGTACGTATCAACTGAAAGCATTTCGTTAATCATGAAATCATCTTCAGCTAACACAAATCATGGCATAGTTCAATTACAATATGTAAATGCTTATAAATAAGTAAGTATTATGACCACAATTTAAGTCACCTGGGTCACATTCGGGTTGGTGACCCAGTTCCCTGGGTTAAGTTGGGTGCGTGTGGAAATCTAATAGTATTGAAGCATTTTTGTGCGCACTTCCAATGCTATTCAGGCACTTAAATAAAACATTTCTTCAAAAAAATGTGGATTATATATATATTTATTTTATATTGAACGTTTCTCCATAATTAAATAGATTACTTAGAGAACTTTTCAAATTAATATATATATATATATAATAATAATAATAATAATATAATATATATATATATATATATATATTTTTTTTTCTTTAATACATTGATACATATTTTACGTTGTGTTTCAGATTTATTTTTGTGAATTTTAAAATTCCAACTTTTGGGGAAATGCTCTTTAATATATATAACTTTCCCTTCAACTCTCTTTATAAAGGGTTAACTTTTTATATATATATAAAATTTGACTAGGAAAAATGTATTTAGTCATAGGAAAACTTGCTCAATTTTTAATGTGGTGTGAATACTAAAATTTTAGGCCATGGGGGAATGCTTTCAAAAATATTTAGCTTTCCTTTCCACATCTCATATTCAATACATTTTTTTTTGGAAAATGTTGCCAACTTTTATTGTCTTACACATTAACATTTTTCTATTTGTCTTTAAGGAGAGTTACTAGAAATATACAATTAATTTAGTGATGTAGACTAGAAGTTGATACACGCTAACAGAGAAAGGGCAACGACAAACGGAAATGACAATATTTGTTCAACTTTTGATACACTTGGTTGATTAAATGACACAAATATATATTTTATATGTGGAATGCAAACCTAGGCACTGGGTTTCTTCTAATCATGAACTTTAAACTAGGAATGCTTGCTTGTTTTCACGATGATAAAATGTATAATAAGAATAAGAAACATTTTTGAAAGTGGCAGAAGGAGCCATGTCCACCCTAAAAGAATATTCCTGATAAGAACTAAAGGCTAAGCCATGTTGGTCAGTCCAAATATCCGTCAATCTCTCTATATTAATGCCTCTACTTCGGGCACTATAATATCTAGATGCTCCAAATTGTGTTCTATGCTACTATTCTACTACTAGATTTATATATTAAAAATATCGATAGATATCGATTCGCAAACACCTAAACATTTCCTATAGTTTATAATCAGTAACATATCACATATTTTATGTCTTGGATAACATCATCAACAATTTTAAAACACCTATTTTTCATTCCCTTAGGAACTCTAGAAAGAGAAACAATGTTTGTCAAACCGAACAACTTTCATGGTTTATTTTACTAGGGTATTGTATTATATTCAAGTAGAACACTCTTACTTTTTTATTATTATGAACTAACAACCAATGTAGGCTAATGCTGGATGTAGGGTATCTGCTAGGCGATCAGTCCCGACTAGACCACTTTGTTATTCATTGTGATGGCATGTAGCACGCGAGGAGTTTGATCTGATAAATGCATCATACCTGTGACCTACAGTGCATAAAGAAAAGTAAGAGTGTCCTAGGCAAGACTGCTCGACGGGTAGATACTCTATACCTGCCCTAAAACTAATTAGTATCTAAGTATCCGTGCTGAACTGTGCCTATGATTCTTAAATATTATTACTATTATTAAATACAGTTATTGCAGCTATAATCTGAGCAATCTAGGTAAAATGGGGAAGGGGGTGCGGTCATACTGTTTTTTACGTATGATCGTCATAAAACGTTTCAGTGTGCTTAAATGCTAAAAATCATGGCCAAATTTCTCACAAGGATGGAGAGTAATAAAATATTGGGGTGCAATTAAATTCAGAATATATAAAAAATATTATTGTTAAAATCAAAAAGATAAAAGAAAAGAAATATTCGATAAGGCGAAGATTAAATACTCTTGCAGAAATAGGTTCAGCTGTCAGCAACTAATTTTAATTATTCATTATACATAAATA